GATTGACATCTCTAAGTATAGGGGAGTCGAAGAGGACTCCCTCTTGAGATGGTTTGTCGAATTAGACGACGCCATAAGGGCGCGTCGCATCGACGACGGGGATATGCAAGTTGCATTTGCCCAGTCAAATCTGGCAGGACGTGCCAAGACTTGGGCACTGGGGCTCAAGTTGCACGACCCATATGCGTTTGGGTCGTTGGAAGTCTTCAAGTCGCGGCTCAGACAAACGTTTGAACCGCCTAGAGCTGAGCTCAGGGCTCGAACCGAACTCTTGAAACTCAAACAGGGTAAGCGTGATGTGCAAGCTTACGCCCAACATATACGACATCTCACGAGTTGTATAAGTTCCAATCCGGTGGATGAACACACGTTGGTTTCGGTGTTCATGCAGGGTCTTGCGGATGGTCCCGTCAAGACTCACCTGTATCGACTTGAACTAGATTCAATAGAACAAGCCATTTCCATTGCGGAACAGGAAGACTTCAGTCTGAGACAGGCTCGCGCCAGCTCGACATCATATCGTACACAGAGATGATATGACAGCGGAGGTCCAGAGCCGATGGAACTCTGTTATGTAGAGAGCGAGAAAGCTCGCTCTACAGACTACACGAAGTTGCAGAAATGCAACAGATGTAAAAAAACAGGACACTACGCTTACGAGTGTAGTGCCCCTCGTCCAGTGTCTCGCAACACTGGGCGTAATGACCGTCCACCCATGAGAAAGGGGCAGGGACGATGGTCCGGTGTTGGTGCAAAGACGCAACAACGGGATGGACCGTCAAAAACGGACAGGATCAGTAGGTGCGGAGCACCCTACTGGTCCAGCAACGTCAAGAGAATTTGTAGGCCTCTTGATGAAGGTTGCTCCCAACACACAAACGTTGTGCGTTGCTGCTCTAGGTAATGAGATCTCACTCATTACCTTGAAACTCGAAGTGACGAATAAGTTGTCCCTTCGAGCTCTAGTCGATTGTGGGGCGTCCAACAATTTTGTGCGACGCCAATCGCTAGAAGATGGTCACTTCAAGTTTAGTGAATGTGAAACACCTCCTACGAGGATGACGGTACGTCTTGCGACAGGCGCATCCATAACCATCATGAAGCGTATAGTGAAGATCCACTATACGCTAGAAGATACCCAATATGACGATGACTTTATCGTATTGGATTAGGATGACAAATTTGATGTCATCCTTGGAATACCGTGGCTCAGAAAAAAAAGGTACGAACCACGGGTAAACTGGCAACATCGAACAGTAACGATGCCTGCCGCTTGTTCATCAGATGGCCATCTGATGAACGTTTTGGAGCGTCCACAAGCGTGTGGATGTACTACGAGTGAGTGCTATGGCCTCACTTGTGGTACGGTCGTTAGTACGACTGCACAAAACCTTAGTGTAACAAATGGTTACACTTTGGAGCAAAGTTCCGGCGGCTGTGAGGAAACACAGGCTGCGACGAAGGTCCACCACTCGAATAAGTCGAGTGGACTGGGACAAAGATGTATCCCTAGCGGGGAACATCTAGAAGAGAAACAATCGATCGCTCAGGTTAAGCGAAACGATAATCCTAGATCGACTGGAGAGTCTTTCGTAGAGGATCTCGCTGTGGTTGCGCAACCACAGCTAGAGGAAGTTAAGGGGATAGGTCCCAACATTACAAATACGGCGGAAATAAGTTCCCTGAAACCCTCGGGATTAAGTCCCCGGGAAGCCGAAGGAATAAGTCCTTCGAGGCCTGAGGGAATAAGTCCCCAGGAAATGACAGAGACATTGAATGTCCTAGTCAATGACGGATCAAGTGTAGGCGCTTATACACTTGATCTGATTGCGCCTCCGAAGTTAACTTCGGAGATCACTCAGTTGCCAACGCTCGAACATAAAAGGTTCTTGCGTGATCTGCGTAGTGGCAAAGTCAAGCAGATCTGCGTACTCGTCGCTGATGACGAGTGTGTAGTCGATATAAGGTCAGCAACAGTGTTCACTGAGAGCGAGATAGTTCTCAGTAGTTCATCTATAGACGAGAGTTTCCTGGATGAAAAGACACGAATTGAGGGATATGACTCCCAATCGTGGGAATCGCTCAAGACAAATCCTAACTATGAAGATTTGGTTGAATTCAAGGATGTATTCCCTGAAACTGTTCCGTGCGAGTTACACAAGGATAAAGGTATTCGACACGAGGTCGAGCTTAAACCAGGCTCGAAGTACTGTGTCATGAAGCAGTGGCCACTGCCTCGTGAACAAGTACTTGCGATCGACAAGTTCTTTGCCGATCGTTTAGCTGCGGGCCATGTGAGGGAATCAACTTCTCCACATAGCTCTCTGACCTTCTGTGTGCGAAAAGCAACAGGAGGGTGGCGGATTGCGCATGAATTTAACAAGTTGAATGCTGCAACGGTACCGGCTCAGACGCTGATACCGAGGAAGGACGTAATCATTGATGGTATGTCAAAGAGTACCATCTTTTCGTCCATGGATTTGATGGATGGCTTCTATCAAATCCTTATGCGAGAACGGGATATACCCTATACCGCAGTGAGCACGCCTAGCGGCATGCTCTGGGAATGGCTAGTAATGCCACAAGGGCTTAGTAATGCCCCTGCCACGTTCAACAGGTGTGTATCACATCTGTTGAGACCAGTACGAGAATTCGCGCCGAGTTATTTCGATGACGTATTCATCCATAGTCGGGCTATGGATGGAAAGTCGGACGTTGAGGTTCACAGGTACCACGTCCGACAGGTTCTTACAATCCTGCGAAAGCATCAATTGTATGCAAACCTCAAGAAGTGTATATTTGCAGCAAGCGAAATACCACTTCTTGGGTGCACCGTTGGTAAGAACGGTGTACGTCCTGATCCCGAAAAGATCAAGGCGATCACCGACTGGCCTGTGCCGGTTGATGTCAAAGGTCTTCGAAAATTTCTTGGGCTAGCGGCGTATTTGCATAAGCATTCACGCAATTACGCCGAGATGACTGTACACCTCTCTCGTTTGTTGAAAAAGAACGAGAGGTGGTTATGGAACGCTGAATGTCAACGCTCCTTTGATGGTATCAAGCAGAGCTTGATACAATCCCCAGTCCTAGCAATAGCCGATCAGGACAGGCCATTTCATGTGGTCTGTGATGCCAGCGATTTCGCAATCGGCTGTGCATTAATGCAGTACGACCTTGAAGGCGTTGAACGCGTCGTCTGCTATCAGTCGCGTCAGCTGCAACCAGCTGAGCGGAACTATCCAGTGCATGACAAGGAACTCCTTGCCATGAAGTATGCACTCGCGAAGTTCAGAGTCTATCTATTAGGAGATAGACCCTTCATTGTTTACACTGACCATGCGTCATTACGCACGGCAGTGAACAGCCCGCACCTTTCACAACGAATGGCGCGGTGGTTGTCATTCTTTGCGGAATACAACTTTACGGTCAAGTACAAACCAGGACGACTTAATGTCGTCGCTGATGCACTCTCACGTCGTCCCGACTTTGAAACAGTCGCGAAACCCAACAGTGAGACAGTCACTGTTGCGGTTATGACGTCCTCAGTCCCATCTACAACGTTGTATGATGATGTGAGGCGGGCATACGCCCAAGATGGTGAGATTGTGAAGTTGTTGACACATCTCTCCCAACCATCTCGAGAATCGTTGAAACGATTGTCGCCTGCGTATCGATCTGATGCAGATCGATACACTACTCGTAACGGTTTACTATATTATACAGCCGTTTCTGGTGACACACCACGTGTTGTCATTCCAGATGATACTGATCTGCGTTTGCGGATCATGTTCGAGTATCACGATGCTTCTATAGGAGGACATCGTGGCCGGGAGAAAACACATTTCACGGTCAGTCGAGACTTTTACTGGCCCCGCCTGTATCAGTTTGTGCGAAAGTATGTTCGCGCATGCGAAGTCTGCCAACGAGTGAAGTAAAGTCCTTCACTGCGTGCACCTTTACAGCCTCTACCAGTTCCGGCTGAGTGCTGGCAATCCATTTCAATGGATTTCGTCCTCGCGTTACCCAAAGCCGCCCGCGGGAATACGGGTATCCTCGTATTTGTTGACAGATTCAGCAAAATGGTACACCTTGTGACTGTACCAGAGACAATCACGGCAAGTGGCTGTGCTTGTGTCTTTATTGACACCATCTTCCGACTTCATGGGTTGCCCCGTGAACTCGTATCAGACAGAGATCCACGATTCACTGCTGATTTCTGGCGTTCCGTGTTCAAATCACTCGGAACGCGCTTGAAGATGTCGACATCTGATCATCCAGAGTCAGATGGTCAGACGGAACGTGCCAATCGTGTCCTTGATGAGATACTTCGAGGATACGTACACTCCTTTAAAAGTTGGAGTGAGTTTTTGCCTATGGTAGAGTTTGCCATTAACAACTCGGTGCATGCGTCCACGACACATACACCGTTTTACGTGAATGGCTTGCGCCATCCGCGTGTACCCACCTTACTAGAGTGTAACTCTGGTTTAAGGGGGGAGAGACTCGCGCGAGCAAAAACCGATTTGGTTCACGCTCATCACGCTCTGACGAAGAGGTCATTGCGTTTGATGCCGATATCGATAACATGGATATCGAAAAAGATGATGCCAGTGAGAGCGAGGAAGCCCTCACTGAAAAAACGATTGATGTCGCTGCAGTGCACCCACAGCGCACTGAAGCTAACGAGTCAGCAGATGAGTTCATACTGGCTCGTGAAACGGTAGTCCGTTTTGTGCAAGACTCCATCGCCGAAGCGGTGGATAAGCAAAAGCAAAACGCAGACAAGAATGGAAGGGAAAACAATCTTTTGTTTAATACAGGTGACTTAGTCCTACTGTCTACGGTTGACCTACCAAAGCATGTAGTGACTAACTTGGGTAGTAGTAAACTACTACCCAAGTACATCGGCCCATTTCGTGTATTGCATCGCCTAGGCAACGCATACACGATCGAAATGCCACGTAAGATGCGAATGCATCCCACGTTTTACGTTGGTCGGCTTAAGCCGTACCATCAGTACGCTGCTTCTTCCGATGAAGAACGCCCTTGCGCTCAAGCATCTCGCAGAGAGCCTTGTGCTCCCGATGGTGGGCATCAACAAGGGTCTGAAGAGCAGTTATCTCAGCCCGAGACCGATCAACAATCCCACGAGCTACCCTTAGCTCGTCACGAAGAGATGTCAGAGATCTCTCGTTCTCAAGCTGAGCAAAGGCAAACTCAGCTCGATGCTTCGAGGCAGTGTCCGCCACTTGGAGACGCCTATTCCGCTCATGCTCGAGATCGTCGCGTAACCCTTGCGTTACGCGATCAAAGAAGCTCTCAGGAACACACCGATCCACATGATTGTGTGGAGAGCGTCTTTCCACCTCCTCCACCTCCATTAGAGGACTCTCGCGGTGGCCAGCGCTATCTAGTTGAGCAGCTGTTGAACCACCGCGACGTGACGGACGTCGGACAGGTTATCTCGTCCGGTGGCGCGGCTATCCCCCGTCTTGGGATACTTGGGAGCCCCGCTCCCAACTGATTATTGACGTACTGGGTCTGGTTGAGCAGTGCGACGCGGCACATCCTGTGCCGCAGAAGGACCGCTAAAGAAAGTCTTCCCGGCACGGTCGTAAAGGGATTTCAGGTTGTCAATCCCGTCGTACATCTCAGTAGAGACACGTACGCGCCACCACGGGCTGGTAAGGAGGTAAGCCTCCTTAGGTGCTCGCGCAGAGTTGTTCACACAACATGGGCACGAGTCTCCCCAAGAGAGACAGGGAAATCCCTTCTCCCTTGACAGACGATGCAGCTTGTAGCTTGCACCTGTCGGGGTTCGCTTTTCAAACTTATCACGAGCTTTGATAAGCTTGTCGTTCCAAGCGTCACGACCTACATCCTCAAGGTTATGGATGTAAGCGTTCCACGCTTGAAGCAGTGAGGGACCATCACGCTTATGATTCCCACTGTACCATCGATGTCTAAAGAAAGCATCGATGAAGAATTCGTTTTCAGCGCGATAGTTTTTCGCACTGAAGTCAAGGTGATGAATCCTTGACGAATCGAACAATCGTGTTCGATAACGATCACTCGTCGTCGCCGACAAGTGATCCATGACGGACTTAGGAGGCATCCATGCCTTCTTCTCAGGAGCGAGACGCAACACACTGCGATCCCGCTCTTCCTGCGATGTGCCGACAGAAGTACTGGCACCTCGTTGCGAAGTGGTGTCAATAGGAGAGCCGACACCACTATGAGCGCCCGAGTCTTGCGATCTCGAGCGCCTTCGCTTTGGCTATAGTTCATCTGATTCGTCAGATGAAACGAAGATGCTACGACGAGTAGCATCATCCATGCCACGCTTGGCAGGCGGCTTGGTTTCGATCGCCTTCGATACGGATCCCTCTTCCGTATCAGGAGAGTATGAGACACCGAGCTCATACTCTGAGAAGACATGAGTGTCTTCGTGACGAGCGTCTGCATCACCAGGTGACACAGGCTGGGTCGCTTCAGCAACCGATGAGACATCAGTTGCTGCGGTTTCTGCTTCGGAGTCCGCACAGAGACGTGCAGACGCGCTTTTAGCTGCCTTGTTCGCGCACCGCATGGGCTTGTTTACCTTGCGATGAAATTATTGGACTGTGGACTCGGACCAACAAGTGCAAACCCCGTCCCAAATGATTTGGGACGAGTATCCATTTAGTCAATCAGTCACTAAAGTGACTGATGGTTAAGGGGGGGGTGATGTAACGGGGTGAATCGTTACATAACAATTTATAAGAAATTGTTAATAGAATATAACTATAAGAGTTATATTCTCAGAATATTGTCATAAGGACAAATATTCTGTAGCACTTACAAGTAGTTCCTAATTGGTTGATATAGGCCATTATATCAACCAACGAAGACGCGCCACGACAGACGCACGCAATGAGTGGTGAGCAGATAACTGATTTACACATTTGTATTTAGACATAGTTAGATGAAGATAAATAGTGATTTATTGCAGACATTAACTATTATAAATACAGTTCTACTTTTTACTCTAACCGAGTACTCGCTTCTTCTTACCGTCTTCCTCTGCACGTACGAGTGTACGTGAAGTTACGAGGCACCGCCTTATTCTGTCATCAGAATAAGTAGCTTGTACTGTCATCAGTACAAGCTTCAGGGTGCCCCGTTACAGAGCGGCTACGATGCCATACTGATGCCACGCTCCCAAAGCATATATTTTACTTGAGTTTATGCAAGACGCCACTTCCTGAAAAGAAAGGGGGAAACTGGCCGTGTTCTACTACGACACGGGCAGCAGCTAACGACAGGGCTTCAGACGGAGTCCTCGATGTCAAGTAAGTATTGTGATACAAAAGAGGTAACAGTTTCTGCATTTTCTCAGCTCAGAGTCGCCGGTGTGTACAAAAGAGCGTGTCAACAACCAGCGGCTTTTGTATATCCGAGTGCAGGCGAAGCTCAAGCAGCCTTCAAAAGCACCATTGCTCTATTGTGCATACGTTTTTGATTTTTTCGAGAAGCTCGCCCTGCTCCGTACGTATCACGTACGAGAAGAGGATCATACATGTTGGCACGTTAGGCCAACTTGTTAGCAATACTTATCAAAGGAAGACAACCCATGGTACTAGCGTGTGTACATTAAGAGGAACAAAACCTAGGTTCGCTCAAATTGGGCTTGTTGTAAGGGCTGTTGTGACAGCGTACGGTGTCTAAGGCGATGAGATAAACGAATCTTTAATGGCTGTATTCGACAACTAACAGCTATAACGCTTTCAAGGTAGCAGCAATCTTTACTCCCACCAGTGTGTTTCCGGAACGACAGGCACTGTGTTTCATCGTGTGTGAGGCTAAAGGCAAAGGGAAACGTTTGTTTGCCTATCTCTTTTAAACATGGAATATCCGTGCTTGTAGCACAACGGGGAACGCTACGATTTCAAATCCCTATAACCGTCACGCTTTCTACCAAATCCATCCATCAATCATCAAGATATCGAACATCCTTGGAGCCTTAGCTCTTTCGCAGTCTCTTCAGCCAAGGCCTGGCTGTTCGACAAAAACGCAAGCTTCCTGTAACGGGGCACCCTGAAGCTTGTACTGGTGACAGTACAAGCTACTTATTCTGATAACAGAATAAGGCGGTGCCTCGTAACTTCACGTACACTCGTACGTGCAGAGGAAGACGGTAAGAAGAAGCGAGTACTCGGTTAGAGTAAAAAGTAGAACTGTATTTATAATAGTTAATGTCTGCAATAAATCACTATTTATCTTCATCTAACTATGTCTAAATACAAATGTGTAAATCAGTTATCTGCTCACCACTCATTGCGTGCGTCTGTCGTGGCGCGTCTTCGTTGGTTGATATAATGGCCTATATCAACCAATTAGGAACTACTTGGAAGTGCTACCGAATATCGTCCTTATGACAATATTCTGAGAATATAACTCTTATAGTTATATTCTATTAACAATTTCTTATAAATTGTTATGTAACGATTCACCCCGTTACATCACCCCCCCCTTAACCATCAGTCACTTTAGTGACTGATTGACTAAATGGATACTCGTCCCAAATCATTTGGGACGGGGTTTGCACTTGTTGGTCCGCGTCCACTTTCCAACATCTCATCGCATGGTAAACAAGCCCATGCGATGCGCGAGCAAGGCCGCCGAGAGCGCGTCTGCACGTCTCTGTGCGGACGCCGAAGCAGAAACTACAGCAACTGATATCCCATCGGTTGCTGAATCGACTCAGCCTGTATCACCTGGTGATGCAGGCGCTGGTCATGAAGACACTCGTGTCTTCACAGAGTACGAGCTCGGTGTCTCGTACTCTCCTGATACGGATGACGGATCCGTATCGACGGCAATTGAATCCAAGCCGCCTGCCAAGCGTGGCATGGACGATGCTTTGCGTCGCAGCATCTTTGGTTCATCTGATGAGTCAGATGAACCATCGCCGAAGCGAAGGCGCTCGAGGTCGCGAGACTCGGGCGCTAATAGTGGTGTCGTTTCTCCAATGGACACCACTTCACAGCGAGGTGCCAGTACTTCTGTCGGCACGTCGCAGGAAGAGCGGGACCGCAATGTGTTGCGTCTCGCTCCAGAAAAGAAGGCATGGATGCCTCCTAAATTCTGTCATGGATCACTTGTCGGCGACGACGAGTGATCGTTATCGAACACGATTGTTCGATTCGTCAAGGATCCATCACCTTGACCCCAGCGCGAAAGACTATCGCGCTGAACATGAGTTCTTCATCGATGCTTTCTTCAGACATCGATGGTACAGTGGGAATCACAAACGTGATGGTCCCTCACTACTTCAGGCGTGGAACGCCTACATCCATAATCTCGAGGATGTCGGTCGTGACGCTTGGAACGACAAACTTATCAAAGCTCGTGATAAGTTTGAAAAGCGAACCCCGACAGGTGCACGCTATAAGCTGCATCGTCTGTCAAGGGAGAAGGGATTACCCTGCCTCTCTTGGGGAGACTCGTGCCCATGTTGTGTGAACAACTCTGCACGAGCACCTAAGGAGGCTTACCTCCTTACCAGCCCGTGGTGGCGCGTACGTGTCTCTTACTGAGATGTACGAAGGGATTGACAACCTGAAATCCCTTTACGACCGTGCCGGGAAGACTTTCTCCGGCGGTCCTTCTGCGGCACAGGATGTGTCGCGTCGTACTGCTCGACCAGACCCAGTACGTCAACCATCAATTGGGAGCGGGGCTCCCAAGAATCCCAGGACGGGGGATAGCCGCGCCACCGGACGAGGTAACTCGTCCGACGTCCGTTCACGTCGCGGTGGTTCAACAGCTGCTCTACTAGATAGCGCTGGCCACCGCGAGAGTCCTCTAATGGAGGTGGAGGAGGAGGAAAGACGCTCTCCACACGATCATGTGGATCGGTGTGTTCCCGAGAGCTTCTTTGATCGCGTAACGCAAGGGTTACGCGACGATCTCGAGCATGAGCGGAATAGGCGTCTCCAGATGGTGGACACTGCCTCGAAGCATCGAGCTGAGTTTGCCTTTTGCTCAGCTTGAGAACGAGAGATCTCTGACATCTCTTCGTGACGAGCTAAGGGGTAGCTCGTGGGATTGTTGATCGGTCTCGGGCTGAGATAACTGCTCTTCAGACCCTTGTTGATGCCCACCATCGGGAGCACAAGGCTCTCTGCGAGATGCTTGAGCGCAAGGGCGTTCTTCATCGGAAGAAGCAGCGTACTGATGGTACGGCTTAAGCCGACCAACGTAAAACGTGGGATGCGTTCGCATCTTACGTGGTAACTCGATCGTGTATGCATTGCCTAGGCGGTGCAATACACGAAATGGGCCAATGTACTTGGGTAGTAGTTTACTGCTACCCAAGTTAGTCACTACATGTTTTGGTAGATTAACCGTAGACAGTAGGACTAAGTCACCTTTATTAAATAAAAGAGTGTTTGCCCTTCCATTCTTGTCAGCGTTTTGCTTTTGCTTATCCACCGCTTCGGCGATGGAGTCTTGCACAAAACGGACTACCGTTTCACGAGCCAGTATGAACTCATCTGATGACTCGTTAGCTTCAGTGTGCTGTGAGCGCACTGCAGCGACAACAACCTTTTCTTCAGTGAGGGCTTCCGCACTCTCACTGGGATCATTGTCTTCAGTGAGGGCTTCCGCACTCTCACTGGCATCATCTTCTTCGATATCGATGTTATCGATATCGGCATCAAACGCAATGACTTCTTCGTCAGAGCGTGATGAGCGTGAACCAAATCGGTTTTTGCTCGCGCGAGTCCCTCCCCCCTTAAACCAGAGTTACACTCTAGTAAGGTGGGTACACGCGGATGGCGCAAGCCATTCACGTAAAACGGTGTATGTGTCGTGGACGCATGCACCGAGTTGTTGATGGCAAACTCTACCATTGGCAAAAACTCACTCCAACTTTTAAAGGAGTGTACGTATCCTCGAAGTATCTCTTCGAGGACACGGTTGGCACGTTCCGTCTGACCATCTGACTCTGGATGATCAGATGTTGACATCTTCAAGCGCGTTCCGAGTGATTTGAACACGGAACGCCAGAAATCAGCAGTGAATCGTGGATCTCTGTCTGATACGAGTTCACGGGGCAACCCATGAAGTCGGAAGATGGTGTCAATAAAGACACAAGCACAGCCACTTGCCGTGATTGTCTCTGGTACAGCCACAAGGTGTACCATTTTGCTGAATCTGTCAACAAATACGAGAATACCCGTATTCCCGCGTGCGTCTTTGGGTAACCCGAAGACGAAATCCATTGAGATGGATTCCCAGCACTCAGCCGGAACCGGTAGAGGCTGTAAAGGTGCACGCAGTGAAGGACTTGACTTCACTCGTTGGCAGACTTCGCATGCGCGAACATACTTTCGCACAAACTGATACTGGCGGGGCCAGTAAAAGTCTCGACTTACCGTGAGATATGTTTTCTCTCGGCCACGATGTCCTCCTATAGGAGCATCGTGATACTCGAACATGATCCGCAAACGCAGATCAGTATCATCTGGAATGACAACACGTGGTGTGTCACCAGAAACGGCTGTATAGTACAGTAAACCGTTACGAGTAGTGTATCGATCTGATGCAGATCGATACGCAGACGACAATCGTTTCAACGATTCTCGAGATGGTTGGGAGAGATGTGACAACAACTTCACTATCTCACCATCTTGGGCGTATGCCCGCCTCACATCATCATACAACGTTGTAGATGGAACTGAGGACGTCATAACCGCAACAGTGACTGTCTCACTGTTGGGTTTCGCGACTGTTTCAAAGTCGGGACGACGTGAGAGTGCATCAGCGACGACATTAAGTCGTCCTGGTTTGTACTCGACCGTAAAGTTGTATTCTGCAAAGAATGACAACCACCGCGCCATTCGTTGTGAAAGGTGCGGGCTGTTCACTGCCGTGCGTAAGGACGCATGGTCAGTGTAAACAACGAAGGGTCTATCTCCTAATAGATAGACTCTGAACTTCGCGAGTGCATACTTCATGGCAAGGAGTTCCTTGTCATGCACTGGATAGTTCCGCTCAGCTGGTTGCAGCTGACGCGACTGATAGCAGACGACGCGTTCAACGCCTTCAAGGTCGTACTGCATTAATGCACAGCCGATTGCGAAATCGCTGGCATCACAGACCACATGAAATGGCCTGTCCTGATCGGCTATTGCTAGGACTGGGGATTGTATCAAGCTCTGCTTGATACCCTCAAAGGAGCGTTGACATTCAGCGTTCCATAACCACCTCTCGTTCTTTTTCAACAAACGAGAGAGGTGTACAGTCATCTCGGCGTAATTGCGTGAATACTTATGCAAATACGCCGCTAGCCCAAGGAATTTTCGAAGACCTTTGACATCGACCGGCACGGGCCAGTCGGTGATCGCCTTGATCTTTTTCGGGATCAGGACGTACACCGTTCTTACCAACGATGCACCCAAGAAGTGGTATTTCGCTTGCTGCAAATATACACTTCTTGAGGTTTGCATACAATTGATGCTTTCGCATGATTGTAAGAACTTGTCGGACGTGGTACTTGTGAACCTCAACGTCCGACTTTCCATCCATAGCTCGACTATGGATGAATACGTCATCGAAATAACTCGGCGCGAATTCTCGTACTGGCCTCAACAGATGTGATACACACCTGTTGAACGTGGCAGGGGCATTACTGAGCCCTTGTGGCATTACTAGCCATTCCCAGAGCATGCCGCTAGGCGTGCTAACTGCGGTATAGGGTATATCCCGTTCCCGCATTAGGATTTGATAGAAGCCATCCATCAAATCCATGGACGAAAAGATGGTACTCTTTGACATACCATCAATGATTACGTCCTTCCTCGGTATCGGCGTCTGAGCCGGTACCGTTGCAGCGTTCAATTTGTTAAACGCGTGCACTATCCGCCACCCTCCTGTTGCTTTTCGCACACAGAAGGTCGGAGAGCTATGTGGGGAAGTTGATTCCCTCACATGGCCCGCTGCTAAACGATCGGCAAAGAACTTGTCGATCGCAAGTACTTGTTCACGAGGCAGTGGCCACTGCTTCATGACACAGTACTTCGAGCCTGGTTTAAGCTCGACTTCGTGTCGAATACCTTTATCCTTCGGTAATTCGCACGGAACAGTTTCAGGGAATACATCCTTGAATTCAACCAAATCTTCATAGAGAGGATTTTCCTTGAGCGATTCCCATGATTGGGACTCATATCGCTCAATTCGTGTCTTTTCATCTAGGACACTCTCGTCCATAGATGAACTACTGAGAACTCTCTCGTTCTCAGTAAACACTGTTGCTGACCTTATGTCGGTTACATACTCGTCGTCAGCGACGAGTATGCAGATCTGCTTGACTTTGCCACTACGCAGATCACGCAAGAACCTCTTATGTTCGAGCGTTGGCAACTGAGTGATCTCCGAAGTTAACTTCGGAGGCGCAATCAGATCAAGTGTATAAGCGCCTACACATGATCCGTTATTGACTATGACATTCAATGTCTCTGTCATTTCCTGGGGACTTATTCCCTCAGGCTTCGAAGGACTTATTCCTTCGTCTTCCCGGGGACTTATTCCCGCGGGTTTCGGGGAACTTATTTCCGCCGTATTTGTAATCTTGGGACTTATTCCCTTTACTTCCTCTAGCTGGGGTTGCGCAACCACAGCGAGATCCTCTACGAAAGACTCTCCAGTCGATCTAGGATTATCGTTTCGCTTAACCTGAGCGATCGATTGTTTCTCTTCTAGATGTTCCCCTCTAGGGATACATCTTTGTCCCAGTCCACCCGACTTATTCGAGTGGTGGACCTTCGGCGCAGCCTGTGTTTCCCTCACAGCCGCCGGAACTTTGCTCCGAAGTGTAACCGTTTGGTACACTAAGGTTTTGTGCAGTCGTACTAACGACCGTACCACAAGTGAGGCCATCGCACTCACTCGTAGTACATCCACACGCTTGTGGACGCTCCAAAACGTTCATCAGATGGCCATCTGATGAACAAGCGGCAGGCATCGTTACTGTCCGATGTTGCCAGTTTACCCGTGGTTCGTACCTTCTGAGCCACGGTATTCCAAGGATGACATCAAATTTGTCATCCAAATCCAATACGATAAAGTCATCGTCGTATTGGGTATCTTCTAGCGTATAGTGAATCTTCACTATACGCTTCATGACGGTTACGGATGCGCCTGTCGCAAGACGTACCATCATCCTCGTAGGAGGTGTGTCACATTCACTGAATTTAAAGTGACCATCTTCTAGCGATTGGCGTCGCACAAAATTGTTGGACGCCCCACAATCGACTAGAGCTCGAAGGGACAACTTATTCGTCACTTCGAGTTTCAAGGTAATGAGTGAGATCTCATTACCTAGAGCAGCAACGCACAATGTCTGTGTGTTGGGAGCAACCTTCATCAAGAGGCCTACAAATTCTCTTGACGTTGCTGGATCAGTAGGGTGCTCCGCACCTACTGATCCTGTCCGTTTTTTGACGGTCCATCCCGTTGTTGCGTCTTTGCACCAACTGCGGACCCTCGTCCCTGCCCCTTTCTCATGGGTGGACGGTCACTACGCCCAGTGTCGCGAGACACTGGACGAGGGGCACTACACTCGTAAGCGTAGTGTCCTGTCTTTTGACATCTGTTGCATTTCTGCAACTTCTTGTAGCCTGTAGAGCGAGCCTTCTCGCTCTCTACATAACAGAGTTCCATCGGCTCTGGACCTCCGTTGTCATATCGTCTCGGTTGACGATATGATGTCGAGCTGGCGCGAGCCTGTCTCAGACTGAAGTCTTCCTGCTCCGCAATGGAAATGGCTTGTTCTAGTGAATCTAGTTCAAGTCGATACAGGTGAGTCTTGACGGGACCATCCGCAAGACCCTGCATGAACACCGAAACCAACGTGTGTTCATCCACCGGATTGGAACTTATACAACTCGTGAGATGTCGTATATGTTGAGCGTAAGCGTGCACATCACGCTTACCCTGCCTGAGCTTCAAGAGTTCGGTTCGAGCTCTGAACTCAGCTCTAGGCGGTTCAAACGTTTGTCTGAGCCGCGACTTGAAGACTTCCAACGACCCAAACACATATGAGTCGTGCAACTTGATCCCCAAAGCCCAAGTCTTGGCACGTCCTGCCAGATTTGATTGGGCAAATGCAACTTGCATATCCCCGTCGTCGATGCGACGCGCCCTTATGGCGTCATCCAATTCGACGAACCATCTCAAGAGGGAGTCTTCTTCGACCCCTCTATACTTTGAGATGTCAATCTTCAAAGTCTCGGGCCGACGCGAGTGCATCGACCCGCCAGCAGCAGCCTGCTGCTGTCTCAACAGTTCAAACTGTTGAGCACCTTGTTCTCTCAACAACTCTGCTTGTTGAGAACCTTGTTGGTGAAGCAAGGCTACTTTCTCGCGTTCTGCGTCAAGTTCATTTTGAATGAACTTGGCGATAGTAGCATGTTGGGCATCTCTATTGAGAGCCTCTAGCATGACGCTAACAGCATGGATGCCCATGGTCGAACCCATTCGTTCAACCGCATCCCATTCGACATCGCTCAAATGGGAGTAGCCGTCACGCGTAGCGTGAAAGCTTTGGTCATCTTCATCATCCAACATATTCATGTTGGATGTGAACGCGGTCCTTGGACGGACTACGAAGTGCTACCAGGTGTAACGGGGCACCCTGAAGCTTGTACTGGTGACAGTACAAGCTACTTATTCTGATAACAGAATAAGGCGGTGCCTCGTAACTTCACGTACACTCGTACGTGCAGAGGAAGACGGTAAGAAGAAGCGAGTACTCGGTTAGAGTAAAAGTAGAACTGTATTTATAATAGTTAATGTCTGCAATAAATCACTATTTATCTTCATCTAACTATGTCTAAATACAAATGTGTAAATCAGTTATCTGCTCACCACTCATTGCGTGCGTCTGTCGTGGCGCGTCTTCGTTGGTTGATATAATGGCCTATATCAACCAATTAGGAACTACTTGGAAGTGCTACCGAATATTGTCCTTATGACAATATTCTGAGAATATAACTCTTATAGTTATATTCTATTAACAATTTCTTATAAATTGTTATGTAACGATTCACCCCGTTACACTTCCCCTTCCCAAGAGTTCCAGAAAATCACTCCAGGAATCGCTCATTCCAACAACTATTTACGCGTACCAAGCAAACTCATTCATTCGTCACAACGACGTTTTCTATCACAAAACTAAATCTTTTTAGATGAATCAACTGACAGAGGTGTGTGCACAAGTCCACACCATGTACCCATCGGTCCCATCGTGTACCCATCTAGCACGTGTGGCAGGGACGCTCGATCGATATTGTTTACGCACCTGATAGCGAGGGTAATATTTTCCCGCTCACTTGATTTCACTATGCCATCGCTCCACCCATCGTCTCCACCACCCATTCTCAAAACCACTCCAGCCAAATTCCGGCCTTCGTACGCGACGCGATTGTGCCGCCTCTAGCGCTCCGTTGCGCTCCGTCGAACTTTCTACACCTTGGTCGATCTCTCATCGATGTGGCTCAATAGTCGCGATCTCTCTCGAGACGACGACGGCAGCTCTACACGCAATGACGGTGTGTGGAGTTTTGCCGACTCGAGTGTCAGTAGTGCGTCGTCGCACGGGTCTATTGGTGCCTCTGGCTCCTCCCGCGCGCTCTGGAATCGCATGGAAATGGCTGAAGAAGAGCGGGAGGAAGAAGCCTTACCGTCATACTTGTCGTACTTGCAGCCGGCGTTCCGTCCAGCGCCTCGAGCGTCCACGACCGACTCATTGACATCTCAGCGGACGACGGCGTCCGTGCTTGCGACGCCGTCTTCACCTGTTCAACAGCAAGTTGAAGCGCCTTTGAACGTTCAGCACGTGACCCGCAAAAGTGCCGAGCTAGCACAGGCTCTCGAGCATCTTGTACTGGGCTCGGTCCACCGCTATATTGGTGAGGCGGCCGTGTCAGACACAACCGGAAGGTGCTCGTGTGACGAGTTACGGCTTCAGATGCACGAGGTGGTGTCCCAGGTGACCAGGTTGCAACAGCATGTACTGGAGCTTACGAAGAAGAGCAGTCGGATTGAGACGGACGGCAGTCGAGGGACTGGAGCAAGCAGCTCAACCTCATCTTGGAGTGCAGCGGCACCGCCGTTTGTGCCGAAACAGCAGCTGTGCAAGCCGTTGACACCGTCGGTACCGGTGGTGGCGCTCGTTTCGTCGACTGCTACGGTCTTGAGTGACCGCATCTCGACGTTAGAAGGACGACAGAGTGCGTTCCAGTCACAGTTGGCTACAGTTGCTAAGGTGCTGGGCATTCCCACGGGTAAAGCAGGCAAACACAGTCCAGTGAAGCATTTGGTGCAGACTGTGCGTGATGAAGTTGATGCAAAAGTGCAGGAGGTCATTGGGGAGGCTCGAACGGGTCTAATGGCGGAGCTCAAGACTTCGTTGGTAGATTGTAAAGTGGAACATACAGGCAAGGAGGATCCACAAGCAGCTTTGTCATCAAATGCAGTTCTCGCAGCGTTAGCAGGCGAGCACGAAGCGTCTTTGGCGCGACTAAGTCGATCATTTGAGGAGTTGCTGGCAGACGAAGCTCGACAGCGAGCAGCACTCGAAGATCGGGTTCGGTCTCAATTGGCACAGCAAGAAGAGTGGTTACAGCAGCTGGAAGGTGCGTTTGGGTCTCGTCACGACCCGAATTACACTCAGGATGTCCACAGAAAAGACTCGGATGATCTACACAGCAAGCTTAAAAGGCTAGAACGGAGATGCGAAGAGAGCCTGGACTTTTGCCAGCGTGTGGCTCAACTGCTTCCGGACGTCGCAAAGTCGAGTCTCCTCCCCTGTCGACCCGCGGAAGAAGCAAATGGACTGAGCTGGCCAGATCGCATGGTAGGCAAAGGATAGCTATGCTTCGAAACTGGTGTGCTGTATCGCGTCACTTTTTTCATCCGGGTACCCGAGAGGCTTGAAGCATCTTTCTTTGCTGCAGTTGTTGCAGCATTCAGCGGTCTGTTCGCCTGTGGGGTATCTAGCATCGAAGTACTAAGGATGGAGCCAAGTTACGTACGAACGGGGAACACGAATGTTGTGGTGTTAGTAGCCTGCAGCAATCGATCGTCACCGTGTGGATATTGGGACAAACGTGTCTTGAGACGTATGCTAGGGCTACTACGCTCGATTGCACGATGCAGCAAATCTTGCAAGGTTCACATTAGTGGGTGCTACTTGTGTATGATTTGCTATCATCAGTGAGCCACAGGCCACATGGGTCAAGAGCTTGGTGGTTGGCTGACATAAGTTTCTAAGTCGCGGACACTGACTTTGCAGTCCTCCGGTGTTCAGGCAATGTTTGGCGAAGAACGCGTCTCAGGATCATGGGCTAGTTGAGCGCTGTTTGGCATTCCATGTCAGGTTTGCACTGGACAACCTTCGTCAGGCTTACAGCATCGCAAAGCTGCGTGAGACAAGTTGTTTTACCTATGCCGCCAGCGGCAAAATTTACAAGCAGCATCTGGAAAGTTCGTACGAGGATGTCAAAATAGGAGACAGCTCGAAGTTTGCCAATTCCCAGCCGAGGACTGACGTGCGGCCACGTCTGGCACACTCTCCACGTGTTACGAAGTGCTCTGCGTCCAATTTTGCGTAACCTCGTCTCGATACTCCAGCAGCCTTTCCCAGGCAGAGCAAGCAGGGTCTGAAAGCATGGGCGGCATGCTTTGCATCTGGTCAACGGTGCATAGGTCAGTGGGATGGACAGCTGGTACCGTTGACAGAGCACAGGGTCGATGATATGATCAGTCTGCAGTATGAGCTGGCAGTCTGCTTCATGGCTCGATCTGTTGGAGATTTGAAAGTTTTGCTACCGAGGGCGCCTGTCAGTTCATGGGAAGTGCGTGACAAGTTGACCGAATACCGCAGGGCATTGAAACGACCAAATGCTTTGGGCCCTAATTATCGGATGACCGAGAGTGTTGCTACCGTATCGTGTGATAGATGCACTAGTTCGATCTTTAACAATGGACGTGGGAACGGGTAGATGTATGTATGGACGTGACGTGGTCATTGTCGAGGTGTCGTGTGGGACAATGATGACACTTTATTGTTTGTGAAGCGCAAATAGTAAAGCGAGTGCAATGGTATTCAAATTGCAGCCGAAGCAAGTGTTATTGTAAGATCTACGTGCTTCGGTCCACTCCTTATTGTTCATTTGCCGTGAACTTTACAATGCTGTCCAGATGATGCGTTGTGCTACTACTACGTCCTGTGCGATCATTTAAGACTGACTTACTATTTGTCGAGTCAACTCGTAACCGTAAGACAACTTGTTTCAGTCTATGCCAAGCAAGATAGAAAGGACTTGTGCTTACTGTAGCTATAAGGTACATCGTCGCATTTGCATTCTCTGGCAAGTTTACAAGAAAGCACGAGAGAGTTGCAATGTGAGGGAGGAAGCGATCAAAGACAACTCTTGCACGAGCATATTCGGCAAATGATCTCTTCCGGTAAATGATTTCTTTCTCATTATCTCAACGCGAGCAAGAACTACGTGTTACGCAAAGTTGTAAATCGTTCTCAAACATGGCAAGGGTCTGTACTGTTTTTTTTTCGTTGGTCTGGACGATAGCACTTACAGTCGAAAGGCTTTAGCTGAGCGATAGGGTGCCACACATGGCTGGCGCGTTCATCGACAACAGAATTCGGCATTTTATGGACGATAGGTACGAGGTCTGAACAGCCTCTGGAGCAATCGTCAATATTTTCTGTAACGGGGTGAATCGTTACATAACAATTTATAAGAAATTGTTAATAGAATATAACTATAAGAGTTATATTCTCAGAATATTGTCATAAGGACAAATATTCTGTAGCACTTACAAGTAGTTCCTAATTGGTTGATATAGGCCATTATATCAACCAACGGAGACGCGCCACGACAGACGCACGCAATGAGTGGTGAGCAGATAACTGATTTACACATTTGTATTTAGACATAGTTAGATGAAGATAAATAGTGATTTATTGCAGACATTAACTATTATAAATACAGTTCTACTTTTTACTCTAACCAAGTACTCGCTTCTTCTTACCGTCTTCCTCTGCACGTACGAGTGTACGTGAAGTTACGAGGCACCGCCTTATTCTGTCATCAGAATAAGTAGCTTGTACTGTCACCAGTACAAGCTTCAGGGTGCCCCGTTACACCTGGTAGCACTTCGTAGTCCGTCCAAGGACCGCGTTCACATCCAACATGAATATGTTGGATGATGAAGATGACCAAAGCTTTCACGCTACGCGTGACGGCTACTCCCATTTGAGCGATGTCGAATGGGATGCGGTTGAACGAATGGGTTCGACCATGGGCATCCATGCTGTTAGCGTCATGCTAGAGGCTCTCAATAGAGATGCCCAACATGCTACTATCGCCAAGTTCATTCAAAATGAACTTGACGCTGAACGCGAGAAAGTAGCCTTGCTTCACCAACAAGGTTCTCAACAAGCAGAGTTGTTGAGAGGACAAGGTGCTCAACAGTTTGAACTGTTGAGACAGCAGCAGGCTGCTGCTGGCGGGTCGATGCACTCGCGTCGACCCGAGACTTTGAAGATTGACATCTCAAAGTATAGGGGGGTCGAAGAAGACTCTCTCTTGAGATGGTTCGTCGAATTGGATGACGCCATAAGGGCGCGTCGCATCGACGACAGGGATATGCAAGTTGCATTTGCCCAGTCAAATCTGGCAGGACGTGCCAAGACTTGGGCACTGGGGCTCAAGTTGCACGACCCATATGCGTTTGGGTCGTTGGAAGTCTTCAAGTCGCGGCTCAGACAAACGTTTGAACCGCCTAGAGCTGAGTTCAGGGCTCGAACCGAACTCTTGAAACTCAAACAGGGTAAGCGTGATGTGCAAGCTTACGCCCAACATATACGACATCTCACGAGTTGTATAAGTTCCAATCCGGTGGATGAACACACGTTGGTTTCGGTGTTCATGCAGGGTCTTGCGGATGGTCCCGTCAAGACTCACCTGTATCGACTTGAACTAGATTCAATAGAACAAGCCATTTCCATTGCGGAACAGGAAGACTTCAGTCTGAGACAGGCTCGCGCCAGCTCGACATCATATCGTACACAGAGATGATATGACAGCGGAGGTCCAGAGCCGATGGAACTCTGTTATGTAGAGAGCGAGAAAGCTCGCTCTACAGACTACACGAAGTTGCAGAAATGCAACAGATGTAAAAAAACAGGACACTACGCTTACGAGTGTAGTGCCCCTCGTCCAGTGTCTCGCAACACTGGGCGTAATGACCGTCCACCCATGAGAAAGGGGCAGGGACGAGGGTCCGTAGTTGGTGCAAAGACGCAACAACGGGATGGACCGTCAAAAAACGGACAGGATCAGTAGGTGCGGAGCACCCTACTGGTCTAGCAACGTCAAGAGAATTTGTAGGCCTCTTGATGAAGGTTGCTCCCAACACACAAACGTTGTGCGTTGCTGCTCTAGGTAATGAGATCTCACTCATTACCTTGAAACTCGAAGTGACGAATAAGTTGTCCCTTCGAGCTCTAGTCGATTGTGGGGCGTCCAACAATTTTGTGCGACGCCAATCGCTAGAAGATGGTCACTTTAAGTTCAGTGAATGTGAAACACCTCCTACGAGGATGACGGTACGTCTTGCGACAGGCGCATCCATAACCATCATGAAGCGTATAGTGAAGATCCACTATACGCTAGAAGATACCCAATATGACGATGACTTTTTCGTATTGGATTTGGATGACAAATTTGATGTCATCCTTGGAATACCGTGGCTCTGAAGGTACGAACCACGGGTAAACTGGCAACATCGAACAGTAACGATGCCTGCCGCTTGTTCATCAGATGGCCATCTGATGAACGTTTTGGAGCGTCCACAAGCGTGTGGATGTACTACGAGTGAGTGCTATGGCCTCACTTGTGGTACGGTCGTTAGTACGACTGCACAAAACCTTAGTGTAACAAATGGTTACACTTCGGAGCAAAGTTCCGGCGGCTGTGAGGAAACACAGGCTGCGACGAAGGTCCACCACTCGAATAAGTCGAGTGGACTGGGACAAAGATGTATCCCTAGCGGGGAACATCTAGAAGAGAAACAATCGATCGCTCAGGTTAAGCGAAACGATAATCCTAGATCGACTGGAGAGTCTTTCGTAGAGGATCTCGCTGTGGTTGCGCAACCACAGCTAGAGGAAGTTAAGGGGATAGGTCCCAACATTACAAATACGGCGGAAATAAGTTCCCTGAAACCCTCGGGAATAAGTCCCCGGGAAGACGAAGGAATAAGTCCTTCGAAGCCTGAGGGAATAAGTCCCCAGGAAATGACAGAGACATTGAATGTCATAGTCAATAACGGATCAAGTGTAGGCGCTTATACACTTGATCTGATTGCGCCTCCGAAGTTAACTTCGGAGATCACTCAGTTGCCAACGCTCGAACATAAAAGGTTCTTGCGTGATCTGCGTAGTGGCAAAGTCAAGCAGATCTGCGTACTCGTCGCTGACGACGAGTGTGTAACCGACATAAGGTCAGCAACAGTGTTTACTGAGAACGAGAGAGTTCTCAGTAGTTCATCTATGGAAGAGAGTGTCCTAGATGAAAAGACACGAGTTGAGGGATATGACTCCCAATCGTGGGAGTCGCTCAAGACAAATCCTCTCTATGAAGATTTGGTTGAATTCAAGGATGTATTCCCTGAAACTGTTCCGTGCGAATTACCGAAGGATAAAGGTATTCGACACGAAGTCGAGCTTAAACCAGGCTCGAAGTACTGTGTCATGAAGCAGTGGCCACTGCCTCGTGAACAAGTACTTGCGATCGACAAGTTCTTTGCCGATCGTTTAGCAGCGGGCCATGTGAGGGAATCAACTTCCCCACATAGCTCTCCGACCTTCTGTGTGCGAAAAGCAACAGGAGGGTGGCGGATAGTGCACGCGTTCAACAAATTGAACGCTGCAACGGTACCGGCTCAGACGCCGATACCGAGGAAGGACGTAATCATTGATGGTATGTCAAAGAGTACCATAAGTTCGTCCATGGATTTGATGGATGGATTCTATCAAATCCTAATGCGGGAACGGGATATACCCTATACCGCAGTTAGCACGCCTAGCGGCATGCTCTGGGAATGGCTAGTAATGCCACAAGGGCTTAGTAATGCCCCTGCCACGTTCAACAGATGTGTATCACATCTGTTGAGACCAGTACGAGAATTCGCGCCGAGTTATTTCGATGACGTATTCATCCATAGTCGAGCTATGGATGGAAAGTCGGACGTTGAGGTTCACAGGTACCACGTCCGGCAAGTTCTTACAATCATGCGAAAGCATCAATTGTATGCAAACCTCAAGAAGTGTATATTTGCGGCAAGCGAAATACCACTTCTTGGGTGTATCGTTGGTAAGAACGGTGTAAGTCCTGATCCCGAAAAGATCAAGGCGATCACCGACTGGCCTGTGCCGGTCGATGTCAAAGGTCTTCGAAAATTCCTTGGGCTAGCGGCGTATTTGCATAAGTATTCACGCAATTACGCCGAGATGACTGTGCACCTCTCTCGTTTGTTGAAAAAGAACGAGAGGTGGTTATGGAACGCTGAATGTCAACGCTCCTTTGAGGGTATCAAGCAGAGCTTGATACAATCCCCAGTCCTAGCAATAGCCGATCAGGACAGGCCATTTCATGTGGTCTGTGATGCCAGCGATTTTGCAATCGGCTGTGCATTAAAATGCAGTACGATCTTGAAGGCGTTGAACGCGTCGTCTGCTATCAGTCGCGTCAGCTGCAACCAGCTGAGCGGAGCTATCCAGTGCATGACAAGGAACTCCTTGCCATGAAGTATGCACTCGCGAAGTTCAGAGTCTATCTATTAGGAGATAGACCCTTCATTGTTTACACTGACCATGCGTCATTACGCACGGCAGTGAACAGCCCGCACCTTTCACAACGAATGGCGCGGTGGTTGTCATTCTTTGCGGAATACAACTTTACGGTTGAGTACAAACCAGGACGACTTAATGTCGTCGCTGATGCACTCTCACGTCGTCCCGACTTTGAAACAGTCGCGAAACCCAACAGTGAGACAGTCACTGTTGCGGTTATGACGTCCTCAGTTCCATCTACAACGTTGTATGATGATGTGAGGCGGGCATACGCCCAAGATGGTGAGATTGTGAAGTTGTTGACACATCTCTCCCAACCATCTCGAGAATCGTTGAAACGATTGTCGCCTGCGTATCGATCTGATGCAGATCGATACACTACTCGTAACGGTTTACTGTATTATACAGCCGTTTCTGGTGACACACCACGTGTTGTCATTCCAGATGATACTGATCTGCGTTTGCGGATCATGTTCGAGTATCACGATGCTTCTATAGGAGGACATCGTGGCCGGGAGAAAACACATTTCACGGTGAGTCGAGACTTTTACTGGCCCCGCCAGTATCAGTTTGTGCGAAAGTATGTTCGCGCATGCGAAGTCTGCCAACGAGTGAAGTCAAGTCCTTCACTGCGTGCACCCTTACAGCCTCTACCGGTTCCGGCTGAGTGCTGGGAATCCATCTCAATGGATTTTGTCTTCGGGTTACCCAAAGACGCACGCGGGAATACGGGTATCCTCGTATTTGTTGACAGATTCAGCAAAATGGTACACCTTGTGACTGTACCAGATACAATCACGGCAAGTGGCTGTGCTTGTGTCTTTATTGACACCATCTTCCGACTTCATGGGTTGCCCCGTGAACTCGTGTCAGACAGAGATCCACGATTCACTGCTGATTTCTGGCGTTCCGTGTTCAAATCACTCGGAACGCGCTTGAAGATGTCGACATCTGATCATCCAGAGTCAGATGGTCAGACGGAACGTGCCAATCGTGTCCTTGATGAGATACTTCGAGGATACGTACACTCCTTTAAGAGTTGGAGTGAGTTTTTGCCTATGGTAGAGTTTGCCATCAACAACTCGGTGCATGCGTCCACGACACATACACCGTTTTACGTGAATGGCTTGCGCCATCCGCGTGTACCCACCTTACTAGAGTGTAACTCTGGTTTAAGGGGGGGAGGGACTCGCGCGAGCAAAAACCGACTTGGTTCACGCTCGTCACGCTCTGACGAAGAAGTCATTGCGTTTGATGCCGATATCGATAACATGGATATCGAAAAAGATGATGCCAGTGAGAGCGAGGAAGCCCTCACTGAAGAAACGATTGATGTCGCTGCAGTGCACCCACAGCGCACTGAAGCTAACGAGTCAGCAGATGAGTTCGTACTGGCTCGTGAAACGGTAGTCCGTTTTGTGCAAGACTCCATCGCCGAAGCGGTGGATAAGCAAAAGCAAAACGCAGACAAGAATGGAAGGGAAAACAATATTTTATTTAATACAGGTGACTTAGTCCTACTGTCTACGGTTGACCTACCAAAGCATGTAGTGACTAACTTGGGTAGCAGTAAACTAATACCCAAGTAAATTGGCCCATTTCGTGTATTGCACCGCCTAGGCAATGCATACACGATCGAGTTACCACGTAAGATGCGAACGCATCCCACGTTTTACGTTGGTCGGCTTAAGCCGTACCATCAGTACGCTGCTTCTTCCGATGAAGAACGCCCTTGCGCTCAAGCATCTCGCAGAGAGCCTTGTGCTCCCGATGGTGGGCATCAACAAGGGTCTGAAGAGCAGTTATCTCAGCCCGAGACCGATCAACAATCCCACGAGCTAACCTTAGCTCGTCACGAAGAGATGTCAGAGATCTCTCGTTCTCGAGCTGAGCAAAGGCAAACTCAGCTCGATGCTTCGAGGCAGTGTCCGCCATTTGGAGACGCCTATTCCGCTCATGCTCGAGATCGTCGCGTAACCCTTGCGTTACGCGATCAAAGAAGCTCTCGGGAACACACCGATCCACATGATCGTGTGGAGAGCGTCTTTCCTCCTCCTCCACCTCCATTAGAGGACTCTCGCGGTGGCCAGCGCTATCTAGTTGAGCAGCTGTTGAACCGCCGCGACGTGAACGGACGTCGGACGAGTTATCTCGTCCGGTGGCGCGGCTATCCCCCGTCCTGGGATTCTTGGGAGCCCCGCTCCCAACTGATGATCGACGTACTGGGTCTGGTTGAGCAGTACGACGCGGCACATCCTGTGCCGCAGAAGGACCGCCGGAGAAAGTCTTCCCGGCACGGTCGCAAAGGGATTTCAGGTTGTCAATCCCGTCGTACATCTCAGTAGAGACACGTACGCGCCACCACGGGCTGGTAAGGAGGTAAGCCTCCTTAGGTGCTCGCGCAGAGTTGTTCACACAACATGGGCACGAGTCTCCCCAAGAGAGGCAGGGTAATCCTTTCTCCCTTGACAGACGATGCAGCTTATAGCTTGCACCTGTCGGGGTTCGCTTTTCAAACTTATCACGAGCTTTGATAAGTTTGTCGTTCCAAGCGTCACGACATACATCCTCGAGGTTATGGATGAAGGCGTGCCACGCTTGAAGTAGTGAGGGACCATCACGTTTGTGGTTCCCACTGTACCATCGATGTCTGAAGAAAGCATCGATGAAGAATTCGTTTTCAGCGCGATAGTTTTTCGCGCTGGGGTCAAGGTGATGGATCCTTGACGAATCGAACAATCGTGTTCGATAACGATCACTCGTCGTCACCGACAAGTGATCCATGACGGATTTCGGAGGCATCCATGCCTTCTTTTCTGGAGCGAGACGCAACACATTGCGGTCCCGCCCTTCCTGCGACGTGCCGACAGAAGTACTGGCACCTCGCTATGAAGTGGTGTCCATTGGAGAACCGACACCACTATTAGCGCTCGAGTCTCGCGACCTCGAGCGCCTTCGCTTCGGCGATGGTTCATCTGATTCATCAGATGAACCAAAGATACTGCGACGCAAAGCATCGTCCATGCCACGCTTGGCTGGCGGCTTAGATTCAATCGCCGTCGATACGGATCCGTCATCCGTATCAGGAGAGTACGAGACACCGAGCTCGTACTCTGTGAAGACACGAGTGTCTTCATGACCAGCGCCTGCATCACCAAGTGATACAGGCTGAGTCGCTTCAGCAACCGATGGGACATCAGTTGCTGTTGTTTCTGCTTCGGCGTCCGCACAGAGACGTGCAGACGCGCTCTCGGCGGCCTTGCTCGCGCATCGCAGGGCTTGTTTACCATGCGATGAGATGTTGGAAAGTGGACGCGGACCAACAAGTGCAAACCCTGTCCCAAATGATTTGGGACGAGTATCCATTGAGTCAATCAGTCACTAAAGTGACTGATGGTTAAGGGGGAGTGATGTAACGGGGTGAATCGTTACATAACAATTTATAAGAAATTGTTAATAGAATATAACTATAAGAGTTATATTCTCAGAATATTGTCATAAGGACAAATATTCTGTAGCACTTACAAGTAGTTCCTAATTGGTTGATATAGGCCATTATATCAACCAACGAAGACGCGCCACGACAGACGCACGCAATGAGTGGTGAGCAGATAACTGATTTACACATTTGTATTTAGACATAGTTAGATGAAGATAAATAGTGATTTATTGCAGACATTAACTATTATAAATACAGTTCTACTTTTTACTCTAACCAAGTACTCGCTTCTTCTTACCGTCTTCTCTGCACGTACGAGTGTACGTGAAGTTACGAGGCACCGCCTTATTCTGTCATCAGAATAAGTAGCTTGTACTGTCACCAGTACAAGCTTCAGGGTGCCCCGTTACAGTTTCCACTTGCGATCGAGTGATCTCGTATATCAAGTCTGCTAAGGTTGAATGGTACAAACGATGATAAGCTTGGGTTTGACAGAGCAAAGACGGCAGACCTTGAGGCGATTTGAACTAGGCTCCAGGAATGACCAGCTACCGCACAGACCATCATCCTTAATATACTTACTGATATGCTTGACATCCGAATGCGATGAGCGTCATGATTTCGGCATCCCTACGCTTCGATCAACTGCTTTGGCCAAAGCGGCGTGGATTTTATACCCGCCAAGGCGTCGAGTTGTTATCGATAGTTCTATGTGCGGCAAAACCCTTCGAACGCCATTACCAGGCCTGGCACATTTCACACGATGGCGAGGTGGAAGTCGTTTGCTGAGAACAGCGTTCCAAATGTAGTGGCCGAGTTGAAACAGTGTTGACTGATAGTAGCATCCAATGGAGGGATCCTCAATGGCAAAGGCTCGAGCATGATTTTTGCATGTTCATCTGACAGATCTCGTAGAATTCTTGAGGTACACGCCTGTGTTGGCAGGTAGTTATTCATACACCTTGTGTGTGCCGAACTGTGTGTTTGCTAAGGAAATAGCCCTGCGTACCGCCTAGAAAGCACTTGCTATGGGTATTTCTGTGAAGGTTAAGCGAGCAAGAGATCTTACGTCTCGTGCGACACGAGTGATCTTGTTCGATAGTTCAGCGTCGACGCACACCTGCTTTCATCGCTAGATGCGTAGATTCCATACTCTCGGTAAAAGGGGTGTCGATTCTGAGCGGCTCTTACACGCCTTGCTTGGGGATGCATTCGACTTTGGTGAATGAGATTGCGCATTTTGTACTCACCAACAGCAGCGACCTGGATCCAGTCGGACCTGGGGGTAACAGGTTTTCAAGCTCGGTTGAGTATAACCTTGTCTTCGCTTCGACTTGACGCTTGACCCGTGTCGGTTTCAATGCGAAGGAACTGAGCATTACTGTAACGGGGTGAATCGTTACATAACAATTTATAAGAAATTGTTAATAGAATATAACTATAAGAGTTATATTCTCAGAATATTGTCATAAGGACAAATATTCTGTAGCACTTACAAGTAGTTCCTAATTGGTTGATATAGGCCATTATATCAACCAACGAAGACGCGCCACGACAGACGCACGCAATGAGTGGTGAGCAGATAACTGATTTACACATTTGTATTTAGACATAGTTAGATGAAGATAAATAGTGATTTATTGCAGACATTAACTATTATAAATACAGTTCTACTTTTTACTCTAACCAAGTACTCGCTTCTTCTTACCGTCTTCTCTGCACGTACGAGTGTACGTGAAGTTACGAGGCACCGCCTTATTCTGTTATCAGAATAAGTAGCTTGTACTGTCACCAGTACAAGCTTCAGGGTGCCCCGTTACACCTGGTAGCACTTCGTAGTCCGTCCAAGGACCGCGTTCACATCCAACATGAATATGTTGGATGATGAAGATGACCAAAGCTTTCACGCTACGCGTGACGGCTACTCCCATTTGAGCGATGTCGAATGGGATGCGGTTGAACGAATGGGTTCGACCATGGGCATCCATGCTGTTAGCGTCATGCTAGAGGCTCTCAATAGAGATGCCCAACATGCTACTATCGCCAAGTTCATTCAAAATGAACTTGACGCAGAACGCGAGAAAGTAGCCTTGCTTCACCAACAAGGTTCTCAACAAGCAGAGTTGTTGAGAGAACAAGGTGCTCAACAGTTTGAACTGTTGAGACAGCAGCAGGCTGCTGCTGGCGGGTCGATGCACTCGCGTCGGCCCGAGACTTTGAAGATTGACATCTCAAAGTATAGGGGGTCGAAGAAGACTCCCTCTTGAGATGGTTCGTCGAATTGGATGACGCCATAAGGGCGCGTCGCATCGACGACGGGGATATGCAAGTTGCATTTGCCCAGTCAAATCTGGCAGGACGTGCCAAGACTTGGGCACTGGGGCTCAAGCTGCACGACCCATACGCGTTTGGGTCGTTGGAAGTCTTCAAGTCGCGGCTCAGACAAACGTTTGAACCGCCTAGAGCTGAGTTCAGAGCTCGAACCGAACTCTTGAAGCTCAGGCAGGGTAAGCGTGATGTGCACGCTTACGCTCAACATATACGACATCTCACGAGTTGTATAAGTTCCAATCCGGTGGATGAACACACGTTGGTTTCGGTGTTCATGCAGGGTCTTGCGGATGGTCCCGTCAAGACTCACCTGTATCGACTTGAACTAGATTCACTAGAACAAGCCATTTCCATTGCGGAGCAGGAAGACTTCAGTCTGAGACAGGCTCGCGCCAGCTCGACATCATATCGTCAACCGAGACGATATGACAACGGAGGTCCAGAGCCGATGGAACTCTGTTATGTAGAGAGCGAGAAGGCTCGCTCTACAGGCTACAAGAAGTTGCAGAAATGCAACAGATGTAAAAAAACAGGACACTACGCTTACGAGTGTAGTGCCCCTCGTCCAGTGTCTCGCGACACTGGGCGTAGTGACCGTCCACCCATGAGAAAGGGGCAGGGACGAGGGTCCGCAGTTGGTGCAAAGACGCAACAACGGGATGGACCGTCAAAAAACGGACAGGATCAGTAGGTGCGGAGCACCCTACTGATCCAGCAACGTCAAGAGAATTTGTAGGCCTCTTGATGAAGGTTGCTCCCAACACACAGACATTGTGCGTTGCTGCTCTAGGTAATGAGATCTCACTCATTACCTTGAAACTCGAAGTGACGAATAAGTTGTCCCTTCGAGCTCTAGTCGATTGTGGGGCGTCCAACAATTTTGTGCGACGCCAATCGCTAGAAGATGGTCACTTTAAATTCAGTGAATGTGACACACCTCCTACGAGGATGACGGTACGTCTTGCGACAGGCGCATCCGTAACCGTCATGAAGCGTATAGTGAAGATTCACTATACGCTAGAAGATACCCAATACGACGATGACTTTATCGTATTGGATTTGGATGACAAATTTGATGTCATCCTTGGAATACCGTGGCTCTGAAGGTACGAACCACGGGTAAACTGGCAACATCGGACAGTAACGATGCCTGCCGCTTGTTCATCAGATGGCCATCTGATGAACGTTTTGGAGCGTCCACAAGCGTGTGGATGTACTACGAGTGAGTGCGATGGCCTCACTTGTGGTACGGTCGTTAGTACGACTGCACAAAACCTTAGTGTACCAAACGGTTACACTTCGGAGCAAAGTTCCGGCGGCTGTGAGGAAACACAGGCTGCGCCGAAGGTCCACCACTCGAATAAGTCGGGTGGACTGGGACAAAGATGTATCCCTAGAGGGGAACATCTAGAAGAGAAACAATCGATCGCTCAGGTTAAGCGAAACGATAATCCTAGATCGACTGGAGAGTCTTTCGTAGAGGATCTCGCTGTGGTTGCGCAACCCCAGCTAGAGGAAGTAAAGGGAATAAGTCCCAAGATTACAAATACGGCGGAAATAAGTTCCCCGAAACCCAAGGGATTAAGTCCCCGGGAAGACGAAGGAATAAGTCCTTCGAAGCCTGAGGGAATAAGTCCCCAGGAAATGACAGAGACATTGAATGTCATAGTCAATAACGGATCATGTGTAGGCGCTTATACACTTGATCTGATTGCGCCTCCGAAGTTAACTTCGGAGATCACTCAGTTGCCAACGCTCGAACATAAAAGGTTCTTGCGTGATCTGCGTAGTGGCAAAGTCAAGCAGATCTGCATACTCGTCGCTGAAGACGAGTATGTAACCGACATAAGGTCAGCAACAGTGTTTACTGAGAACGAGAGAGTTCTCAGTAGTTCATCGATGGACGAGAGTGTCCTAGATGAAAAGACACGAATTGAGCGATATGAGTCCCAATCATGGGAATCGCTCAAGGAAAATCCTCTCTATGAAGATTTGGTTGAATTCAAGGATGTATTCCCTGAAACTGTTCCGTGCGAATTACCGAAGGATAAAGGTATTCGACACGAAGTCGAGCTTGAACCAGGCTCGAAGTACTGTGTCATGAAGCAGTGGCCACTGCCTCGTGAACAGTACTTGCGATCGACAAGTTCTTTGCCGATCGTTTAGCAGCGGGCCATGTGAGGGAATCAACTTCCCCACATAGCTCTCCGACCTTCTGTGTGCGAAAAGCAACAGGAGGGTGGCGGATAGTGCACGCGTTTAACAAATTGAACGCTGCAACGGTACCGGCTCAGACGCCGATACCGAGGAAGGACGTAATCATTGATGGTATGTCAAAGAGTACCATCTTTTCGTCCATGGATTTGATGGATGGCTTCTATCAAATCCTAATGCGGGAACGGGATATACCCTATACCGCAGTTAGCACGCCTAGCGGCATGCTCTGGGAATGGCTAGTAATGCCACAAGGGCTCAGTAATGCCCCTGCCACGTTCAACAGGTGTGTATCACATCTGTTGAGGCCGGTACGAGAATTCGCGCCGAGTTATTTCGATGACGTATTCATCCATAGTCGAGCTATGGATGGAAAGTCGGACGTTGAGGTTCACAAGTACCACGTCCGACAAGTTCTTACAATCATGCGAAAGCATCAATTGTATGCAAACCTCAAGAAGTGTATATTTGCAGCAAGCGAAATACCACTTCTTGGGTGCATCGTTGGTAAGAACGGTGTACGTCCTGATCCCGAAAAGATCAAGGCGATCACCGACTGGCCCGTGCCGGTCGATGTCAAAGGTCTTCGAAAATTCCTTGGGCTAGCGGCGTATTTGCATAAGTATTCACGCAATTACGCCGAGATGACTGTACACCTCTCTCGTTTGTTGAAAAAGAACGAGAGGTGGTTATGGAACGCTGAATGTCAACGCTCCTTTGATGGTATCAAGCAGAGCTTGATACAATCCCCAGTCCTAGCAATAGCCGATCAGGACAGGCCATTTCATGTGGTCTGTGATGCCAGCGATTTCGCAATCGGCTGTGCATTAATGCAGTACGACCTTGAAGGCGTTGAACGCGTCGTCTGCTATCAGTCGCGTCAGCTGCAACCAGCTGAGCGGAACTATCCAGTGCATGACAAGGAACTCCTTGCCATGAAGTATGCACTCGCGAAGTTCAGAGTCTATCTATTAGGAGATAGACCCTTCGTTGTTTACACTGACCATGCGTCCTTACGCACGGCAGTGAACAGCCCGCACCTTTCACAACGAATGGCGCGGTGGTTGTCATTCTTTGCAGAATACAACTTTACGGTCGAGTACAAACCAGGACGACTTAATGTCGTCGCTGATGCACTCTCACGTCGTCCCGACTTTGAAACAGTCGCGAAACCCAACAGTGAGACAGTCACTGTTGCGGTTATGACGTCCTCAGTTCCATCTACAACGTTGTATGATGATGTGAGGCGGGCATACGCCCAAGATGGTGAGATAGTGAAGTTGTTGTCACATCTCTCCCAACCATCTCGAGAATCGTTGAAACGATTGTCGTCTGCGTATCGATCTGCATCAGATCGATACACTACTCGTAACGGTTTACTGTATTATACAGCCGTTTCTGGTGACACACCACGTGTTGTCATTCCAGATGATACTGATCTGCGTTTGCGGATCATGTTCGAGTATCACGATGCTCCTATAGGAGGACATCGTGGCCGAGAGAAAACATTTCACGGTAAGTCGAGACTTTTACTGGCCCCGCCAGTATCAGTTTGTGCGAAAGTATGTTCGCGCATGCGAAGTCTGCCAACGAGTGAAGTCAAGTCCTTCACTGCGTGCACCTTTACAGCCTCTACCGGTTCCGGCTGAGTGCTGGGAATCCATCTCAATGGATTTCGTCTTCGGGTTACCCAAAGACGCACGCGGGAATACGGGTATTCTCGTATTTGTTGACAGATTCAGCAAAATGGTACACCTTGTGGCTGTACCAGAGACAATCACGGCAAGTGGCTGTGCTTGTGTCTTTATTGACACCATCTTCCGACTTCATGGGTTGCCCCGTGAACTCGTATCAGACAGAGATCCACGATTCACTGCTGATTTCTGGCGTTCCGTGTTCAAATCACTCGGAACGCGCTTGAAGATGTCAACATCTGATCATCCAGAGTCAGATGGTCAGACGGAACGTGCCAATCGTGTCCTTGAAGAGATACTTCGAGGATACGTACACTCCTTTTAAGAGTTGGAGTGAGTTTTTGCCGATGGTAGAGTTTGCCATCAACAACTCGGTGCATGCGTCCACGACACATACACCGTTTTACGTGAATGGCTTGCGCCATCCGCGTGTACCCACCTTACTAGAGTGTAACTCTGGTTTAAGGGGGGAGGGACTCGCGCGAGCAAAAACCGATTTGGTTCACGCTCATCACGCTCTGACGAAGAAGTCATTGCGTTTGATGCCGATATCGATAACATCGATATCGAAGAAGATGATGCCAGTGAGAGTGCGGAAGCCCTCACTGAAGACAATGATCCCAGTGAGAGTGCGGAAGCCCTCACTGAAGAAAAGGTTGTTGTCGCTGCAGTGCGCTCACAGCACACTGAAGCTAACGAGTCATCAGATGAGTTCATACTGGCTCGTGAAACGGTAGTCCGTTTTGTGCAAGACTCCATCGCCGAAGCGGTGGATAAGCAAAAGCAAAACGCTGACAAGAATGGAAGGGCAAACACTCTTTTTATTTAATAAAGGTGACTTAGTCCTACTGTCTACGGTTAATCTACCAAAACATGTAGTGACTAACTTGGGTAGCAGTAAACTACTACCCAAGTACATTGGCCCATTTCGTGTATTGCACCGCCTAGGCAATGCATACACGATCGAGTTACCACGTAAGATGCGAACGCATCCCACGTTTTACGTTGGTCGGCTTAAGCCGTACCATCAGTACGCTGCTTCTTCCGATGAAGAACGCCCTTGCGCTCAAGCATCTCGCAGAGAGCCTTGTGCTCCCGATGGTGGGCATCAACAAGGGTCTGAAGAGCAGTTATCTCAGCCCGAGACCGATCAACAATCCCACGAGCTAACCTTAGCTCGTCACGAAGAGATGTCAGAGATCTCTCGTTCTCGAGCTGAGCAAAGGCAAACTCAGCTCGATGCTTCGAGGCAGTGTCCGCCATTTGGAGACGCCTATTCCGCTCATGCTCGAGATCGTCGCGTAACCCTTGCGTTACGCGATCAAAGAAGCTCTCGGGAACACACCGATCCACATGATCGTGTGGAGAGCGTCTTTCCTCCTCCTCCACCTCCATTAGAGGACTCTCGCGGTGGCCAGCGCTATCTAGTTGAGCAGCTGTTGAACCACCGCGACGTGAACGGACGTCGGACGAGTTACCTCGTCCGGTGGCGCGGCTATCCCCCGTCCTGGGATTCTTGGGAGCCCCGCTCCCAATTGATGGTTGACGTACTGGGTCTGGTCGAGCGGTACGACGCGACACATCCTGTGCCGCAGAAGGACCGCCGGAGAAAGTCTTCCCGGCACGGTCGTAAAGGGATTTCAGGTTGTCAATCCCTTCGTACATCTCAGTAGAGACACGTACGCGCCACCACGGGCTGGTAAGGAGGTAAGCCTCCTTAGGTGCTCGTGCAGAGTTGTTCACACAACATGGGCACGAGTCTCCCCAAGAGAGGCAGGGTAATCCTTTCTCCCTTGACAGACGATGCAGCTTATAGCGTGCACCTGTCGGGGTTCGCTTTTCAAACTTATCACGAGCTTTGATAAGTTTGTCGTTCCAAGCGTCACGACCTACATCCTCAAGGTTATGGATGTAAGCGTTCCACGCTTGAAGCAGTGAGGGACCATCACGCTTATGATTCCCACTGTACCATCGATGTCTAAAGAAAGCATCGATGAAGAATTCGTTTTCAGCGCGATAGTTTTTCGCACTGGGGTCAAGGTGATGAATCCTCGACGAATCGAACAATCGTGTTCGATAACGATCACTCGTCGTCGCCGACAAGTGATCCATGACAGATTTAGGAGGCATCCATGCCTTCTTTTCTGGAGCGAGACGCAACACATTGCGGTCCCGCTCTTCCTGCGACGTGCCGACAGAAGTACTGGCACCTCGCTGTGAAGTGGTGTCCATTGGAGAAACGACACCACTATTAGCGCCCGAGTCTCGCGACCTCGAGCGCCTTCGCTTCGGCGATGGTTCATCTGACTCATCAGATGAACCAAAGATGCTGCGACGCAAAGCATCGTCCATGCCACGCTTGGCAGGCGGCTTGGATTCAATTGCCGTCGATACGGATCCGTCATCCGTATCAGGAGAGTACGAGACACCGAGCTCGTACTCTGTGAAGACACGAGTGTCTTCATGACCAGCGCCTGCATCACCAGGTGATACAGGCTGAGTCGATTCAGCAACCGATGGGACATCAGTTGCTGTAGTTTCTGCTTCGGCGTCCGCACAGAGACGTGCAGACGCGCTCTCGGCGGCCTTGCTCGCGCATCGCATGGGCTTGTTTACCATGCGATGAAATGTTGGAAAGTGGACGCGGACCAACAAGTGCAAACCCCGTCCCAAATGATTTGGGACGAGTATCCATTGAGTCAATCAGTCACTAAAGTGACTGATGGTTAAGGGGGGGTGATGTAACGGGGTGAATCGTTACATAACAATTTATAAGAAATTGTTAATAGAATATAACTATAAGAGTTATATTCTCAGAATATTGTCATAAGGACAATATTCTGTAGCACTTCCAAGTAGTTCCTAATTGGTTGATATAGGCCATTATATCAACCAACGAAGACGCGCCACGACAGACGCACGCAATGAGTGGTGAGCAGATAACTGATTTACACATTTGTATTTAGACATAGTTAGATGAAGATAAATAGTGATTTATTGCAGACATTAACTATTATAAATACAGTTCTACTTTTTACTCTAACCGAGTACTCGCTTCTTCTTACCGTCTTCCTCTGCACGTACGAGTGTACGTGAAGTTACGAGGCACCGCCTTATTCTGTTATCAGAATAAGTAGCTTGTACTGTCACCAGTACAAGCTTCAGGGTGCCCCGTTACACCTGGTAGCACTTCGTAGTCCGTCCAAGGACCGCGTTCACATCCAACATGAATATGTTGGATGATGAAGATGACCAAAGCTTTCACGCTACGCGTGACGGCTACTCCCATTTGAGCGATGTCGAATGGGATGCGGTTGAACGAATGGGTTCGACCATGGGCATCCATGCTGTTAGCGTCATGCTAGAGGCTCTCAATAGAGATGCCCAACATGCTACTATCGCCAAGTTCATTCAAAATGAACTTGACGCAGAACGCGAGAAAGTAGCCTTGCTTCACCAACAAGGTTCTCAACAAGCAGAGTTGTTGAGAGAACAAGGTGCTCAACAGTTTGAACTGTTGAGACAGCAGCAGGCTGCTGCTGGCGGGTCGATGCACTCGCGTCGGCCCGAGACTTTGAAGATTGACATCTCAAAGTATAGGGGGTCGAAGAAGACTCCCTCTTGAGATGGTTCGTCGAATTGGATGACGCCATAAGGGCGCGTCGCATCGACGACGGGGATATGCAAGTTGCATTTGCCCAGTCAAATCTGGCAGGACGTGCCAAGACTTGGGCACTGGGGCTCAAGCTGCACGACCCATACGCGTTTGGGTCGTTGGAAGTCTTCAAGTCGCGGCTCAGACAAACGTTTGAACCGCCTAGAGCTGAGTTCAGAGCTCGAACCGAACTCTTGAAGCTCAGGCAGGGTAAGCGTGATGTGCACGCTTACGCTCAACATATACGACATCTCACGAGTTGTATAAGTTCCAATCCGGTGGATGAACACACGTTGGTTTCGGTGTTCATGCAGGGTCTTGCGGATGGTCCCGTCAAGACTCACCTGTATCGACTTGAACTAGATTCACTAGAACAAGCCATTTCCATTGCGGAGCAGGAAGACTTCAGTCTGAGACAGGCTCGCGCCAGCTCGACATCATATCGTCAACCGAGACGATATGACAACGGAGGTCCAGAGCCGATGGAACTCTGTTATGTAGAGAGCGAGAAGGCTCGCTCTACAGGCTACAAGAAGTTGCAGAAATGCAACAGATGTAAAAAAACAGGACACTACGCTTACGAGTGTAGTGCCCCTCGTCCAGTGTCTCGCGACACTGGGCGTAGTGACCGTCCACCCATGAGAAAGGGGCAGGGACGAGGGTCCGCAGTTGGTGCAAAGACGCAACAACGGGATGGACCGTCAAAAAACGGACAGGATCAGTAGGTGCGGAGCACCCTACTGATCCAGCAACGTCAAGAGAATTTGTAGGCCTCTTGATGAAGGTTGCTCCCAACACACAGACATTGTGCGTTGCTGCTCTAGGTAATGAGATCTCACTCATTACCTTGAAACTCGAAGTGACGAATAAGTTGTCCCTTCGAGCTCTAGTCGATTGTGGGGCGTCCAACAATTTTGTGCGACGCCAATCGCTAGAAGATGGTCACTTTAAATTCAGTGAATGTGACACACCTCCTACGAGGATGACGGTACGTCTTGCGACAGGCGCATCCGTAACCGTCATGAAGCGTATAGTGAAGATTCACTATACGCTAGAAGATACCCAATACGACGATGACTTTATCGTATTGGATTTGGATGACAAATTTGATGTCATCCTTGGAATACCGTGGCTCAGAAGGTACGAACCACGGGTAAACTGGCAACATCGGACAGTAACGATGCCTGCCGCTTGTTCATCAGATGGCCATCTGATGAACGTTTTGGAGCGTCCACAAGCGTGTGGATGTACTACGAGTGAGTGCGATGGCCTCACTTGTGGTACGGTCGTTAGTACGACTGCACAAAACCTTAGTGTACCAAACGGTTACACTTCGGAGCAAAGTTCCGGCGGCTGTGAGGAAACACAGGCTGCGCCGAAGGTCCACCACTCGAATAAGTCGGGTGGACTGGGACAAAGATGTATCCCTAGAGGGGAACATCTAGAAGAGAAACAATCGATCGCTCAGGTTAAGCGAAACGATAATCCTAGATCGACTGGAGAGTCTTTCGTAGAGGATCTCGCTGTGGTTGCGCAACCCCAGCTAGAGGAAGTAAAGGGAATAAGTCCCAAGATTACAAATACGGCGGAAATAAGTTCCCCGAAACCCAAGGGATTAAGTCCCCGGGAAGACGAAGGAATAAGTCCTTCGAAGCCTGAGGGAATAAGTCCCCAGGAAATGACAGAGACATTGAATGTCATAGTCAATAACGGATCATGTGTAGGCGCTTATACACTTGATCTGATTGCGCCTCCGAAGTTAACTTCGGAGATCACTCAGTTGCCAACGCTCGAACATAAAAGGTTCTTGCGTGATCTGCGTAGTGGCAAAGTCAAGCAGATCTGCATACTCGTCGCTGAAGACGAGTATGTAACCGACATAAGGTCAGCAACAGTGTTTACTGAGAACGAGAGAGTTCTCAGTAGTTCATCGATGGACGAGAGTGTCCTAGATGAAAAGACACGAATTGAGCGATATGAGTCCCAATCATGGGAATCGCTCAAGGAAAATCCTCTCTATGAAGATTTGGTTGAATTCAAGGATGTATTCCCTGAAACTGTTCCGTGCGAATTACCGAAGGATAAAGGTATTCGACACGAAGTCGAGCTTGAACCAGGCTCGAAGTACTGTGTCATGAAGCAGTGGCCACTGCCTCGTGAACAAGTACTTGCGATCGACAAGTTCTTTGCCGATCGTTTAGCAGCGGGCCATGTGAGGGAATCAACTTCCCCACATAGCTCTCCGACCTTCTGTGTGCGAAAAGCAACAGGAGGGTGGCGGATAGTGCACGCGTTTAACAAATTGAACGCTGCAACGGTACCGGCTCAGACGCCGATACCGAGGAAGGACGTAATCATTGATGGTATGTCAAAGAGTACCATCTTTTCGTCCATGGATTTGATGGATGGCTTCTATCAAATCCTAATGCGGGAACGGGATATACCCTATACCGCAGTTAGCACGCCTAGCGGCATGCTCTGGGAATGGCTAGTAATGCCACAAGGGCTCAGTAATGCCCCTGCCACGTTCAACAGGTGTGTATCACATCTGTTGAGGCCGGTACGAGAATTCGCGCCGAGTTATTTCGATGACGTATTCATCCATAGTCGAGCTATGGATGGAAAGTCGGACGTTGAGGTTCACAAGTACCACGTCCGACAAGTTCTTACAATCATGCGAAAGCATCAATTGTATGCAAACCTCAAGAAGTGTATATTTGCAGCAAGCGAAATACCACTTCTTGGGTGCATCGTTGGTAAGAACGGTGTACGTCCTGATCCCGAAAAGATCAAGGCGATCACCGACTGGCCCGTGCCGGTCGATGTCAAAGGTCTTCGAAAATTCCTTGGGCTAGCGGCGTATTTGCATAAGTATTCACGCAATTACGCCGAGATGACTGTACACCTCTCTCGTTTGTTGAAAAAGAACGAGAGGTGGTTATGGAACGCTGAATGTCAACGCTCCTTTGATGGTATCAAGCAGAGCTTGATACAATCCCCAGTCCTAGCAATAGCCGATCAGGACAGGCCATTTCATGTGGTCTGTGATGCCAGCGATTTCGCAATCGGCTGTGCATTAATGCAGTACGACCTTGAAGGCGTTGAACGCGTCGTCTGCTATCAGTCGCGTCAGCTGCAACCAGCTGAGCGGAACTATCCAGTGCATGACAAGGAACTCCTTGCCATGAAGTATGCACTCGCGAAGTTCAGAGTCTATCTATTAGGAGATAGACCCTTCGTTGTTTACACTGACCATGCGTCCTTACGCACGGCAGTGAACAGCCCGCACCTTTCACAACGAATGGCGCGGTGGTTGTCATTCTTTGCAGAATACAACTTTACGGTCGAGTACAAACCAGGACGACTTAATGTCGTCGCTGATGCACTCTCACGTCGTCCCGACTTTGAAACAGTCGCGAAACCCAACAGTGAGACAGTCACTGTTGCGGTTATGACGTCCTCAGTTCCATCTACAACGTTGTATGATGATGTGAGGCGGGCATACGCCCAAGATGGTGAGATAGTGAAGTTGTTGTCACATCTCTCCCAACCATCTCGAGAATCGTTGAAACGATTGTCGTCTGCGTATCGATCTGCATCAGATCGATACACTACTCGTAACGGTTTACTGTATTATACAGCCGTTTCTGGTGACACACCACGTGTTGTCATTCCAGATGATACTGATCTGCGTTTGCGGATCATGTTCGAGTATCACGATGCTTCTATAGGAGGACATCGTGGCCGAGAGAAAACATATCTCACGGTAAGTCGAGACTTTTACTGGCCCCGCCAGTATCAGTTTGTGCGAAAGTATGTTCGCGCATGCGAAGTCTGCCAACGAGTGAAGTCAAGTCCTTCACTGCGTGCACCTTTACAGCCTCTACCGGTTCCGGCTGAGTGCTGGGAATCCATCTCAATGGATTTCGTCTTCGGGTTACCCAAAGACGCACGCGGGAATACGGGTATTCTCGTATTTGTTGACAGATTCAGCAAAATGGTACACCTTGTGGCTGTACCAGAGACAATCACGGCAAGTGGCTGTGCTTGTGTCTTTATTGACACCATCTTCCGACTTCATGGGTTGCCCCGTGAACTCGTATCAGACAGAGATCCACGATTCACTGCTGATTTCTGGCGTTCCGTGTTCAAATCACTCGGAACGCGCTTGAAGATGTCAACATCTGATCATCCAGAGTCAGATGGTCAGACGGAACGTGCCAATCGTGTCCTTGAAGAGATACTTCGAGGATACGTACACTCCTTTAAGAGTTGGAGTGAGTTTTTGCCGATGGTAGAGTTTGCCATCAACAACTCGGTGCATGCGTCCACGACACATACACCGTTTTACGTGAATGGCTTGCGCCATCCGCGTGTACCCACCTTACTAGAGTGTAACTCTGGTTTAAGGGGGGAGGGACTCGCGCGAGCAAAAACCGATTTGGTTCACGCTCATCACGCTCTGACGAAGAAGTCATTGCGTTTGATGCCGATATCGATAACATCGATATCGAAGAAGATGATGCCAGTGAGAGTGCGGAAGCCCTCACTGAAGACAATGATCCCAGTGAGAGTGCGGAAGCCCTCACTGAAGAAAAGGTTGTTGTCGCTGCAGTGCGCTCACAGCACACTGAAGCTAACGAGTCATCAGATGAGTTCATACTGGCTCGTGAAACGGTAGTCCGTTTTGTGCAAGACTCCATCGCCGAAGCGGTGGATAAGCAAAAGCAAAACGCTGACAAGAATGGAAGGGCAAACACTCTTTTATTTAATAAAGGTGACTTAGTCCTACTGTCTACGGTTAATCTACCAAAACATGTAGTGACTAACTTGGGTAGCAGTAAACTACTACCCAAGTACATTGGCTCCATTTCGTGTATTGCACCGCCTAGGCAATGCATACACGATCGAGTTACCACGTAAGATGCGAACGCATCCCACGTTTTACGTTGGTCGGCTTAAGCCGTACCATCAGTACGCTGCTTCTTCCGATGAAGAACGCCCTTGCGCTCAAGCATCTCGCAGAGAGCCTTGTGCTCCCGATGGTGGGCATCAACAAGGGTCTGAAGAGCAGTTATCTCAGCCCGAGACCGATCAACAATCCCACGAGCTAACCTTAGCTCGTCACGAAGAGATGTCAGAGATCTCTCGTTCTCGAGCTGAGCAAAGGCAAACTCAGCTCGATGCTTCGAGGCAGTGTCCGCCATTTGGAGACGCCTATTCCGCTCATGCTCGAGATCGTCGCGTAACCCTTGCGTTACGCGATCAAAGAAGCTCTCGGGAACACACCGATCCACATGATCGTGTGGAGAGCGTCTTTCCTCCTCCTCCACCTCCATTAGAGGACTCTCGCGGTGGCCAGCGCTATCTAGTTGAGCAGCTGTTGAACCACCGCGACGTGAACGGACGTCGGACGAGTTACCTCGTCCGGTGGCGCGGCTATCCCCCGTCCTGGGATTCTTGGGAGCCCCGCTCCCAATTGATGGTTGACGTACTGGGTCTGGTCGAGCGGTACGACGCGACACATCCTGTGCCGCAGAAGGACCGCCGGAGAAAGTCTTCCCGGCACGGTCGTAAAGGGATTTCAGGTTGTCAATCCCTTCGTACATCTCAGTAGAGACACGTACGCGCCACCACGGGCTGGTAAGGAGGTAAGCCTCCTTAGGTGCTCGTGCAGAGTTGTTCACACAACATGGGCACGAGTCTCCCCAAGAGAGGCAGGGTAATCCTTTCTCCCTTGACAGACGATGCAGCTTATAGCGTGCACCTGTCGGGGTTCGCTTTTCAAACTTATCACGAGCTTTGATAAGTTTGTCGTTCCAAGCGTCACGACCTACATCCTCAAGGTTATGGATGTAAGCGTTCCACGCTTGAAGCAGTGAGGGACCATCACGCTTATGATTCCCACTGTACCATCGATGTCTAAAGAAAGCATCGATGAAGAATTCGTTTTCAGCGCGATAGTTTTTCGCACTGGGGTCAAGGTGATGAATCCTCGACGAATCGAACAATCGTGTTCGATAACGATCACTCGTCGTCGCCGACAAGTGATCCATGACAGATTTAGGAGGCATCCATGCCTTCTTTTTCTGGAGCGAGACGCAACACATTGCGGTCCCGCTCTTCCTGCGACGTGCCGACAGAAGTACTGGCACCTCGCTGTGAAGTGGTGTCCATTGGAGAAACGACACCACTATTAGCGCCCGAGTCTCGCGACCTCGAGCGCCTTCGCTTCGGCGATGGTTCATCTGACTCATCAGATGAACCAAAGATGCTGCGACGCAAAGCATCGTCCATGCCACGCTTGGCAGGCGGCTTGGATTCAATTGCCGTCGATACGGATCCGTCATCCGTATCAGGAGAGTACGAGACACCGAGCTCGTACTCTGTGAAGACACGAGTGTCTTCATGACCAGCGCCTGCATCACCAGGTGATACAGGCTGAGTCGATTCAGCAACCGATGGGACATCAGTTGCTGTAGTTTCTGCTTCGGCGTCCGCACAGAGACGTGCAGACGCGCTCTCGGCGGCCTTGCTCGCGCATCGCATGGGCTTGTTTACCATGCGATGAAATGTTGGAAAGTGGACGCGGACCAACAAGTGCAAACCCCGTCCCAAATGATTTGGGACGAGTATCCATTGAGTCAATCAGTCACTAAAGTGACTGATGGTTAAGGGGGGTGATGTAACGGGGTGAATCGTTACATAACAATTTATAAGAAATTGTTAATAGAATATAACTATAAGAGTTATATTCTCAGAATATTGTCATAAGGACAATATTCTGTAGCACTTCCAAGTAGTTCCTAATTGGTTGATATAGGCCATTATATCAACCAACGAAGACGCGCCACGACAGACGCACGCAATGAGTGGTGAGCAGATAACTGATTTACACATTTGTATTTAGACATAGTTAGATGAAGATAAATAGTGATTTATTGCAGACATTAACTATTATAAATACAGTTCTACTTTTTACTCTAACCGAGTACTCGCTTCTTCTTACCGTCTTCCTCTGCACGTACGAGTGTACGTGAAGTTACGAGGCACCGCCTTATTCTGTTATCAGAATAAGTAGCTTGTACTGTCACCAGTACAAGCTTCAGGGTGCCCCGTTACAATTACGAAATACATTCTTTGTCATGGCATGAATCAGGTCAAAGAATATGGCTGGACTGCGCCTGGTTTCGACAGAGTGTAGTCTCAATACGTGTATGGTCAATCAAGAAACTAAACAAGACGTGACATGCCCGACAGAACCAGCATAGTTGATCGATTCACGACCTTGGTAAACATTTACAGATGCGAATTCGACATCAAAAGTCTCATTATTTTACGTATTGATCGTCGAGCTCTGTCGAAGTACCCGATGAGGTGCAAGAGATGACAGGCATTAATTTTGTAACAAGAAAAAGGTGCTGGGGTCATGTTGATGTGGAGAATCCGTACGGATGCATTTGAGAAAAGTTGATCGAGGCAAGCATGCAAGAACTAATACACACAGCTCGGTCTTTGAAGAGAAATGAACAAGTCAGTAAATTTAGCAGCTTGACTGCTTGAGCTTATTCACGTCAAATGTCATAGCAGCGAAGGCTGAAGGCTCCTGCTTGCCTAAAGGTAGTAACAGGCATTACATATGGCTAGTACGACTCATTATTTTCAACATTTCTAGGACAACTCGGATTGAATTGCTAGATCACCTGCGAAGAGTTAGTGTTTGATATCTATTCTGCTTTGTCATGATCTATAGAGAAGACGGTTCGATAACTTGGTGATACATGGGCGCCTGCAAAGGAGCTTGAAGTGCGTAGGATGTTTTGATTTACAACAAGAAAGCGTATAGGGCTGTAACTGTTGAGAAGAAAGATGCGGTGGACGCGATAATCATCTTGTGCTCGTGCCTAGTCTTTGTCATGTAACTGAACTCAATGGCTCAATCGACCTAATCTTCTCGACCAAAGTCGAAAGATAATTGTTTATAATTTGGTGATTAGGCGTAAAGAAAAAAAATTAATTGCTGGTCTTAGCGGACTCAGTATCACAAGATAATAACAGTGCATTCTATCTAAGTTTCTTTCATTCAACTAATGGACAATGTGGTGAAGATCGAGCGCGGCAGGTTCCCTCCATCCATGATATGAAGTCGGATCACCCATGCTGCATAAATCCATTGTAGAAGTCATCGCATGAAGAAGGAGATGACTTGTACGGTGGATAATAGTGCCTTTGTAGAGACAATCGATAAACTACGACACTCTCCATAGCGCACTCGCGACGGCTACGACTGACATCTGTGCTCAAATCAATCTTCAGCATGCGGATATCCGAGTGCGATTGCTAATCTCAAGTACGAAAAGCCTATATCTCTTCCTTTGAGTTTCCGCCCATGCTAATCTTGAAACATGATCATGTCATATAATTCACACGAGCTTGTCTTTTCTTATGATACCATCACGCCCAACCTGCGCGTCCGTGCTCGTATAACATACTAATCAATGGAGGCACATCATTCTCCAAACGGCCATGTAGTACCAAGTGCTCATGCGCGAAAATAAAACGATCGTCGTGTACGTCGTGGAATCGTCAATACCAGATCAGCTTCGATCAAATTTTGCAGATCTCTTTACAGTAATGACCGGAATGCGCCTTGGTATCTCGTGTGGCGTAAACTCTGGCGAATACGTCATGAAACTGTAGATAAACGCTGGACATGTTTGGATGAGTCAGTGAGAAAGAATCAAACGTCCGTGAGATATCGACTACATGTTCCGCTTATTCTACAACCAACCGTGCATCTATCTTGATGACTTTACCTGGGGCTTTTGTATGATCAAACGAACAAATCTGCAATTCGGATGCTGATAGGATACTAGAATACAGTCGTGGATTATAACGTCGTGTCCAGTTTCCATGCCGAATATGAGGGACTTAAACGTCACCGTCGTGAAGAAATAATAGCGTTCGTATTCCTTTGGTAACCAACAAGACGCGATCGACGTACAAAACACCTTTCCGAAGATGGTGAATCCATCAGTCTTGCGAGCAAACATATCCGCTTTGTTCTGCAGCTTTTGCTGTATTGACCTAAGCGCTCTCTTGAACCTGATGGAAGCGACTGTTTTGGTGATGACAATCCGCATCTCTCAGTAAGAGGCTCGATGGCCACTAACACCGTAAAAAGAATGCGATTCATATTAGAAGTACGAACAAAGCAAACGAAGACCAGCTAGCCAACAAGCTATGGTTGGTCTCGGACGTTTTAAAATGAACGCATTAACTTGCATGTATGATGCATCACGAAGACGTCCATTCTCTATTAGATTTCACCTTCAGATACAACCTAGCGAGAACGACAGCAAAAGACTCGGATGCTTAACATACAAACAAATGGATGTACAGCAAAACAGTTTTGATGCAGTTCTTTGACTACTGCAGCGTCCTACAACAGTACGGCGTGTTCAACATCTCGATCGGTTCCCTATGGAATCCATGGTGATTTTCATCTGCTATTATCCGATACATTGTGGATCAAGAGAGACAAATGAATGCTCACAAAGACTGTATTCACATCAAAAGGAAACCAACGGGAGCAGGGTCATGCTTTGACGTTGTTTCGAAGTAACCAAGATAGTCTGGCCTGGTCTTCCTGTGCACTTCAGCAATATACATCCCTGAAGTAACCAAGATAGTTTGACCTGGTCTTCCTGTGTACTTTAGCAACATACATCCCTCGCCTGACACAAATGGAAGCAGTCCCATTTTTGGAACTATTCTTGATATGTCACGTCGATGGTGGACTCAAAAGCTTGCTTACCCATATTTGATACATACCAATAACAAAAAAGGGTCCACAAGTGCATCGTGTTCCAAATCATGAATCATTGCTTAGAAACGCAAATATGGGGGTCATAAGTAGAAACGCCAAGTCTGTCCTGATTAAAATAACAGTCTCGAATCTGTCCTGATACTTCCCATTGACTGACCTCGTGCCTATTTCTATCTATCATCAAGGTTTCCCTTTTTTTTCCTATCGAGAAAGAACCAGCGAATGTGCCCTTTCCATGCGTTTCTCACTGACGTGCACCACACTATCTATCACTCTTCGTTTTGACCACACGCACTTGTTAAAACGCCGAGTCCAAGTTTTTCGCCACTTTTTTCACCGCCTCTTGCGCTCTCGCGGTCACCATGTCGGCGGAGCTGTCGCCGATCAAGTCGAAGCGCATGGAGGAGAAAGCCTCACTTCAGGTATGCGTGTAGTGCGTCTTCGTGCGTAGTCTGTGCGCTGCTTTTCCTGGTGCCATAAGGTTGAGATGGTCGATACGAACGACGATTTTGTTTTATCTGGTTTTATGGTGTTTAAACGGTTCTATGCAGAAACTCAATTCACGGCTGGAAATGTACGTGCTCGGCGTGAACGAGCTTGAAGGCGCGAAACATGCCGCCGAGCGGGAACTGGCGATCATCAAGCAGCGGATGCAGCAAGACCTTGAGCGCGTCCGCTCCAGATTGACGAAAGAACTGGAAGACACACGCACGTCCGTCCGTGTTTTGACTTGTGGAGTCTTGGTGCCATAATTGTTTTAACGTTTAAACAATGTGTTGAAACGCAGAAAGCTGAACAATGAAATGGACCAGAACGCCCGTCTGCAGACGCTCGAGCAGGAACAGCACAAGGAACTGGTGAAATTACGTGCCCAGCAGACGGAATGGAGCGAAGCCAAAGTGATGCTGGAGACGCTGAAAGCTCAACTCATTGGCGAAAAAGCCAATGCAAAAGCTGCTAAAGAGACGCTGTCGGAGCAAACGACGCTGTTAAATGCCGCGCAGCGACGCGTCAAGGAACTGGAGCGGGAAACGCGCAGTCAGTCGGTAGCTCTGAGTGACGCGACGCAAGAATTGGAGGAGCTGAAGAAGAAGAGCGCGGACTTTGACTTGACGCGAGATGTTGAGCTGACGAAGCTTCGACGGGAGTGGACAGCAAAGCAATTGGAGTCGCAGGCGCAGTGGAAGAAGGACGCGGAAGATCGACTGCTTACGATGGAGACAGAAGTGCGTAGTCACTTTGAGAGTGTCGTGAGCAGTTTGCAGAATCAATTGGATGACGTGAAAAGCGAGCTTGAGAGCACAAAGCAGGAACTGGATCGGACAGCAAATGATTACGAAGAGAGTCTCAAGGCACGACAGGCTCTTACGGAGAAAGTGGCGCAGCTGGAACGAGATTATCGTGAAGTGCGATCCAAGGCGACAAAAGATCGGAAAGCGTACGAAGAAACGCTGGAGCGATTTCGGTCGTCCAAAGTCTCGAAAGAACGCGAGTTTAATGAACTGATGGATGTGAAGATTGCGCTGGATGCTGAGATTATGAAGTATCGCCGCATTTTGGACCGTGAAGAAAGCCGTGTAGCCGGTGCTACGCCTAACTCAAAAAGTCGCAAGCGGAAGAGCGAGAACACGAATGGGTTTCAGTCGAAGCGAGCAAAGCGCGCAGTTGTATTTGAACGAGAAGGTTTGTCATCGTCAGCGTCAGCGGTGGAAATCGCTTCGCTGGACTTGGAAAAGGACCGCATAGTACTAAAAAACACGAGTAGCAAAGCTGTGCCTCTGGGCGGCTGGGTCGTACGTGGCCTGATGGACCAGACATTCCGATTTCCTGCCACTTATGTGATGCGGCCACACTCTACGCTGACTGTGCACTCTAGTAAACGCAACAAGAACGCAAAGGATGAGCGCAAGAAAGGCGAGGACTCGTTTCTGGCGAACAAGTTCTCATTGAACCAGAAGGGTGACTTCATTGTGTTGGTGACGTCAGATGACATTCCTGTTAGCATGAAAAGCGAAGGATTGTCCGAAGAGGAAGCGCGCGCCATTGAGGCGGACCTTCGTGCCGATTACACGGATGACGAAGCTCCTCCTTCTGGAAATGTAAGTGCCTGATATGGTGCTTGTTGCAGGTTCATATCACTAAGTTGTGTCTGGCGTATGTTGCAGTGCTGCATGATGTAAGCAGGTGGAGTGCTACTCACGCAAGCAAGAGCAATTGAGAATTAGGAAGACTCGTTTGGCATGTGTCTGCCTCTTCTCGTTATTTTTAAGACTGCTTGTCGTAATATAGCAGGTATCTCACGATGTCTTGCCGTTATTGCAGAAATTGCTAATGCGATGGAGGACGTTTTTGTATTGTATCAACAGGACGTTGCAGAGATGATTCGAGTGGAGCCAAGGTAATTGGCGAAGGTGTACTTGTCACACAACCTACGACTTGCTTTTGCAGGCTTATTGCTTCTGGTGGTGACGTCAAATTGGTCGGGAGCGAGCGAGGCGCTTGCACTCGTTCTCTCGTTTCGTGAAGCTGTTTCGACGAGTGTTCGTGGCGATATGTGACACTGTGTCGGCAACGTATGCCAGCGTCGACCCTGCAGTTGAGCCGCCTCTCGCATGCGATGACCACCCAGTCTGTACAACACAACAGCCCTACAGGATGACCATCACTGCGAATTTGGAAAGCCGTTGTACCCGTACACCACAAAATCTACGAGAGGCCTTGAGTTGATCAGCTTTGGTTAACGCTGCTGCTCTGTCGCCCAGGAGTGAAGACACAAAGTTTAATCTGTGGAACCACCATAGCGGCTTGCAAATGTGGATAATTCGTGTCGAGAAAGATACATTGCGATGCGGCACCGGACAATGCTCACCAGTCAAGTGAAGCAAGTGTTCATCCGTGAGACCATGTTTTCAGATGTGTCGTAGCTTCTTATCAGCTAAGCTTGTCCTTTTCGATAGCCCCGAGACGGTGGATGCTTCGTTGTCGAGATTGATCCAGCTGGGACGGCATTGACGCTGTATTCGCTTGGTGCACCAACGGGATCCGCTCGAGCTGTTGTGCTGAACAGCGCGTACGTTTTAGAGTGCGGCACACGTTCTTCTAAACTGGATGATAAACCTGGAAAGCCGGATATGCGCCAGATGCTCCCGTCCAGTATGTTGAGAAGCAGTCCAAGTTCCTGATATCATCGGCTCTTTCGTCGAGCACTGGCGTCAGGTGGTAAATATGGTGTCGGCTGTCTTCGTCTTCGGGCGTCCAACGATCACAAGCTAAAGCTCAAGGACTGGGCCAGAGACTGTGTTTCTGGTTGATCACCTGCTTACCGAACCACGACTCGGGCCTGACGTGGACGTATCATGGGTGTCAGTCCACGCCTCAATGTGTCGACAAATTGTGCGAATGGATTTTGTCGCTTGCCATTGACCCTGGACTAGATAGGCTTGCGCTACTGTCGCTATCTTGGCCTTGTCGAGCAGAAGCTGCGGAGTTTAGAGCATTGCTGTGATTCTGGGGCGCTCTGCAAACAATGAGGGCATACAGCACGGAGACGTTCCGGCCATTCACGATTCTCAACATCGTCGAATCCAGCAGCAACAGTCTACGACATTTGCACACCGGCCACAGGAGCTCGTCTTCTTGACCCTAAGAGCGCTTGGAAGTGAATGCAACCAGCTCACGCATCGCGACGGTGTCGGCACATGAGATGTTGCAACGTCCTTTGGGCAACGGACCAAGCATCAACATAAACCCGACTACTCATTCGATGGCAGCACACGATGTCAGCAGGCAGATTCAACATACCGTGAGCCAGTGACTTCGTACGCCTTTGACCGGTGCTGAAGACTCCCCTGTTGTTGTTGTTGGGACAGCAACTTTAGCACACAACTCGAGTGGTAGCAAGGTGGCTACTACAAAAGTAACTTGGACATTGGAGATCACGAACGTGAAGCTGTGGACACCGGGTGCGTTCTTGTGCGAATGCTTGTCTTTCATTGCCAATGTGCAATTGGATTCGGACTTGTGAAGACATGAAAGCAGCACTGCAGCTTTTTTGAAGCTTCGTATGGAGTTGATGTACGCAAGTGTGGATACTTTCTTCATCACTTTGGCTCTGCGAATCTCCAGTAATCGAGCGATAGGTTTGCAAAGCTGCAAGAACAATGTCCCCAGACGGTTTTGCATCAGTACGGGGCCTGACACGTTGCCGAGGTCTCGATGGGTACAATAAAGTAGCAGAAAGCACTGATCGATGCAGGACAGTACGAGCATATATGACGCGGCAATGTCGACCTTGGCGGTCTCGTCATGCATTGAGTTTATGACGTGTAAACGACACAATTACTCAATGGACTAGTCTTTCTCATTTCGTCACATTGGCGTACTCTGGATTGGACAAATCCTAGAGTCCGGCTATGCTACTTGAGATGTAGGACCGAGTGAAATACAGGAACAAGTCTCCTAGAAAGACCACAATGGTTGAGGGGGTAAACGGCATCAGTTTGCTACTTTCATTCTGTACTTCGGGATTGTCCAGCGTCAACAAAAAAGGTCGGTCATCCTAGGCAGTAGGTGTCGCGCTTAAAACAGCTGAACGGCAATATGATCGAGAGTAGCATAACAACTTGCGGTAGCCTCTGTAGGACAATCAATAGTCGTGGAAGAAAGCATCCAAATCGAGATCTCGTTGTCCTGACGGTAATTGTTATCTACTTGCTAAGTCGTGTCGTCGAGGGAGATCACAAGATCATCGACGAACCTGTTCATACTCGATCTTCCACGGTAAGCCATCTACAATCTTGCTGCGACAGTCCGTAATCGATTGACAGTATGAAAAAAAACTCACTCAACATGACCCGTTGCACTATGTTGTACAGCGATTGGAGTTTGTCGAGCTTTCGAAAACGATTTACTCGTAAAACATGCAGTTGTACCCGACATGAGCTGTAAAATTTCCGTCGCTCTTTTCTACATACCTACGACAGGTGTTTGCATCTAAGAGCTTACAAGTTCCTGATAAGCATCCGATGAATCACTGCGATGACTATGATTAAGCTAAGGGAGGCAAGAAACGAAAGCACATGTCAGAAGAGCGTCCATGTTAGTGTGCCGGTGTTTGGCATTACCTTGGACACTCGATTTGTTAGTCGACTTTTGCTGTTATGCTTGTTGTTAATATTGAGCTGCATGCTGGGTGGTCAAAGTCTGAAGGACAAAGAGCTTTGAGTGTAGATTGTATGGTTCACATGAATTCTTGGCTAACTATCGTGGCTGCCGTCAAGTATAGAAAATGTACAACCATTCGATGCCTTGTACGTCATGTATTTTTCATTTCGGATGAGTTGAACCGCTCGATTACTCGCAAGAACAACGTAATTGACAGCTGAATATCCAGTGCGAAAGCTGCATTGTTCGATACGTAGTGTATGTAGTGTTCAGTGCTGATGTCATGCAGAACAGATTGCGCTGAAAGGCGTCTTCCTAACGAGCACAAGGCCATCGCATTTCATCTTGGCAACCCTCAGAGTTCCAAATCTGGTCTTCACATTAACATATGCGGCACCCGTTCTCCTTAGACACCTGTCTCCAGGGCCTCACCGCTCGCACCGGCATCAACTTTCATTTCTGCCACGCTCGCCATGTCATCGCTACTTTCGATTGTCGCCACAGGATCCACAGCTGGCTCTTCCTTCTCAATGATTTGGCTCACACCCGCCATAGGCTCCACAACGAATGCATCTCCATGCTCAACCTTCCCCACCTCGAGATTATCCTTTGTCTCCACAGATATCTCACCAGATGTCTCAATAGCCTCAACCTTTACTGTCTCCATTGCAGCGACGGCTGTTCCAACAGTCGTCTCTTTGGACTAATCAATCATTGGCACCACCAAAGTCTCAACAGTCTCAGCTCCCGATCCCTCCACATCGGTCGTTGCACTCTCTTCCTCAATTCCTGTCTCAACATCACCAACTTCAGCACTTGTCCCCACCTTCCCTTCTTCGCTTTTGAACTCAACACCATCCGCTTCGTCGCCTCGTTTCGGCACAACTGGGAACCTCTTGACCAGCCACTTCTCCAGATGGTCAAAAACAGCTTCACACTCGGGATCATCGAATAAAGCATGAAAAAAACCGTCAAAGATCTTGAACTCCTTGTCCGGAGCTGCCAGTCGATTGAAAAAGACCTGAGCCAGCTCCAGACTCGTCACTTTATCATTTGACCCCATCATCATCAACATGGGCAAGCTGCCCAAAACGCTCCCGGGCGCTTGCACCCGCCTGTCTGCTTCCAGCAATTTCATGGCTTTTAATGTCTCAGCCCCCATTCGGGCTGTCACAGGTTCTGATACCGTCAACGGGTCCGCTCGAAAATCATCTAGATACGCTTGATCGCGACATAAAAAGTCGCCATTGACGCCCGGCACAATGCGGGCTTTAGGTACGAGCGTACTTAGTGGACGCGCAAACACCGCCTGGAGGCGCAAGATGGTCGTCATTTCAACCAATAGCGCGGGCGCTACGAGCACGGCGCCTTGAAAAGTGTGTTGACCACTCAAAATAGTGTGCAGCCCCACCAATGTCCCGTACGACATGCCGGACAAGATTAGCGGCAACGGCGCTTCTGCCGACGCATCAAGTCCCAATTGCGCAAACAATTTAGACTTGGCCAATGTAAGGAACGCATTTGTATCGTCGACAAAGTGCTGGAATCTTGCACTATGCGCGCGCAGACCGTGACGGTCCGAGTCACTCGCGCCGTGACTGATCAAGTCATAGGCAAATACACCAAAGCCACTAGCGCATAGTTTCTCGTACAAGTAATAGTAGCGACGACTGTGGTCGCCAATGCCGTGCAAATAGAGCACCAGTGCCCGAACAGGCGTGTCCGCAGACGGGAAAAGCGCCAAGTAGGACAAGTTTTGACCGCGCGAGTTTGCAAAGGTGCCGTCGATGTGGCGGAAGTGGGACGGCATGTGCTGGGCACGGAGCGACGAGTTGACACGGGCACGAGTTGCCATTGTAAAGTAAGGAGAACACCCGGAAGAAAAGAATATGACGAGGTGGGCGGACGGACTGATGACGACGGGCTGGGAGATTCTTACCGGAACTTTTCGCTAGTTGGGTACATGCTCGACCAGGATTGCGTAATCAAATGTTCCGACGTAGCCGAAAAGCTCTCACTTTTGATAAATAAACCTGTAGCAGTTGATAAACGAGAGGGATAGGGAGTACTTATGACCGCGCTCCTTTGACAGCTGTCGGACATAAACGATACAAATTAAACGAGGAACGAAAAGTCGAACATGCACGTAAGTATTGGTCAGCAAATTAGTGGAGGGAGTAAGACTCTCTTCTCTCTCTCTCTCTCTCTCTCTCTCTCTCTCTCTCTCTCTCTCTCTCTCTCTCTCTTGCAAGTAACGCAGGCACCTTATGGCTTTGGCTCCTCACGCCCGTCAATGATTTCGTCCTTCTCCACCACGACCTCCTCGACCTTGAAATCCTCCATCGTGAGCTCCTCGTCCTTCACGACCGCTTCAGTCTTTCGCCCTTGCCCGTCACTCGTCCCGAGCTCCTCGACCGTCAGTTTCTCTACCGTCGACTCGTCCTTCACGACATCTTCAGTCTTGGGCTCTTCTGCGGCTTCAATAGGTTTGGTCTCGTCCTGGACGACCACCGCCTTGGTCTCCTCAGTAGCCACCGTCTCGTCGGTCTGAACCTTCATAGTGTTGACCTCGGTCGATGGGTCCTGGGCACTAGTCGATTGCGCGCAGCCCATGGTAAATAGCACGTCTAGCTAGGTGCAGGATAAAGAGTCTCGACTTGTGTCTGAGAATGCCGATCGATGAATGACAATAGTCAATGACGACAGATTGAAAGGAAAGCGATACGCGCCACAGAAAGAGCCGCGTGGAACGACGCACGCCGCGTGGTTTTCTATTCCGTGTTCGTCCTGTCCTTTTTGCAAGTGTGTTACGCCTGACAATGCTAAACGTCGAGCGTGGCATCGCAAGAGACCGACAACTCGCTTGTGTCTAGCGTGTGTGTGTGTACAAAGAGTCAACCGTACGTCGCTTTTCGCTCGAATGTCAGTCTCAACAAAGTCGAGGTTTCGTCCAGACACCGTCACGTCGTCCGCGACATTCAGTAGTCACAAGACTCCGAACCAAGCACTTCTCTTTTGTGGCCGTATGGCACCTCGTTGACACGTTGTTGCAAGCGTTTCTCCGCCTCTCGAGGGTCCTGTCGATTCGACGTTGGCCGTGTGCGTGCAAACGTTGTCAAAAAGATCAAGAGAGAAAGAAAGCGAAAGAAGTGCCAAGTGTTTGGTGAGGTTTGAGAGTCTATTCGAACAGGGCGTGCACCTATGCTAGTACTGCTGCATCGAGGGAGTAGTAGCCTCCGATTATCAACGTGATGCGCTGGTGTGAAAGTGACGAGTTCCTGTCCCGTTGACACGCAAACAACGACATGTTGCACAGCCAGTTCAACTGGTGCTTCTGTGGTCGTAAAGAGCAGGGATACGCAACGAACGATAGATAGAAGTTCTGGTATCATGGTAGTACGTCACGTTTGACAACAGCAGCGAATAGGAGTGGCTCGGAGTGTAACAGTTTGCAGCTTACTTGGCACGGGATCCTTAGTGCGACGTTATTGATAGCGAAGAGCGTACGTACTCACTGACAATGGAAGCACGAAGTTGGAAGTTCTAAATATCTGATGTTGTTTTGTAACGGTCAATTTAGAAGAACACTTGTTCCTGCTTTCCAGAGTGTGTTCCATTCGAGCGGACTACGTAGCACGATAACCTATCATACGGCACCGAGTAGAGTACGCTAAGCAAAATAGAATCGTCCGCGACACCGTTTATCCGCTATTCATCGAATGGACGTGAGTAGCAAGCACCTTATACCTTGCAAATAGAGCAGACGCCATACAGTGACCAAGACGAACGACGTTCATCTTAAACCGCCTGCACCGCAGCTAAATTACGGCCTTGGAGTTCCAGCAAAGCTATTCTAACTCGCTGTAAATTTCTTCGTAGTTGAGACAAATACACAGCAGTAACGTACAAAAACCTTAGTGACGCGATGCCAAAGTCTTTGAACCAAACACTTGCTCTCCCTACACAATACGAACCGAGTCGAAACTCCGGTTCGATCCAATGCTAAACATAAAGACTACGAACAGAATGTTACTTGGCGTCGAGAAGGCGTGATTTCCTAGCAACCACTTCTTTATCAGTGCGAGCTACTAGAACATCCTCCGTTCATGCGTCCTAGGAGTCAAAATCGTGATTGAAAGCGAGTCGATGATCCCATCGCACCCGCTTTGCCTTCACCTCTTTTCGAGAGAAAGAGAGAGATGGATTCAAACGCCTCTCAACAGTCAGAAGACCAGTGAACAAAACGGCAAGCATCGCTGAACTCTGCCCACTCGAAAACAGCATCTTCAGTCGAGCTCAAGCTGAAACGCCCTACCTAAGTGGTGGCTGCCTCAAAAACCCACAAGTGTCTCTCTCTCTCCATCGTTAAACTCACTTCTTGCATCCTCGCGCGTGTTTCGCATGTTTGTTTTTCGTCACGGCTCTTCAGTACGAAAAGTGCACGAACGGATTCACGTCTTCAGTCGACTTTGCATCCATGAGCTTTCTAAAACTAGGGCACCCGCTAGACGATGTGAATAAACATCAACATCGTGACCGTAGCAATGGTAGTCCAACTGACGTCGGTCCGGCCACCTCGCTTTCAACCTCGAATTGTGTCGGATTCAAAGCCCGAGCTACAGACTTGAGTAAGCCTTACTACCTTCCATCCGATCACGAACTGCTGGAACGAGCGCAAGCGGCCCATTCATCCATTGACTTTGACGCGCTTTCCGCTGGTCCAGAAGAAAACGGACCTTGGGAACGCGTGGAAGCGGCTGATCGGTTTGTCATTTTCCGGCGTCACGCTTCAGCTGAAGTGAGCGAAAGTCGGATTCCAGGACTGGACGTCATGTGTGCGGGACGACTGGATGCCAGTATTGAAGAAGTGGCGCGAGTGCTTCGGTCGAGGTCGGAAGTCGACTTGGCAAGCACGATGCAAGGTCTGTACAAGAAGAACTTTATCTTTGGGTCGCTTGACCGGGATATCCCCTGTTCAAGGAAAAGGTCTGAGCAAAGCGACGACGACTCGGACGTGGACCCTGGTGAGCAACTCAATGTGAAGACCATCAGCTTCACCCGGTCCAGTCCATTTGCTCGGAACGAGCAATGGTGTTTCTTGGACTTTTTCCAGATCAAGACCGAAAGGGACGGGTTTACCATCTCGCAGCGTGCTTTGCCTCCACTGGAACCAACACCCGGTCGGGTCGTTGGGATCTACGCCCGAGTGGATCAGTTGCATGGACTGAACGCGTCGATTCTAGTCGACCAACTTCCGAACCGGAAAGGGCTTCGTGTCGTGTACAATGTTTGGTTTGAACAAGTTCTGAGCTCGGATCTGTTGGTCTCCGGTAGCACCCGCAGCACGTCAAGTCGCAGTTTTAGTCGACGACGAAGCTTTGGCTTGAGCGCCTTGTCATCGTCGAGTACGATCCTTGCAAGTGATGACGAGACTACGGACTCGAACGCTCAATTGCGTCGCCTCTTGTCGCTAGCTCGAGGAATCACGAAGCTCCCTCACCTCATTCGACGTCGTCGATTTGGGGTGCAAGTACCAGTAGACTTTGATCAAGTGCAGGCAGTGAACACGCGCTGTCCGTGCTGCACGCACAGCTTAGCACCTGTCAAGATGTCGCTGTTCATGGCAGCTTCTGCCATTGCCAAGCGAAAGCTACGGTCATTCCGAATGGACACTAGAAGATGCTACCTCTGCGGATATCTCGTCTGCATTGACTGCTGGCAACCGGAGTACATGGAAAGCACCGTAGGCCGCGTGGCATCCATTGTGGTCTGTAATCGATGCCACGCTTGTGTCCAAGCTTGCGATTACTCGGAAGTATCGGCTGCATGCACTAGTGTCAACTCCGGAAGCCGTCCCAAGGTTGTGGCCGATCAACCTGATGAGTCAGTCGCGCCTTTGTTGACTGCCTTCCTCGAAGCCTCGTTGATGAACGATTCGGCCGATGCATCGGATCGAGCTGCTATCCTCCTTGTCATTCGACTCCTTCTTCGGCAAAGCAAAGCTAACAGCAAGGAAAGGAGCGTCATCTCGGATCAAAGTGACGATGAGGAGGAGGAGGAAAGTCTACACGGTGATGGAGTTGCAGTGAAGCAACTTGAACAGTTTCTGAGTGACGAGAGGGAGTTGCCAGTACTCAAGTCGTGTACGTTGGCTAGTGCGGATCGGCGTGAGTATTTGATTGAGCTACCGGACGACCCGTTGTCGATGGTCCCGTGCAGTGTCATCCCCAGCCACGATTCCGATCGTCTCAAGGTTGCTACGGACAAGGGGTTGCTACAACTTGCTTATCACTTGGCACCTCTTCAGTCTCCCGAATCGTTTGAGAACATGTGCGACGTCCGTGACCTCGATCTACTTTGTCAACTAGCAGTGCGTGCGACGGGGTTTAGTGATGCGTTCGTGACGGTTATGGGCGTCAAGCACAACCATGTTCTGACTGCTACGGATCCCATGTTCCTACACACGGCTCTTCCTCGGGAACAAACTATCTGCCAACATACTATCATGACGACGAGGCCATTCTTAGTCACGCATCCTGAAGCAGACGTGCGTTTCCAAGGCAATCAAGCAGTCCACGCACTACCTATTCGTCACTATCTGGGATTCCCCGTGATCGTTCGGGCTTCTAGTGATACTGGAGAATCGGAGACGGAGATATCGATCGGCACATTGTGCTGCACCGACTCTTCCGTTCATGCCGATTTGACACGCTCTCAGTATGCAACAATGAAGCGGTTGTCCGACGTAGCCTCGAGACTGATCCAACTGAAGGGGCATCAACTTCAACAACAAGTGGTACCGTCAACGGATTGAGTTGAGCAGGACTTGTGAACATTTGCAGGCCACTAGAGCTACCCACGAGTTTTGATTTCTTCTTTATTAGCCTGCACCAAGCCAAAGAGTCACCCGGTCACGACGGCGAGAGGTTTCGCTCCCATACTTTCAGATAAACCCAGATCCTGACAGTCCTCAGTTCATGGTGTCGGCGGTATTCCACATGAGACACCAACGTGATAAATTAATCGGTGGTGGATCCTTAAGAGTCGCATGTTTACACCTTGATCCGAAGAATCACTTGCAATGTATCTCCGTTGCAAGTACAACCACTCCCGAATCAGGACAACAATCCTCAAGCTGCCACCCCAATGCGTTTAAACCGACGCCCTCAATCCCCATCAAAGTCTCACGAGTACTAATCGGCGGTAGCAAAAGCCACATCGAAGCCCTAGCCGACTTTCTCGATATCACAGACGGTCACGCGTGGATGCCGCGCATACAAAAACTCGCATAATCTTCGTCTTCCGCCATGCCTGCCTCTCGCTTTCTTATTTGCCCTTACTTGCCATTTCGCGATCGACATCTCGCTCAGCAGTATGCAAGTCCTGCAAAAGGAGCTCTGCCATCGTCCAGAATGGCGTCGATCTCCGACCATCCCTTCAACTGCGATCTCACCCGATCCCTTCGATCCAAGTGCCAATAACGTGCCCCTCGATGCTGCCATGACATTAGGAGGATTACCACCACTACGTGATGAAAATAGCGAGAGCAATTGTGCCCTCACTAGTGCAAGTGGCAACGAAATTGTCACGGCTTTTGCCAGTCTCGACGCCGAAGTTGAAGAGAGTCGCGTCACGTCGGATGCTGCACGCTCGTCGGACTTCCAATGTCGATATCGTCGGGGCAAGTGCTCCCGTCCACGGACGCTCAAGAAGAACGGATCCATGCATACTTATTGTGAGTACCATCGCCAGCGCTCGGTACGCAATCAGCGGGTCTTCGACCATAAAAGACGCCACCAGCGACAAACCACAGGTGAGAGACAAGAAGAGGGACACGGTCCCGAGTCTCGGGACTGACCACGTGCACCCCCAAGGTCCACGATTAGAACCCGAACGACGCCGTAGTCGTATCTGGACCCTGCAATACCTTACTACTAACAAACGCATCAACAAAAATAATAATAATAATAAACACACAAGCGTCAACCATTTCGAGATCAGAAAAAAAAGAATTGATATTGCATTCTTTTTTTTTTCTTACTCTTCTTCGAAAACACGTGGTCCACGTCTGTCTCAGCGCCGCATCCGCTGAAGAACGTTCCTGAAGCTTGTCCGACATAACAGACTCGTCTGCTGCAGCAGAAAAGGCGCCAGCACGCTCGTGTGTCGTTCATTTAGTCCACTATAACGGACCACGGATGGTCGCGACGGCCATACTGAATGTCAGACAACTCGTTCCAGATCCGTTCAGCGAGTCGCCCGGCTTTGCCGTCTGTGCCAGTGAGCGGGATCGCCAGATCTTCGTCCATGTAGTTGATGGTGGACACAGGAGAGACGACAGCAGCTGTGCCGGAGCCAAAGATCTCAAGCACACGGTCTTCTTTGCTGGCTTTTTGTAGCTGCTTCATGTTGACATTGGCCTCGGTGACTTGGAACTCGTTCCACTCGCGCGTCAAGGTCAAGATCGAGTCGCGTGTGATGCCTGGTAAGATGTCGCCACGAGTGAGTGGCGGCGTAATGAGTTCCTGCTCGCCTTGCTCGTTGATCCAGTGGATAAAGAGGTTCATCGTGCCTACTTCCGTGATCTCGTGGTCCGGGCCAAAGAGCCACAAGTTCTGCGAGTAGCCCTTTGCATTGGCATCATATTGCGGCAGAATCCCTGGCGCGTAGTTGGCCCCAACTTTGTAGCCACCGGTGCCGCCTGGCCATGCTCGAATGTAATGGTCCGTGGCGCACAATCGCACGGGGTTAAAGCCTTCAGGGTAATAGGGACCGACGGGCGAGAGGATGATAAAGAGTTTCGCGCTTTCGCTTGTGCCAACCCCGATAGAAGCTTGGGTGCTAATCCCCGTCGGTCGAATGTACAGCGAGTACCCATCCCCTTGTGGGACCCAGTCTCTGTCAAGTTGGACAAGTTCCATGAGACATTTGATCAGCTCGTCCCCGTCAAAAGTCGGCAGTAAGAGCCGGTTCATGGACCGGTTCAGTCGGTTCATGTTCATGTCCGGACGAAAGAGTCGCATCCGACCTTTCGGGTCCACATAGGCTTTCATGCCTTCAAAGCACTCGAGCGCATAGTGCAAAACGGCACTAGCTGGGTCCATGGAGATGGGACCGTACGGGTGAATCACTGGCTTGCCCCAGCCTTTCCCCAGTGCCCAGTCCACTTCGAGCATGTGATCCGTGAAGGTTTTCCCGAATTGAAGCTGTTCTTTCGGCAGTTTAGGCTTTGGACACGACGTGCGTTCGATCGTGAGGTTCGCATGCTGAATGTCAGGCAAAGAGGAAGACGAGGAGGAAAGGTGCTGGACTGCAGCTGCGCATTGAGGGGACGTCATGCGAGGGAGAGACGGAATTTTGCGAAGGAACATGCCCTATGCTGGCGCTTGTGCACCAGTCAATCAAATGAGGACTGGTGTTTATTTTGGGTTGACTGGATCAGATGCCCATTTTGACGCGTGATAAATGGAGGGAAGGGGGTACTTACTCGAGAGAAGTGGAGTTAGGACAACGCTAGCGCAAGTGGTGTTATATGTATACAAAGTCACAGCTGTGTTGAAGTAGCGCTTGGGTCTTTTTGTCCTAGAATATGAAAGAAGGAGGAGGGAGGGGGGTATTTGCTGAAAGCGGGTGGAGTCGAAGATGTAGGTTCTATCCTAGAGATCACGACAAATGCCTTACAAAAATGTCACGATGGAGGCAGAAAGATTGCAGATAAAAAGCGTCTGGGTGTTCAATTATGTATGAGAAGCTATGCGTAGAAAAGCGTAGGAAGCGTGTCGTTCTCTCACACGTTCACAGCTGACAATGATCTGTACACTAGTTTGAGCTTGACATCTCGGAAGTGCAAGCAGCTGCTACCAAGATCGCCAGTACAGCAGCGGGACGTTTGCATATTAAGGAGCTTGTGCATCACAACTTCTAGATGCGATGCATAAGCTGCTGCTCTTCGGTGCACAACTACGTGACGTCTAAGTCACGCGTTTGATGGGGGTAGGAAGACGATATGTTGACACTTGCAGTCAGATTGATGATATTAGTTACATCAATCATCAGCTGAGTATAGATTGCAAGAGTTAACACTTCAGTCTCATCGATCAACAAGACACAACAAAGTCGACAGCTTCAGTTCCACAGACGTGCATGCATTTGGTGTATGATGACGAGATAATCAGTGTGACAGCACGACTGTTCTCGCAGGTATAAAGGGCGGAGATGATAGCTACACTATTTGTCCTTGCAAAGAAGACAGTGATCGGTAAGCGTAGCTAAGCACAAAGAGATGTCATGAATGTAGTTTTAAACGACAACAGCATTCATTCTACCAGTTGTGTATTACAATCCAAGTAATTGCTCAACGATGTTCTCATCAAGTATAGTTAAACCACGCGATGTCATTCCGGTTTCGCCGCGGTCGCAATACGCTGTGCTCTCATCACTGAATCGCTCCCTTGTACACAACGTATCACCACTTTGACTCAGCAAGCGACGTCAGTTGATAAAGATCGTGCGGAAGTGCCTTTAATTGCTGTCATCCAAGTCATTACGCTAGCGTAATATCTACTGATTATGATAGCAGTACCCTTCAGAAAATCTCGATTGTCGAGCAATCAAGCAATTGAGGACCGTTCAAGGGCGTTGATTGTCGAGACAACTTAACGCAATATGCCATACGTGTGTACGGACTCGCCTGCTTACATCAACCTCAATCAAAAGTAAGCAGTCAGCTCTCGTGCGCGACATGACGTTACTCCACCTCCAAGCCTTCTTTCAATCGATCAAGTGAATGCAATGTCACCACTTCGAAGACCATCAGAAAGGAACTCACCGGCCTCAACAAAATACTCTCTTACAGCTGACAGAGCGAGCACCTTCCAGTCCGCATCTCCAGTGCACACCAATAGCTTTCTTTCTTGCACGACACAATCGGTACTTTGCCTATCGAACTTGTCCTTGCTGTGCAGCCCAACTCATGGCACTATTGTATGTAACTATCACCGCGAACTCAAGCCTAAGTACCATCGAAAGATATTTACCTCTCTGTCATGCCACTATTCTGAGCAAATAACCCACAAACTCTCAGCATCACAAGCGCTACACAATCTACACGGAAGCTGGTCTGCTCTATTAGGTATATTGACATTATGCATTCTGCAGTTCCACGAATCATACGCTCTCCATAGTGCTTTTTATCAAACTCTTGACAACTCGGTGTCAGTCTTCGTCCGAGTCTTCATAATCATCGTCGTCTTCGTCAAGAAAAGGAACTTTTTTCTCGTGCTCTTCCGTCGTCTTCTTTTCCTTTCCGCTTTTTGCTTCTTTCGATATTTCTTCTTCAAGTGCTCGTAGTAGCTCCAACTCGGCATCAACAGGTAAAGAAGCTGGTGACTTGCCACCCACAGGCACTGGACGTTCGCGCTGCGTGTCCATCGATCGAGCGCCGCTTCGTTTGTGACATGTCACTCGAAACGAGGAGCTGCTCAAAACAAAGGCTTTTTTCAATGTCGATATATCAGATCGCTCTGCATGTTATAAAATGACGATTTGCTGCAATTCTGTCTGCTGACAGATCAAATTTGTGACATGTCCCTCGAGCAAGGGAGCTGCACAAAAAGAGCTCGTCGAAGGTACATTGCAGAACCCTTTTCGTCGCGTTAGGATTCTTTTTTCGGTGGTCGTCACGTCGTCATTATTCCATCGTTCGCTCATCCCCGTCTCCATGGTGACCGGTAATCGGCAGCGAGTGGTACTGCACTTCGACATCAATCGCACGATTCTCATGTCAGACGCAGCAGGTGGTCGTACCATGGAAGATACCGTCAATTATCTCCTCTCTGAGTGTACATGGGGCTACGCCAGTCGTTCTACAAGTCCGTCGAAGTGGATATGTGTCTCAACCGTCCCGTCTCACGACCCACCAGTTGCGGTAAACTCTGCTGGTACTACTCCTGAGCGGCCTCTGATTACGTACAAACACTTTGTGGACGAAATGTATCCGTATGTCAGTTTAGCTTCAACTAGTGATAGTTGCCATGCTGTGGACCAGATCAAGGCAATCAACAAGGCAGCCAAGAACAAGCGCACGGCTTTACAGTCGGCGTTCACGGGGACTCCAAACGCTCCTGGCCATTGCATCCAGCAGTCGTTTGATAATGTGATACATCAATTACACTTTCCAATGGGCGAGCAGCGAGACGCAGCCAAGCAAATGGCTACAAATATGCCACCGTCTCGTCTGCAGGAAGCTTGGAGTCAAGGGCGGTACTATTTGCTGCCGTCGTTTCTGCACTTCTTGTCATACTTGGCATCGCCGAAAATGACGCAGAAACAGCTGGATGTGAAACTGGTGTTCCGTACATTTGGCGAGGATATTGTTGAAGTGAAGCGGGAATTAGATCTCTTGGTCGATGGACAACATCCGGTTGGAATGCCAGCGTTGCCTGAGCACTTTCGATTGAACTTGTCGCCAAATGCGCGTTGCGTTGGTACGTTCTACCGTGATGGATTTGGAGCTAATGGTACCGCTTTGGCGGTGGGGACGCTGGCCAAAGTACCCTTTTCGACCAAGCTCGCAGAAGAAGGGGCAACTGCACCCGATAACTTTTATGCGAGGTTCAACAACAAAGTCGAGGTCGTTCGTGGTTTCCAACCAATTCAGGAGACGCTGGAAGGGATGTTTCGTACGGCCGATACACTGGCGCTTCGTGATTACTGGGAGTGGTGGAGCGTCCATGCTGAAGGCAACCAGTACGGAAAACTGCTGTTGATCGATGAGGAGAAAGTGGAGAGGGACGGTGATCTCGTCGTGTTTCTTGATGATCACATCGAGGCACACCATGCACATATTGTGGACGTCCGTGATGTGCGGTCGGGAGATCCAGTGGACTTTGGGAAGAGTCGTGCGAAGTATCTCCAGCGCGTGGAGCCCATTGAGGCCATCACGAACCCAAACTACTTCATCACACTGTTTGCAACACACGTGGCCAAAGTCAAGTAGCTCGGCTGCATCGACATGGCTTCCAGGTGCTCTTTCCTGACAGCACATCCCAAAGCGTTCAGACAATGCTACAGTTGGGTAGCTAATGAGTATTCATCGTGCAGTACTCATCGCTTCCGTCCACCCTTTTTTCTACTCCTCGATCTTGGCGCTGCTTTCTTCTTCTTCGGCGTACTGAGCTCCTCCTCATCCTGCTTTAGTTCGTCTCCTTCTATCTTCACCTCTTCTCCATTTTGCTCCTCGGTGACATCGTTGCCTTCTCGTTCCACGGCCACGTACAGAGCCTCACCACCGCTGTGGCCCTCTTCTTGACCACTACCAGCACTGTTTACGGCAGCCGCAGCTGCCGCCGCGACTGCTCGTCGTTTTTGCTGACGTGAGCTAATTCGTGTTGCTGGAATCGATGGTCGGCTTCTGCGTGCAGGTGTACGCCGTGCATGAGTCTTAGACATGTTGTGATGTCTATGTGACTTCGGATCAGCTTCAGAAGCCGACGCATCGTGGCTTTCTGATGCACTTACTTCTTCGCTTGCGGAGGCAGCCGAAACAGATGCACCGCGTGTACGCTTCCGCGTATTCTGCGAGGAAGGTGATGGGACCGCAGAGCCGGTGCCATCGCTGGTGATACTTGTGCGCTTCCGAATCCGAGATGATGCACGCGTGGGTGAAAGAAGACGGAGGTCGAAAAGCTCACTGGCCAATGCCTGACTATTCAAGTCGTTGTTGCCAGCAGTACCCTCTGCAGCTCGGCGACCGATTTCGCCAGCGAAGGTCTCTTCAGCTTCTTCGACGTGCTCGGCTTCCTCATTGCAAGCATCTCCTACCTTCTCCGTTCGAGTTACAGCCTCCTCTTCTGCTTCACGTATCTTTTGCAGCAGAATGTCCTCCTTCTTGATGCTAGCTTTACGCAACGTCTCTGTCAGCGTCCTCGCAAAATGAAGCAGTTCGATACCCTTTCGTCTTGCTTCAGGCTGCTCGCGACGCTCAGCATCCGTCACGACGTGCTGACAAAAGAGATAAACCTGCTCTGCAAACTGCGCCCACTCACAGATCACACCACTCGTCACCAACACCTGAACTTTTTCGAGATCCACTTGATGCTTCGCCTCCACCTTTTCCGCTTCACCATTCTTCGTAAACATGGCGGGATCCACATCCTTGCTCTTCGCCACCGACACAATCTTCGACAGCACATCCAGCAACATGTTCTGCCGCAATACTTTTAGACTCGCCAATGCAGCCTCAGCCTCCTGCTTTTTTGACTTCCTCTCCTCAACAACAACTTGCTCCTTCACTCTACGCTCCTCTTTTTCAACCAAGCCATCCTTCTTTTCCTCCATGGAGACTTCATCTTCCCCCGTCACTTGCTCCTTCTCTGTGACTTTTTCTTCCACGCTGTCATCTTGACCCTCCTTAATTTCCACATCGTTCATCGCGCCAACATTCAAATCTTCCTCCTTTTTTGCTCGTTCACCCTTCACATCGTCTTCCTTCACTTCCTCCTCTTCTTCCATCTCTTTCCCCCTCTTCCCTTCATCCTCCACCTCCTTTTGCTTCTCGACCTCGTCCACCTTCTCCTCCATCTCTTCTCCTCTCTCCCTTTCACCCTTCACCTCCTTCTGCTTCCCCATATCTTCCACCTTCTCCTCCTCTTTCTCCACCTTCACCTCCTCAACCTCCACATCTTTCATCTCTTCAACCTCCTCACCTTTCCCCACTTCAGTCATCTCCTCCTCCTGCTTCGTCTCTTCCTCCACCTTATTCACCTTATTCACCTCCACTTCACCCCTCTCCTCTCCTTGCTCCTTCTTCTCCAGCCCCTCCACCTTTACAGCCTCCTTCTCTTCTTCTTTCTCCTCAACTCCCATTCCAGCTTCTTCCACAGCACCAGCACCAGCATTACTCTCTCGACAAGATGTCACACTTGTCCCGTCTCCCACAGCTTCTCGAGCATCTCGTTCGTCCGGATCTTCAAACCGCCGTCGGGGTCTCGTCCTCGGCCGTCTCCGCTGTCCTCTCACGCGCTCGAGCGCCGACTCCACATGTCTCTTCCCCTCTTGCTCTCGTCTCTCTTCTTCTTCTCTCTTTTCCTGTCGCCGAGCGGCTTCGAACTCGTCCACGAGCGCCCCCAAGTCCGACGTTAAGGAAGAGCTTTGAGGTGTCCAGAGCGCCAAGAGAGGGGCGAATTGAGGCTCTGGAAGCGGCGGATCCCCGGCAGCTACTGCGACAGCAAGTTCCACAAGCTTATCGTCCCTTTCTCCAGCGCATAAGGCCGCGATCTCGGCCTGTAAGTACGCAATCGCGTCGTCCAGCTGCGGCTTGGCTGTCAGTAGTGGCATGGGATGGCGAAAGAGTGAATGTGCTGGTGTGGTTGCGGAATGAGGGTCGGAATTGCGCAATGGGGGTGACTGACCGAGTGAGACAGGCAAATTTGCAGAAATTATGGCGACTTTTTTGTCGTGAATGAGGTTATTCGATGGCAGAGATTTAGATATTGGACCAGGGAATGCTGGGTTGTACTGAAGAAACAGTGAGTGCTGTCAGCTGACGAGTCTACCTCATGTTAGAGTCGTTCAGCTGCAATCGGGGACGCGAAATACCATTCTATAAGATCGTTGCGGCTAACGTCACCATTAGCATATAACGACCGATCAGGCTTGCACGGCATTACATTTTCTGAAGTCGGCAAAGCTGCCGTAGACAAACAAAGTCCAGACGCAACTATTGTGAGTAGTGTAGTTGCGTCTGGGCTTATAACAGCTTGAACGCACTTAGAAGAAATGCTGAGGAAGCTCATGGCGAGTTCTCAGCCTAGTGACAATGATTGCTGGAAGGCAGTGATGGCTGCAAAGAGATCAATTGTTTGCAAAGAGTAGGCGCATTGAGATCGCACTAGTGCTTATCACTGATGGCGGCCGTGTGTCCGCCGACCTATGGCGAGAGGGGTGTTTTCGATCCATTTGCGCGTTTATTAGAAGCCACTTTTGTGGATATGCAATACGATAGTCTTTTTGTTTTCCTCAGTTTACCATCAACTGTTTTTTTTGCTGCAAAAACCCGCAGAGTGATTGTCACTTCAACTAGTAGATCCTTGTGCACTTTCCTGAGTATCGATGTGGTACACATGCAAGACCTGACTCCGCACTGGTGTTTCCATTGCCCCACTTTACTATGGGTGACGACTTCCTACGTGCCCTGGCCGCCGAGTTGGCGCAGACACAGCGCGCGCTTGTTCCAAACTGTTTGTTCTGCGTGCCTCAGCCCCGTTCACTTCTCACAGACGAGGCGCTCAGTCAAGACGTGTTGTACTCACATCTTCTCACGCCCAACGGTGTTACCGATGACGAGCCACACCGACGTCTCGGCGCATATTCTACACTGAACGGTACAAATTGCTCGATGTTTTGTGTCCTACATAAAAAAGTAGCTTTCTTTTTTACCAGCAATCTAAGGAATGATGGTCACTTCAACATCTGTTTCTGAAAGGGAAACGTGTCACGATCGTCGGGTCGCATATCCGCACTGGAGAAGGGTTTTCGGACTCTCGACAGGTGCGGATCTTGCTGTCAGAAAGGCGCGACGTGCAACATCAACACGTGACAGTGCTACACATCAGTCGGCCTCTTGAAGGCGGTATACAGGTGCCAGATGATCTCAATGAAATGGACATGGCTACATTTCGAAAATATACCGCCATGTTGCGGTCGTTTCCCGAGAACGAACTCGTGTTTTACCACTTAAATGAGACCATCAATCAAGTACACAAGATCTGTGCCCGCGAGCACGTTTACATCGAGCGGTACCAAGAGACACTGCCGGACAATTTGCGCGAAGAATGGGACGCGGCCGTGGACGAGTTGATCCGTGCTGGCAGCTTTGATGAGGATCAAGACGAAGATACTCATCGACAGCCGTCGCGGTTCCAGGGTCGAGCGAGTCACTTGCTGCAACTTCAACAAGTCGTCGAGTGTTACCTAATGGAGCGACTGCACGACTTGATCTTTCCTCGGGTCATAACGAGTTGCCGGGAGCTGGACGCAAAGTTGCACTTTGTCATGTCGCGTATGCGACATTACACGCCCCAAGATTTTGGAATCCGCAACGAGTTTCAAGTGAGCAAAAAAGAGGCATCCATGTTGCTATAGGGTTAGGGGTCGGCATCGCTCTCGTGTCGAGAATCTTTTCTAACGTTTTGCTCTTGTTCTTGTTCTTGTTGTGTGGATGGTCTTTCTGATGATCGCGGAGTGTGTAGTGTTTTGTGGCTGAAGCGCGGGATACGCTGCTTACTGTTGTTGAAAAGAAGACGCCGCTGGATATGCTGCTCGTTCTCAAAACGTGCATGGATCAAATTAGTGATGCCATTACTCGAAACGTCAAGCTGCGTCGACTCGATTTTGGTAAGTTGATGACATTTTTGCTGATTATTTAGGAATGGTCAAAAATGTGACTCGAAGGTTGCTCGTCCTGGTTATGTCGCAGAGACGTGTCAAATAACGACCGACGATATCCTGGATCAGCTACTTGTTGTGCTACTTCAGGCATGTACCCATATTTCTCGCACATCTACAAAATGCAAGGCCGACCCAGTCTCACGATTCCCAATGGTAGCAGTCATGCGGTACATGTCGGACTACCACTTTATCAATTCCAACACCACAGCACTGGGGTTTACAATGGCCAACTTCCAAGTGGCTGTGGAATATTTTCTTATGCGTGGAGAGCACCAAAACGACGACTGTCCAGATTCTACTTTACAAGACGCAGGTACTGAAGTTTGCTGCTCACAAGTAATCACCGAGTCCAATTGTATCCAAGCAGCTCGCAAAATTCATCAAGATCTGAGAAAATCGGAGGAACGTGTCGCACGTGCACGACGAGAGACTGGAGCGGAGACAAGACAAGATGGCCATGATATTTCTGGTAGTGCTACTACGACTACTTCACGTGACGTGGTAGCACCCATTTCCATGAAGTGTCTATCAATTATCGGTGAGTGGTCTTCGTCTACCAGTGATCAACCAGGAGACAAGGACGAGACTTCGTCCAGCGGTCCGCTTGCTGTTCATCCTGTTCACTTTGGATGCAGTCGAAGTCAAGACCCGACGGCAAGTGATACAAATGTACTTCACGTGAGTGGTGGGCAACGATTCTTTGCCACGGTATTGGAAGACGGCAAATTGTGGACGTGGGGAGACAGTAGTGGTGGTCGTTTGGGCTACGCTCTTGCACATGGAACTTCGAGACGAGTTTGCCGTCCGCAGCTTGTACTCGCGTTAAAGCAGCAGACAATCATGCAAGTTGCTTGCGGAGCTTTTCATGCACTGGCCACGGACTTAAATGGACATGTGTTTGCATGGGGAAGCAACTCAAGAGGTCAATTGGGTTTTTTATCATCAACTACGTTGTCAACAGTGGTGGAGACACCGTCTATTGTGGAGGAACTGCGAGGAACGTATATGAGCTCCGTTGCTTGCGGTGAATACCACTCGTTGGCTCTTTCGTCCGACGGCTGTGTATTCTCGTGGGGTTGCAACAAGTATGGAAAGCTTGGTCGTACTGCAGAGGGGTTGCTGGGTATGGTGGTAAGTGTGCAACTTGAGTGGGCCAATTCTTTTGGCTCTTTTTCTGATGATGTTGGATACTATTGTGTGCTAGCAACCTGGACTACTTGAAACAGACTGGACAGGATGGTCCTTGGATACGAAATCCAGGATCGGGAGGAAGGAGAGAAGCGTCGTCATCCACATTGCAGCTGGTAAAGACCATTCACTTGCCATCACCAGTGACGGAGTGGGTTTCACATGGGGACGTGGCGACGCTGGCCAACTTGGACATGGCTGCTATATGGATGTCAGCCGTCCAATGCAAGTCATGGCAATCTCAGTGGCTATCACCGACACGTCTGGTCTAGTTGATGTCGCAGGAGGGAACGACTTTTCACTCTTTTTGCTGCGCAATGGAACCGTGTACATCTCTGGACGCGATCCTTCGCTGGATGCCGACGAGCCGCTTCTCTCACCAACGCTGCTGTCGCTTCCATCACATCTCGAGCGTGATTTCTTTGGCCGAGTTGTCCAAGTCTCGTGTGGTGGAACGCACTACGCGCTTTTGACAACAGGTGGAGCGCTTCTGCTGTCACACACAAATTCATCGCAGCCGTCACCCAATGCAGGATCGACGACAGCAGAAGTGCATGAAAGACGTGTAACGTGGGTGAAAGATGCTGGTATTGTGGGTCAGATGGATTGCGGTGCGTCACACACATTAGTCGTGGGTTAACAGCTTTTCCTGATGATAATAAGACGTGCAGCAATTGTTTTACACGAATTACCAACCCTTGATGGAGCCGTCTCATCATGATTGTGCTGTTTCCAAGCTTCGGAGATCAATTTCGATCAGCAATTTGCTAGTAAGTAATCCTTGTCTCGTCACATGTGGTACTAGAATTCTGGAACAGGTCGTTACAACTTCCTGGAGATTCTGGTATTGTAAACAGCTAATGTTGTGACGTGTTTTTCACGATACAGTTGTCTACGTAGTTGCGCTGGCGTGTCAAGGCATTATTCGAGCTATTGTACCGGCGCTCGTCGTTTTTCGACGTGTCTTGTATCATAAAACCGATGACCATGTGATACATGACTAGCAAGAATGCAGACGCACTCGCGCATTCCGAACTTTTGACGAATGTGGAAAATATCTCGACAACATGGCAGAAACAAAAGTGCATCAGGTCTGCAACGTCGGAAGCCAAGAAACAATGTGAAGAACCTGACCAGCCAAGGAATAACTAGCTTGGTGATGACTTGAGACAAGGATATGCGAATCACAGCGACTCGAGCGTATCTGCAGCTATTGTCGAAAAGACGAGTTCTTGACGGTAGTTAAATGAGTATCTCAAAGGTCTTACATCGACATTCGTCCGAAATGGTGGTGGAGCATCCTTAGCAGGCTGGTGGCTTTCTCAGCAAACCCGATACCCCATTCAGACTTATTCATCTGTGAGGCCATTCCGACAACCTTACATCCGCCACGTATCGATGTGAATCAGCGCGTTGCCATTCACCAGTTCTCGTGTTTGCTGCAAGTCAACTCACGAAAATTGACAGGCATCGGGTCGACACGTTGTGGTGGAAGATGGAAGTCTTGCTGTGTTGAAGCTTTTTGTAATGGAGGAATTTGACGTTTGAAGCTGGAAACATGTGCGCAAAGTAAACTTTTCCTGGTAACGGTCAAAAAAAATAAAGGCACATGGAAAAGGCGCTTATGTATGGAGCCCAAGGGATGTGCAGGATCAAGGGAGCAGCATGAATGAATGGTCCAGCAGATGCTAAAACCTCGTCAGTAGTGCCAAATAGCTTTCTTCCACTCATTGTACCGTGCTAGGTGGCTAAGAAAAACAAGGTGTCCAAGAACCCCACAACGAAAATTGCCCGAACGCCCCCGTGGTCAGTTGTTTGTATCTCTAATTCTGCTTCCCATGAATGTCATGCCATACTAATTACACAAGTGCCGATGTTACGCTTTCAGAAAAGCAGATACACCCTTTTGATACACGATGAGTCAGTTCAATCGGGATCCGCCAAGTGCGACAAGGGGGACTGGATCAGCGTTGCCAAAACTGAAGATTATACATACTCCATCTCTTCCATCCGTTGACAAGAGCTTGTGGAAGGCTGAAAAAAGCTATGAAGACAAGCGGCTGTTGACTCATACGAACGATGAGTGGCAGGTGCTTAAGGTCTTTGATGGGTTACGGTGTTTCAAGTCCCATTACGTGCTCGAGTTTGTGCGACTGCGGCGCGTACATTTTGGAATCCGGTGGCGAAATGGACGAGATATAGACACAGGTGTTGTCCCGCCAGGTTGCATGATGGGACCTCATTGGTACTTGATGGTGGCCACGTGGTTGTTTTTTAGCTTCCTGATGGTAATGGTCAATGTACTGACCATTGATAAAGCGAGAACAGCGGAGATAGGGGCAGGGGTTTTTCTGTCTGGCATGTGCTTGATTTGCTATGCCCTTGTTGGATGCACGGATCCCGGTATTGTCCCAAGGTGAGAGAGAGAAAAAGCTCAAGAAAAACATGACTGCTAACTGACGGAAGTGTTCTACTATTGGTGATGTGGCTTTGCCAGGATAAACGTGCCTTTAGATGAGACGTTCACCTATTGTGACCATTGCGAATCGTACCGACCGGAAGGGTGCGTTACATGGTGCAACATTGATGGTCGGTTTGACTTACCGAGTTGAATGCTTTGTGTTCGCTCTTGCCCAGAGCTTTGCATTGCATGGACTGTCGGGTGTGTATCGAAGAGTACGACCATCACTGCCCGTGGACTGGCAAATGCGTCGGCAAAGGGAACGTCCATTACTTCTATGCGTGGCTCTTGTTCCTAGTGCTGGCGTTCGTCTACGAAATGATCGAGTTCACGACATATTTTTTTCCGCCCGACAATCACAACTTGCTTGACTCATTGGATGACTCGATGAAGATCGTGCATTCTGCCTTCAAACCTGCTCCACGTTCATGAGAGTGCCATGTTATTTGTGAGCAAAGACACACGGCAGAAGTGTTGTTGTTGTTGCAAGTTTCGAGAGCAGGTGCATACTTGACTGTCAAGCGACTAGCCAAGTGGATCGATAGATCATGTCAACTCATCCACAAGCTCCACTTCAAAGACGACGTCGGCAGAGTAGCCACATAACCAGAAGCTGGTAAACTGCAAAAGATCAACTCGAACGCTGGAGCGGACAAGTGCGGCGTACACGACAAAATTGATGAACGTTGGTGTCATTTCCATCGTTGGCGCTGCCGCATCGATTCACACGCTTTGCATCCACGAGTGGCAAATTGTTTTGCAAGCTTGAACAACTGATGTCAGTCCAAGTACTGCATCTTGCCTTCGAGGTTTTAGCGATCAAAGCAAGCAATCATGATCAAACCGTTGCTGGACTTCGTTCCGGGCAAGACATTTTGCTGCTTGTAGTTGATCTACGTGAAGCCGGACGTCGAGCCCAGAACTTCCGAGCTGGATTCGACCATTGAGGATTTTCTCATTGTTCGTGGCGTCTTTGGCATCGACAGGTACGAATCCGAGAGTGCCGATAATTGAGCACTGGATGCCATGCCGCGTGCAGCGTTTCGCGACAAAGGTGGTGTCAGCAGGTATCTCCATTTGCTTGCAATGCGTAGCTGCCAAATGAGAAAGCCCACAAACGAGAGCGACGAGATACTAAGAGACGTGCCTGTGGACATGTAGAATTGCACCCAGGAGACTGCGCCCAAGTAGAGGAAGAAGAAAGCGACGCCAAAGAGCAGGAACTTGTATGCAGTCATCTGCTCCTTTTCACAGCGTCGGAGCCACCACGAACTAAAGGGGGATTCCCATTCCAATTGCGTCATGTCCATTGACCGGACACTGTCTTCCAGTGTATGGGCAGCATATCGCGTGACAGCCAGCAAAAGGTTGGTGCACATGACGGCACAAATGAGCATGGCGACACAGACGGATGTACCGGAGACTGTATACAAGAACAAGACAGAAGCGCGGACGTTATCCGGTACACCGACGTTGCACATGGCACTGACAATGAAGCCACAAAGAAGAGCTGATTGTTCCGAGACGGTTGAAAGCTGCTCGGCTCGAGCTTCACAGACCAAATGTTCACTCTGCATTTTCTCCCGTCGTAGAAACCGCTCCATGTCAGCGACCCGCCACTGGTGAGCACGGACGATATCGTCATTGAGCCATTGAATTTCTTGCTCGCGATAAGCCATGTCTTCATCCCGCCACTGTTTGGCATTTCGAAGATCGTAGGATCCGAATAGTGCATTCACAACACTGGTGGCCATGGCGGAATGTATTGCTTATTGTACGAGAGGACGCGAGCGAGCGAGGGAGGGAGGGAGGGAGGGGTGAGTGCGATTTGTCCACGTGTTTGTACTGCTAAAATATTGGAGACTTGAATGACGTCTGTTTGGTCGAATGCTTTTTTCAAGGTCTCCGTTCGTTCCTGGTGGTGATTTAGTAGCATTCATTAGTGAATAGCGGTATGTAGTAATGATCCGAGATTAGTCAGGGATCGGGGGAGTATACATGATAAAGAGGGTTGCTTATGCAAGGAGCATTCCGTATAAGATAGGGGAGCAAGCTCTGGAGCTCGTACTTTGAAATAAGTCATTCCGTCCATAGAACTGGATCAAGTTACAAAACATCATAGAGCAAAAGTCACTGAAGTGAGAGTACGATGCGGTTAATGGCTGTGTGAACCCAGTACAGTATACTTGGACAGCGCGATCAGCCTTTGCTTTTGAGCGTCCAGCATTTGATTACGTGATCAAATTCATCTTTGATCGATTTTAAGCTAATCACGTGCACGCATCACAAAATTGACCTACCCAAAGAGTGACTTCGGATATGCCTGTATGTCCATAAGAAGAAGACAGGCTTGATCGCACTTGGTACAAGTAACGTACACCTAAAACCGCGTTATGCACGCACACACATCGATAAGTACGATTTCCAAGCTCGGCATCCAACCTTTGCGCACAGTCACGAATAGCTTCACTCTTCAGCTCGCAATTATTGTTTAAAAGACCGTTGGGGTTCCTAAAGCTGCGATCATCCAGGTTAGATCTGGCCAGGCTGCAGTTGTATCTCGATATTATGCAAGCATTTAATGGGTTGAACTGATGAAGGGTGTCAAATTCCTGGACATGTGAGACTAGAACATGAACTTCTTTTGCAACTCTCAACAGAACGTCCCTCCTCGTCGCCTATGAATCACTTTAGTTATGCAGACAAAGGAATGGTCAGCGGTCAAGTGGATGATTTTGACTTCCTATCTTCCCCTCTGCATCCTTAGGAACCACGCTCTTGTCCTGCAAACCTGTTTACGCGACGTGGCTATCTGATCGGTAAACGTGACAAGCTGAAGTACCTCGGGCTGCCCTCGGTCACACGTCTCGTCAGGTGTTGGACTCTCCGACCTTTATACTTATTGCAGTGGTAGGCTGGAGGTACTGTGTGAGGTAACGTGTGACCTGCATCATCTGTAAGCGATCGCAAGAAAGGGGTATCGTCTTTACGTAGAAACCTTTCGACAGTGCTCCTGAGCACTTGGTCCGTCTCTCAAGACAAAGAGTCGGAGATCAACAGACGAATGGTCGAGGTGGAAACAGGCGCGCGTTTGTACGGAGCATCGATTGCAAACTCTCGATGCGACTTCCTTCGTAGACTATGCACACGGGGAATAGACACGTCTATGATTTCAGCTACCGTGACGTCACACGTGAGAAAACGATAGACATGAGTCGTTCGACAGTGGTGTTTACAAGCTGGTGGAAGGCCGCTGCGTATGTTGAAGCATCGATCAGCGCCGTAGCGGAACGTGTCAGTCCTGGCTGTTCCTTTGGCGCTGGCTCACAAGGTTACCAACATCCAGTAGTGGAGCCGCCAACTCTCACGGCTTTACCGACTGGAAGAGACACACACGAAAGAATTGCAGAGCTCTTTCAGCTGTCGGTCACAAGAGAGAGACGACGTCGAGCACACAACTTCTGTATGCAGGGATTCGGGTCTTGAACCCAGAACTTGAAAGGAAAAAAGGCACGCATTGTAGCTCTCGTTCATTGCCAACCTCACGTTGCAGAGCTGCCGCCAGTCAAGTCCACATCTCATTCGTCACAGGACCTGGAGTCGAGGCGAGGGCGATAAAAACAGTTGGAGCTGGCTCAAACGGTAGGTCCCACATGACGGTCTGTCTACTTCCACCCGCTCGAAAATGACGTTTGCAATCGATTAGAGACAGGTGGAAACGCGAGTAATGTGCTGCATCTTCTTCTGCGTGTTCGTTCCTTGCATCACGTAGCCTTTGTTCCCTCCTTGCACCATGGATGTATTGGAAGATGCGGTCGCGTCGCTACTATCGAGCAGTTCGTGGATTCATAATGTGCACTTTACACAGACTGACTGCTTGTGTGCACTCCTATAGTAATTTAGGCTTTCGATGCCATTCTGAGACTATTAGTTAGTACTTCAGTGCGTTCTACAAGAGCTACCTTGGAATAAATGACACAGTTAAAGGCGCCTCGCGATCTACAGACACGCATCTTTCAGCGTGTTTTCTTTCTGCCTGTCTTGTTGTCAGCAAATCTTGATCGAGAGGGAGCTGTACGCGATCGATTGACTACAGCTTTACGATCGGGATATCCCGTGGGAAAATACCTGTTTGTGGTCTTGTGGATCTTGCGTGAATTGAGATCGGCTTTCGCGTGAACATGAAGGAGATTAACAGATAGGCAGGCTGCCAGCTCAGACAAGACAGTCTGCCTACTGTCATGTGCACGTGTCGACACAGAATCGTGCAACTCCCGCGGCGGTCCGCCTTTCCTTTGGACAGCCTTAAGACCAACTCGAGATGGTCTCTCGAGCTCTATCTACATGCCTACGTGATGAAGCAAGTACACGTGGTGGTGGCGGTAATACAAAGTAGCTCAAGTTCCTCATTGAGCTTGTCAGCAAAGAAACCCTTGAAGCGCTATCGACGTTTGACGCTGCCACCCCGCTAAACGTTTAGCGACGTCACGCGGCTCAAAATTTTTGCGAGATTTTGCTGCCAACAATTGCGACGTCGACGTAGCGTAAGAGTGTGCGATGTGAATAGCGCGTAGCATACCTCGCAACTGCGTGGGGTGTCATCGTACCGTCGGTACTCATCAAGTCGACGTCACGTGGACGTACATTGGTCCCTATTTGTATACAACAAATCAGGACGTACACACATCGACGAATGGCATTACCACTTGAAGAGCGCGATAGCCATAACTTCACATCCCGTCTGAACTATTAAAGAATCTCGTTAATGCGCTCCAGTCTCCTTCCTACCTCCTCCTTTCCAGCTCCAATGCCTTGCTACATATCGCCAACTTTGACGTTCAAGGTCTCAACATTGGAGCTTCTCGCCAGCACCTCTTTTCTCCTCCTCCTCCTCCTCCTCTTCTTCCCGCGTGCTTCACCATGAGACGACAAGAAGCACCGCGCGATTCTCGACCGTCGCCCGTTCGTGTCGCTCTCGAGGTCTTCCAATCCCTCCATGTGGTGGGTTATAGCGGTGCAATCGTGTCCAGCATAGCACAGGTGGGATCCAAAAAGGTCTTGGAAAAGCACATGGAGTTTGCGTCGATTACTTCCAGCTGCGAGCCGCGACGTTGTGACTGCCGTGCGGCCAGATGCGGCGTGCGCTTCAGCGCCATGGATTTGCGACCACAGATACGAATGGCACGCGCGTTGTTCGATGGCATGGTGTGGGAGCAGATCAATAGAGATCGTCACTTCAGGTCAAGTCGAAATAGTACATCGATCAATACCTCCTCTCAACTCGGGCAGGCACAAGTGTGCACTCGCTTCAACTAAAGTTGAGGAGAACGCAGGTAGATGACAGGACTACTACCTTCAGTCCCTCTTGACCTTTGTACGCAATGAAGGCAGGAAGGTTGTCAAGTCGACGGCAACTGGAGCTGCTGCGACGGTGCAACGACCACCCGTCGTTGCTATACGCCACCAACTGGTTTCTAGCACGACTTGCTTTGCCAGATCGCACGGTCAGAGGGTGTCGAAGCTCCTTGTCCTTGCTCGTTTGAAAGCCGAACCCCTATGACAAGTGGAGAACGCAAGTGTGCGTAACTCCCTTACGAAGCGCGGCACGATGATACCAACGGAGGTCGAACCGGATGGTGTGGTGTGAGTGCCGAGCCTGGCCGGCTCTTGTGGCTTCCTTCTTAACCAAGGACGATACAAAAAGGTCATGGACCGCTCACGTTCTTCCTTCACGTGCATCCATGCTCAAGGGATCAAGAGAGAAGAGAGAAGAGAGTCCTTTAGAGCTTGTCAGTGTGCAATTTCCTCTCCTCGTGAACGACTGCACACCCACCCACCCACCCACCTCCTCAACTTCATTCATTCATCTATCTATCTATCTATCTACGTCTTCCTCCTTTGTGAGAACCATGACAGGCGGTGGCAATCGGTTCACGTTGAACCCGTTCCCAGACCTCGTCTTGACTCCAGACGACCGGACGCAGCTCAATGAGATCGCTAATGACTTGGTCCTGGAGAAGTTTGCCGAGTACCAAGAGCACTTGAACGCTCAAAAGTACGTCGACCAAAGGCGGTGGAAATCGTACCAACGAGATGGCAACACGACCATGTACTTGGAACGGAAACCCGCAAGTCCTTTGGACTCGAAGCTCCCTGCTTTGCTCATGGTCGGGCCCTTGCCCGGGACGCTGGACGAAAACATGTTTGGCCTCGTGAGTCCGACGCTCGAAGCCATGCGGATCAAGTCGTCGTACCTGAAAGACTTTCACGCTGCGGCCGTGTTGGCGACGATCGTCGAGCCTACAGAGATGGAGCCCTTTCGCTCGCTTGTAGTCAAGTGGATGGAGATTGACATCCCAATGGCGTCGATCGGGTTGGTGCGGAATCGAGACTATCTCTTCCTCGAGAGCACGGGCATCATGCGGCTCGAGAACGGGGAACGCGTGGGGTATCACCTCATGCATTCCGTGAGCTTCCCACAGACCCATGCCCTCCCGAACCGCGTGCGAGGGAAGATGTCTTTCTGCGGCATGTTTCACCAGGAAACGCCGGACAAGACAGACTGCCGCGGCACGGGGGTCATGGACCCTGGTGGTGACATGATAAGGATCCTCGGGGTCATGGGCTTAGCCCAAGCGACTATGGCGGGGCTCAAGTATTCCTACTGTGGACAGATGAAAAAGCTGGCCTGGTTGCTAGAGCAAAAGCATCAGGAAGCTCGGGAGCAAGGCATCCCCGCGGCGAAACCCGAGTGCGTAACGTGCAAGAAACCCGTGCCTCACCGCACATTTGGGCGGGCAAGTCGAGTGTGTAAACTATGCTTTGGCACGGTGTGCACGTCGTGCAAGATTCCGAAGAAACTGAGCTTCATTGCTCCTGACTTGGAGCTCATGCAGCGCAAGGTCGAGTTCTGTGCGCGGTGTCTTATGAAAGCTACGCATATGGATACAGAAGAAGCGGCTCGCGTGCAATTTGTCTACAAACACACGTCGTCGTCGAGTATCTTTGGCTCGACTCGATACTCGTATGATACGACGCACTCGGACAGCTCCATGAGCGTAGGTGAGAAATAACAAAGCGGAGGGCGGGATTAGGATGTCAGGATAGCACCACGCACGTTAGGAATGCAGGGTGCTGCTGGCTTTTGGCTCAGTGAGGGCTGCGGCGTATCGTGGTTGAGACCGATTGGAGCAGCGAGATGAGAGTCGGGATAGCGAATGCTATATTGAAATACATAGTGGAGACGGGGGTTGAACTCGCGTGTTTGCGCACTGTCGACACCGTATAGTGTGTGTAGTGTAAGTCAGGATCGAAAGCTGTTTACCGAGTCGAATTCGAGTCGTTTTACAAACGATAAGTCGTTGCTCTTGTCCTGATTGTGTTTCTTTACGCTACGACACTAAGCTGCTTTTACTACTTACGACTGTGCAAACACGATTATTCCTTCTGCAGAACTTCATGTCGTGGTCCTTAAGTCCAGGTTTGCGTCGAGTCGCCATTGTATCCGGACTCAATATCGGAGCTCTTCGAGTCCATAGTAACTGACCATGACACCTTCAACGTCGTATCTTCGCCTAACCAGACTCAATGACGACAACAAGGAAAAGCATGACGTTCTCCGCCGTGTTGTGTCCTTAGAAGCAGCTTCTTACCCTCTTGAGGAAGGGGCGACGGAATCGATGCTTCGCTTCCGACTCGAAAACGCACATCCCTTCTTCTTACTTGCCTATTTGTCACCTACAAGTGAAAACTCTGAACTTCTCGTTGGGTTTGTCACTGGTACATTGACAACTAGAACCGCATTAGATGAAGCGTCAATGACTGGCCATGAGCCCAATGGATCCGTGCTGTGTATCCACTCGGTAGTTATCGATCCAGCATTTCGTCGGATGGGGTTGGGAACCCGAATGGTTCAGCAGTACACTGCAACGATGTGGGAATCGCAGGTGCAAGTCAAGCGTATCCTACTGCTAGCAAAAGCGCCTCTCATCCAGTTCTACGTGACCTGTGGGTTCATCGTGAAGAGCCTGTCACCAATTGTGCACGGACAAGATCCGTGGTTCGAGCTAGAGCTTGACTGCGAAGCGGCGCGACGACCAGTGATTCTTCAGGTCATGTATCTGCATATATCGAGTCAAGTGTTAGGTAGCTGCGCGATCTGTAAGCCTGTTTACAAGTGCTGATGTCGGTCGGTTGGTTTGCCTTTCTTTGACGGCTTCTACATAGATCGATGCGTTCACGAGTGAAGCTTTTCATGGCATCCCGGTAGCTGTCGTGTTGTTATCGTCTACTGCCTACCACAAGGATGGGGCATCAACGTGGATGCAAAGGGTAGCAATGGAGACGACCGTGAGCGACACAGCTTTCGTTGCTCCTGTCAACGACAGCTTCAAGACGAAGGAAGGTGTTGTCGAGTATCATCTGCGATCGTTCACCCCAGGTATAGACGTGCTTTGCCTCTGAGAAGGAGCTTTACAAGTGCGACTGACGCAAGGTGTGTGTGTGTGTCGATCAACGTTCACTTCTAGGACTAGAAGTCGAGCGAAACGGCCATGCCACGTTATCAGCGGCACTCGCTTTGCTCGATTTGAAACGTGTGACCACGAGTCAAACGCTGTGTTTCCACACGTCCAGTAACCTCCTGGTCTGTCGCTTTGAGACGCAGCGAGATACGCAGCGAGATACGCACCGAGTTCTGGTAATGATGAACTTCCCAGAGGTCTCTCTCAACATCACGGATTCAACTCCTTCGGACTGGAAACACGTGGCGTCAGCTTTGAATGTCTCGCCAAGCGACATCGTTGATATCAAGCACGTGACAACAGACCTCTTAGTCCACGTCACTCCAGAGACTTTCGTCACGCTCGCACCCGACTTGAAGCAGCTGGATCAGCTCGACCTTCGATGCCTTACCGTGACAGCCAACGTGCCGCAAGACAATCCGTCATCAGGTGGCGAAGGTGGTGATATCTACAGCCGAAGCTTTGCTCCTCAAGCCTCGAAAGCCACTCAAGACTGTACAAGTACCCGAGCTTCCCAAGCTCTAGGTTCATACTGGACATCGAAACTCACCAAGACAAGGATCAAGGTCCAGCACGTGTCGTCTACAATTCATCCACGATCCATTACGTTCGCCTTGTTGTCGCCGCCAGGAGAATCAAAGCAAGAGATGCTCATCCAAGCGGAAGGTATTGTCATGCGACGGGGGACCTTAGCGTCGTCTCCGTAATGGTAGCTGCGGATTTTTTTTCTTCCTTCCCACAAGACAAGTAACAAAGCTCAAGCGGTTGCGTCAACTCTGTATAGAGCTCGCGCCTCTCGTCGTCGTTCCCCGCCCATGTCTTTCTTCTTCTTCTTGATGGTCAAGTTGAAGACGTACAGGTAGCAAGCAAAGGTGATAAGATCGACGCCGTGGATAGTGAGTGCACTGGATTGTGCAACGCTTGACACGGTCCTCCTCGTAACAAATGTAAACAACCACGTACGACTTGCAAGTCGAGCTCCTGCTTTCGAAGATAGCAGACCATGCAGTAGGAGGAGGAGGAGAGGACCTATCCAGCTGGCGACCTCGTGAGTGTCGAAAGGGCCGTTAAGTTTAAGTGAGACTTTGATTTGAGGTCTTGCAGCAAGTAGCTGTAGCAGCAGCAGTCGATCCTCATGAACGACAAGCGGTTTACTCAAAGTCCTTTTCCCGAGATCCGATTGTCTGCAGACGATCGCGCGAACCTCGTGAGGATCGCGGATGCCCTCGTACGCGCAAACTTGAACGAGTACCAGCAACACCTGAACCGCGGCAAGAAGGTGGACCTGACGCGGTGGAAACGAGTGTGCAACTCGGGCACGACCACGACGTACTTGGAACGAAGTCGTCCATTGAACTCGTCTTCGGCAAAGTTACCCGCGTCGCTCATGGTCGGGCCTTTGCCCGGGACGCTGGAGGAAAACATGTTTGGCCTCGTGAGTCCGACGTTGGAATCCACGCGGATCAAGACGTCGTATCTGAATGACATTAGCGCTGCTGCGGTCCTTGCAACGATCGTGGAACCCACGAGTGAGACGCCACTTCGATCGGTTGTGGTCAAGTGGATGGAGATTGATATCCCGGGAGCGTCGCTGGGGGTTGTAAGGAATCGCGACTATGTCTACCTCGAGAGCTGTGGGATCTGCCAGCTCGATGACGGTGAACGCATTGGCTATCACCTGTTCCACTCGGTGAGCTTCCCTCAAGCTCATGAACTGCCGTCTCGCGTGCGTGGGAACATGTCGTTCTGTGGCATCTTCCGCCAAGAAGGACACGATCGAACGGACTGTCGAGGGACAGGGATCATGGACCCTGGCGGCGATGCCGCTCGCGTGATGGCGATTATGGGCATGGTCCAAGCCACAATGGCAGGTCTCAAGTACTCGTACTGTGGACGGATGAAGAAGCTCGCGTGGCTACTCGAACAGCGTCAACTCGAAGCCAAAGATCGACTTGCTTTGATTGAAGAACGGCAAGTGTGCGTGACGTGCTTGAAGCAGATAAAGGGGCACAAAAAGTCGAGGATGTACGTCCGCAATGCGAGTTGCACGTGCGAGCTGTGCTTTGGCTGTCTCTGTGGCACGTGCAAGATCCTCAAGAAGCTGACCTTTGTCCCGATTGATGGACAACTGAGGCAGCGAAAGGTTTCGTTCTGCGTCCAGTGTCTAGTGGAAGCAACGAGTATCGACACGTTGGAAGCAGCACGGGAGCAATTTGTCTACAAGAAGGCGGTGCATTCAAGTGGGAAGGCATCCTCTTCAACTGCTTCTGGTAACAGCTCGAGCTCCGATGGTGTCCTAAGCTCCTCATTGATACCTTACGATAGCTAAAGGTCGAGGTGGTGAGATGGAGGAGGAGGAGCAGGAGAGTGCGTGCTATTAGTGTGGTGAGTGAGATATATGTGTACGAGAAGAAGACCAGTGGAGAGATCGATTGACCGACTGTGTGACTGGTCTTCAAGTCTCTCTGTCTACTCTACGAAGACGAGCTCATTTGGTCGTGCAGTAGGGACAAGGAGTAAGGTTCGTCAATGGTAACAGCAGCCGACACGGATCACTGTGTCGTCTTGTGTGCGACGTGCGAAGAGAGAAAGCAGACGAGCGTGGGGGTGGATAGCCTCTCCAAGCCACACAAGTGCCATCCGAACGGCGGATGGGCGAAACCCACGCGAGATGAGACCTTCGACAGCTGCTGAAAGTCTCTGGAACGTCCAACGTATCAACTGTCGACTGGTCCTCAAGCTTCGGACGCAATCAAAGCTGATGGCACCATCGGCTTTGATCGTGTTGCCTCAATTGCAAACAGTAGTCACCTGTCCTAGGATGACTGTCATGAATAGAGAAAGACTGGGGGATCGATCCGCTCATGGCGTGTTCCTGACCACAGGGTGACGTGAGCACAACCGTTGAAAGCGTTTCCAGGCACTTGGTGATGGATTCCCGTAAAAGCATCCGCGATTTGATCCAGCTGGACGCGGTTGATCATGAAGGGGTCGACGACGGACCACACACGTGCCCATCTGCGTTCGAGCAGCTCCTGGTTTGCTTCATGATGCATCTCTCTCGCTCTCTTTTTTTCTTCCAGTGTCAGTCGTGTCAAGTCACACGTGGTGAAGTTCAGTTAGTAGGTCAATTGACTGACCTCGACGACAGGATCGAGGCATTACGCGTAGGTCCATCCCTACTACATCCATACATATGTGCGCCCGTCGGTATCCTTTGATCAGAACTAGCAATGAAGGAACGAACCAGATGCATCCTGGATCGATCACCGTAGAAAACGAGCAAAGCTTCACCTTCGCTGCGATTCCGTGGGTCTGACGTGGTCGGACAGCCTTTCCACTTCCGTCGTATAGAGCGCTCTTCGGCCTTGTTGAGCTTTCGCATAACATCAAGGTTAGTAGACCCTCTCGAATAGGCTCGGATCGTGGACATGTGGCGCAAACTTGACGCTCGTCCGACTCTATCCAGTCTTCATAAGAACGTGGCGACGACCTTTTTCAAGGTCGCAGCAGCATGAACTCCTACATTTGCCTACAATTCAAAGAGAGAGAGAGAGTAATCGAGTGCTCGAGTTGACTGACGACGTACGTACTACCAGTTCGACTGGACTACCGTCAAAAGTGCCTGGATTTTCAGTCGTAGTAGTGTGACTAATAAGGCTTCTTGATTGAGCATCTTCGACCATTCCAACCCGAAGTTCATAGTTTATTTCTCGGCAGAAACACGAGTTAGCACCTGGTTGGTACGCACTTGTGACTTTGCTCGAGTCGCGCCTTTCAAAGTCGAGTATGGACACTCGTCGCTTTACAATGAATCCGTTCCAAGCTCTCGAGTTGACTTCGGATGACTGTGCGAAGCTCGTTACGATCACGGATGCGATCATTATGGAGAAATTTGAAGAGTATGAAGAACACTTGAGCCTTGGGAAGAACGTGGATCTGACGCGGTGGAAAAAGTTTGCCAACTCGGGTCCGACGACGTCGTACCTTGAGCGAAAGTCGTCCAGTCCGGACACCAAGCTGCCGCAATTGCTCATGGTTGGTCCACTGCCTGGTTCGCTGGACGAAAACATGTTTGGCATCGTGAACCCAACGATTGAAGCCATGCGGATCAAGTCGTCGTACCTGAAAGATTTCAATGCAGCAGCAATGCTCGCTTCGGTGATTGAGCCAACGGCCGAAGACCCGTTTCGATCTGTGGTGGTCAAGTGGATGGAGATTGACATTCCACTTGCGTCCATCGGTTTGGTCCGCAATCGGGACTACGTCTACATTGAAAGCACCGGCATCCTTCATCTCAAGAACGGAGAACGAGTCGGGTATCACCTCTTTCACTCGGCGACTTTTCCTGAAATTCACGAACTGCCGAACCGAGTGCGAGGGCACATGTCGTTCTGTGGCATCTTTCACCAAGAATCTCCTGATCGAACGGATTGTCGGGGAACGGGGATCATGGATCCTGGTGGTGATATGATTCGGTCAATGGCTGTCATGGGCATGGTGCAAGCTACAATGGCCGGGCTCAAGTATTCCTACTGCGGGCAGATGAAAAAGTTGACGTGGCAACTGGAACAGAAGCAAGTGGAAGCTCGGAAAACCGGCATCCCGGCGTTCAAACCCTTTTGTGTCACGTGTAAGAAAGGGGTCAAGAGCTCGCGACTGAGTGGCCGCATCAAGACGTGCAAACTTTGCTTCAATGCCGTTTGCCATGCGTGTAAGATCACCAAGAGACTGAGTTTTATTGCACCGGACCTGACGCTCGCCCAGCGGAAAGTGACGTTCTGTGTCCAGTGTATCATTGAAGCAACGCAAGTTGATACGCAAGAAGCTGCTCGAGAGCAATTCGTGTACAAGAAGTCGGTCGATCCGCCACTGTATAGTCTCTCCATTGTCTCGGAAATGAGCACGTGCTCCGAAAGCACACTCAGTGCTAGAGAAGAAGCTAGAATCTAAACCTCCTTTGTCGATTGTGTTGGAATTGTCAACATGTCCATTGACTTCCGTGATGAACTTATCTACTGGTTACGAGTGCACCCTACACTGACGAATACATTAGGAATAAAGCGATAGTATTATGAGTCAAAATTCGGGAACAAAGCTCGTATTCGTGTCAAGGAATGTATCACTTACCTAGAAAGCCAAACGTCCATACTTTGGTGCGACTTCAGAGGACCTGGTCATGTGCGGCATCGGGTTAGTGCTTACGGCTTCTTCAACTTCATGTCCAACATGCGCAGAGACTTGTCCAGCTGCGGTCCCTTCATCGCGTGTGAAAGGTCCTTTCGACCCAAAAGCGTACTGCGACGCCTCCCAATTCAATCATGAGCTTCAAAAGAGACTTCGTGAACGAGGTCCGGACCAGCACGACCACCACTTTCGTCGCCTCGCCTCGAATTCCGATCATGACAATGGCTTTACACTTGCAATGCACAGTGCGGTGTTACATCTCCGTGGCGATCGAGTCATTCGGCAACCAGTGGTGGATTCCGATGGTAATGTTCTGTGCTGGAATGGTCAAGTCTTTGGAATGGGTGGACCAGAGCGCTTGACAGCAAATGCTTGCAAAAGCAAAGACGACGGCACCAATGATGACGAAATCCTGCACCGGAGTGATACGATGATGCTGTCCAAGAAGCTGCAATCGGCTGGACGGCAACATGTGGCTCCAAAAATGACGACAACAAGCGTCGCTGATCCAGTTGTTGAAGTACTGCGTCAAGTTCGTGGACCTTTTGCAGTACTGTGGCTTCATGCCACAACCAACAGAGTGTACTTTGCCCACGACCGGTTCGGACGTCGGAGTTTGCTCTACAAGCACTGGGGAAGTGATCACCGAAGGGACGTGATAGCAAAGCTGGCAGGAACGAACACGACATCGACGACATGTTCTCGGACCAACTTGATTGGGTTCGTGCTGACCAATGTAGCCATTGGACACGATGATCCAGACTCGATGCAGTATAGAGAGCTCCCAGCATCAGGTGTATATGTGCTGAATCTGCACGAAGACCAAACGCAAACAGCAGCGACCACGCCATCTTGTACAATGGAGTTTCATCCGTATCCACCGATCGATCCCAGATTGGCACTGTCAGTATCGGAAATGGAGGCTTCAACCGACATCTTGGATCGGTTTAAGTGTCAATTGCCTTGCTTAGCAATGACTTCGGAGACCAGAACGACGTTGAGGGCTTGCGCACAAGCATTGCTGGTAGTGCTTAGCAATGCCGTCGGTCTTCGAGTTCGATCGATCCCTTCACGCCTTTTCTCCAACAAATATGATGCTTCAGCTCGAGTCGCGGTATTTTTTTCAGGAGGCTTGGATTCCGTCGTGCTTGCAGCTCTCACGCATTTCCATGCTCCTGCAACCGAACCTGTGGATCTCTTGACCGTCTGCTTTGATGAAAAGTCAAATTTCGCGTCGCCGGACCGTCACGCGGCTGAGTTGGCCCATGCTGAGCTCTGCACATTGTTCCCAGAGCGCCAGTGGAATCTCATCAAGATAAACGTACCTCGGGAGGAGCTCGCAAGCAAGCAACACGAAGTCCAGACGCTTATGACCCCTTGCGATACGCATATGGACTTCAACATCGCTGCTGCCTTCTGGTTTCTCTCGCGCGGTCGTGGAGTGTTGACCAAGTTGACTCCAGCAGCTGGGAATACGACTCCGAAGAAGACGGACGTGCTTCTTGCGCCTCGACGAGATGCTTTACATGATACCGAGGCGCGAGTTGATTCGATTTCTGATGGCAAGAATGCGAATGGTAATTCAGTGCTGCGTTCTTCGAGTCGATGCACTTCCACCCCGAAGCACGGCTGTACTGTGGGTGTTTGTGAAAGTTGCCGTATTGAAGTGCACAAGGCAGCGAGTTCTCGACTTGACGCATCATCAGAACCTGTCAAGAAACAACAGCAACAACAAGAGCAAGACCATCCGTCAAAGGACGCACTGGAACAGTCAGCTTCCAGCCGTCACGTGCATTGCTCCATGCAAACCGACTCGTCTTCATTTTCCAGCTCGACTTCAGTACCGATTCGGACTGGCGGAACATCCTCGATTGCGTCTCGTTATCAGACGAATGCACGAGTGGTGCTCGTTGGTATCGGAGCGGACGAGCAGCTCGCAGGGTACGGGCGTCATCGCACAACATTGATCCACAGAGGTGAGCAAGCCTTGCGAGCTGAGTTGAAAATGGATCTTGATCGGCTTTGGACACGCAATCTTGGACGTGACGACCGCTGCATTGCTGCCCATGGACGAGAGGCGCGGTTTCCATACCTTGACGAAAATGTAGTGTCTACAATCTCAAACTTCCCCGTCTCCTGTCTGTGTGACACCGACCTCCCACGTGGTGTCGGTGATAAGCGCGTGCTACGCGTTGTAGCCCAATCTCTTGGACTCAAAAGCTGTGCTGGACTTGCGAAACGCGCAATCCAGTTTGGATCGCGGATTGCCAAGGTTTCTCACACTGGTAGCAATCGCCAAACACAAGGAGATAACAAGTTTATAGGTATGAAAAGCTGATCAAAGACATGAGACCGTGGTCAGCTAAACGGTCATCAGGTACAAGAACCCATTCATCACTTGGAAGTATCCCTCGGGGCAGCTGAATGTCATCAGTTCTTCATTTGCTTCTGCTCTTGTGAAATTAATGTCTTCACAAAGCCATATCTGGTGTGAAAGGAAAACTACACACGGAGACTACGACACGGAGTTAGCTCCGATTCCTCCGGACCCACTACCTGCCGTGGACCTCGAAGAGTCTCCAGCATCCAGAGCTTCCACTTTAGCTACACTCAATTCTTCCCATTCATCCGAGTCTATTCATCACAATATAATCGAAAACAAAAAATGTAAAAAAGAGTACCCAGCATATCATCCTTAGAACCACACCGAATCGAAAAAAAAAGTACAAATATGTAAACATGAAAATATGGATGCAACAAGCAGCACGGACTCTCTTTTTTCCAGCGCATGTAGACCACGGCGTCGTTCTGCACTTCATGGTCTGCCAGCGTCGCACCGTCTGCAAACTCCTTGCTCTCCTTCTGGCATTTCAATAAAAAAATCAAGAAGTACACAAAATTAGTAGTGGAAACAAAAATAGAGAAATTCCGAATAAAATTCATAATAAACAACAAAACTCGACTAACAAGTACGGAAAGTCCTGTACAATACACAACAACGCATCAACGGACCTCGTTGAGTCCATCCCAGAGCTGGATACTCGTCGGCGGTAGATGGAACAACACGCCAATCTTCTCCTTTACACTACGAAACGATTCCGTCGGCTGCACGTCCAGAAACACGGTCTGGTTCCGCCTCTTTACGCGGATATACGGCCCCATGACTGTCGGTTCGCTTGTCTCCTCGTGCTTTTTCCTACTACCTTGTGATTGGCGGAAATGTAAGCCAATCAGGTAAGCTCATTTCAACTCTCTCGTGATTGGCGCGAATTTCAGCCAATCAATGAGCGCTACCTGCTCATTCATGCTTTTACCACGTCTTGTGCGCACTCATGCTAAACCTGCCGCTGCGCTCGCTACTTGTCTCTAATTTCTTGACGCACAACGACTACGAGTGTCTACTGCATGTCTGTCACGCTTGGCAAGACATCGTTGCATCTGTGTGCTATGGCGCGCGCTCTCTACTTCTCACTAGCGACGTCTGCCGCCTGCACAACTTGCCTCGAGTGGCAGAGCGGCCGGAGCGACTGGACGTTGTACTTCAACGTCTTACCGCACGTTTCCCTTGGCTTGAACCCGAACGGTCGTTGCCTGCTGCAACCGACCGGCAGTTACAAAGCGTGCATAAACAGGCGTACATTCATATGGTGTTAAGTATGGGCGAGAAAGTCGAGCGCAGTATGGCGGCGTTGGATGCGCTCGCGCGCACTCCTCCGTCTCATGTCTCACCCACGGACAATGCCTTGGCAACCGACTGTCTACCAGCTCCGTCTCCCAGTCCGACAGCACGTCGCGCGGTCGCACTGACAGCAGCGCAGAAAACGCACTTAAGACAGTTTGAGTCGGTACCCATAGGCGAGGACATGTCGCTGATGCGACATTCTGTAACTGCCGCCCGCGTCGCAGCTGGGGGCGCGGGTCTCGCGGTGGACCGCGTGTTGCACGAAGGTTGGCCCAGTCGCAACGCGTTTTGTGTCGTCCGACCGCCTGGTCACCACGCTTCGGCGTGTCGCACCAAGGGCTTTTGTGTGTTTAATAACGTCGCCATTGCCGCGTTCCATGCAATTGCGACGTACCACTTACGTCGCGTCGTGATCGTTGATCTTGATGTGCATCATGGCAATGGGACGCAAGAAGTTATCGAACGCGAACCGCGCGCTCTCTATATATCAATGCACCAACGAGCTCCGTGGTTCCCACATTCGGGCTTTGCCAGTGAAATTGGGCACTATGGCAATATATTGAATGTGCCCATACGGGCTCATTCGAGTGCCCAAAATTATCGTGCCCAATTTACCGCCAAAGTGCTCCCGTGTATACGCACCTTTTGTCCACAATTGGTGATCATTTCGATGGGCTTTGATGGATCGTTACGGGATCCGATGGGCGAGTTACAATTAGACGCGAGTGACTTTTATTGGCTCACGAGCGCATTGTGTCAAGTTGCTTGGGACTGCTGTGAAGGAAAACTGGTATCGGTTTTAGAAGGTGGGTACCATCTTGGAGCCCTTGCAGACGGGGCGGAGCAGCATATGCAAGCACTGTTGCACGGCTCGTGTCGTCCAGATGGTTTTGGAGTGATTGAGAAGGAAGGGACGAAAAGGAGTTGAAGCAAATTGACAAGCAAGCAGTGGAGCTGCTACGGATTGTTTCGTGAAGGAAGAGACGATAAGAGCGGTCTACAAAATTGTTTCGTGGCTGAAAAGCAGAAAAAAGAGAGAGATGTTTGTGCATGTTCGACGAGTCAAGTTGATTGTGATTGCAACTTTTGGAGGCAGCTTGTTCATTATCAGGACATGATAAGATCGTGCAATCGTCGTTCGGCGCCAAGTGTTTTATTTGTGACGTGAATTGTGGTAACCTGCTTTTGGACAAACAAACAAATGGATCTAGTATCACCTTTTGTTCGTTCATGATAACTTCTGGGTATCTCTTGCTTGATACCACAAGCATAGAGGATTGGATGCGCTGCAACTTGTCATACTGAGATGGTCCATTCCTGTCCGAGCTGTAATCGCGATCCGACGGACGGATGTATCTATGCGTGGAATTTTGAAGATTTGCAGTGGTTGCGAAATGACAGGTACCAGAAGGCTGTACAACACAAGAAACAATGTGGAGGTGCAATATGGCTCGCTTCTTTTCTATAGTAAGCTGCATTATCAGACGTTATGCTCCGAGAGACCGTATCTTGCAGCTGACGTTCTGGAACACGTATTTCCAACGGACTATTACTCTCGTGGAACGTTGCAAAAGTGCTGCCAGGCGTGTTTGAAGAGTCGCGGCAATTTCCTTCACTTCTTGCATGTAGACTTATGGGGAATGTTTTGACCGAGTGCAAGGTGCACCACTCCTGCTCATCCAAAATTTGACCGAATCGTGCCTGCAGTACGACCTTGCCCTTTATCTATCAGCAGCCAATAGCTAAATTGACATTTCTGCGGCTTCTTTGTGACGCAAGGTACTAGTAGTAGACCAGTTTGTCGTCGCTTCGACGAGATCAGCTTGGAATGACAAAGAAGTGGACCACAAGATGCCCTGATCCCATCGTGGCATGTTATATTTACAGGTCGGATATTTGAGTGTCGAAGTAGCTTGGACCAGTTCAGCAAGGGCGCAGTCAACAGTGGTGACATCTAACACGCGAAAATTCCCTGACTGCATGAAATTTAATTCTAGCTGAAGACACAAAAGGACCGAGATATCAACGGAAGCGTGTAAGACCTCATGTGTTGACTCGTCGTTATTTGGAACAGCACTGTACGGGCATTGTGGATAAACAAACTTTGCGACAAAACTTTGCCAGCAGATTGAGCAAGCTTTCATATTTGAATTACTAAAACATATATTGGGATACTGAATCATAACGGACCCGCCGAGAATTACCCGTGTGTCGTGGACGCAATTCATTTCACGCTTGGTGATGGCTGCCTTTCACATAAATACATGGACTAAGCTTGGCTCGTAAGTTTTGTTAAGCTATTTGGTAAGCTGCTGATCAGCACGCATTCTGAGATTATTGAAACGATCCAATATGACTTGCTGATGTAAGCGTAATGTTTTCTCACGCCATTCTCATTCCGAACGACGTGTACGAAAATGGGTGATTATCGCTTCTATTCGATTCTATTGTCCGGGCGAACGTTGGATCTTCTTGATCGCTCGTGATAGAACAAGCGAGTCTCTATCTTGCAAACCCGTCGTAGCCGCGGCCGTGTGAACTAAACGTGTTCGTAATGGAAATCTACCTCAATGGAATTGTACTTGACGCAGACTAAAAATGATACAGACTTGCGACGACGCTATTTGCGGCAGTCAGGGACTCTAACAACAAAGTAGCATTCCAGGAAGTAGGGCATTGCGGTAGAACACACACCGTCAAGTACGAAACGCAGCAAAAGTGAGGTCCGAGCGTTTTAAAGGATATATACATCAAACAAATGACACTTGCTTCGAAAATGTAAAATTCCTGTTGATTAATTCCTGGATGATACACCATGATGTTCATCACTTGTTAGAACTCCAAAATCTATACTCACGATTTTGGCTTTCTTTATACTCTCATCCATTCATCAATCACATACCTTATGAATCATGAAGTCTGCACTACACACTCGTTCTAAAGATACAGCATAAAGAATGTCACCCGAGTGGACAAAACACAATTCAAGTGCTCGAAGAACGTGATAAAACGCGAAGTCATTTTCGTGGATACACGGACGACGTAATATCACATGGTAATGCACTTGAAAACACTGAGCATCGGGGTAGATATAGCTGGACCCGCTTTGCGGTCTTTTCACAAACTTCCGTGACGTACACAAGGCGTGATAATTGTCAATTGTTGGTACAGGTCATTTAGTAGTCAGGTTTTGCGCTCCGCTATGGCGTTCTAGCCTACGATCTATGGACGTCACGTTGTGTACGAAGGCAAGTGACTTGACCGTTTACGACTTGATTGCGATCATTACTGCAACAATGAGCTCTGTGTTTTACATCACGGAAAATACTACTGAGACGAAGCTGACACACCACTTGACATTCTCAAAGTGGAGTAGACAAGATCGAGAATTGAACGAGCAACTCGTCTGAAGTGGTAACTAGTTGACGAAGATTGTGGCAGTTTTCGGACTATATCAAATGTCGTCACTGTAGCAAACTGCAGTTTGCCCGGAATGTTTTGTGTCGCTCTCATCCCGTCCACAGCGACTTTATCGAAGAGAAATGCGAGATGTTGAAGCGATACTATCAATAATCACATCCATTTAATCATAGCACATGGGCTGTGTTTTCTCTTAAAAGTTGTACGTGACCTAACACTAAATTCTGTCCGATCATATGTAAATAAAACTTAGCATGAGTCGTCAGCGAATGGTCTCATACCGTTACGGTCGAGAAGTATGTCTCGTAGGACTGTGCATGATAATTTACAGGCATACAAATATCTCAGCATATCACAATTGGGCGCTTTTCACAGGCTTTTGACACGCGAAAAACGTACAATTTAGTATAATGCAGTGGACGTAGACCAGTTGACAAGGCAGGAACTTGTCTCAACACTTCCGAATTCAGGGCACATATTAAGTTTCGCAGACATTCATTTCGCCATCGCCATGTTCTGCTTGATTTATAAAGCTTTTTCAAAAACATCTACGTGCTTGTCAAAGGGTATACGTTTCTACCACAGCGCAAAGTATACAAACACAGTGACAAGTCGCCCATCTCGATTGTCAGTCAAACAGCATTCGTTCTATTTCTATTTCCAACTGTTAACCCATTTCTCCGACTCGCACGGCGTGGTCCGATTTCTAAGCTTTCCAAATAGAAATCGGGACGCCCTCTTCATCGCTGTGGTCCACACCGCTGCCAAACGACTGGCGTTGGGCTCACCGACTCGGTGCCAACTGGTTCAATCCATCAGAACGGGAGATCGGAACCAGAGCAAAAGGCAGCGACGATGGTCAAGAACGTGCGCATCACTTACCGCCGCCGGCACTCGTATGCCACCAAGTCCAACGCCATTAAGCCGGTCAAGACCCCGGGTACGTCTTTTCCTACTCCAACATACAAATATCCAAAGGTTACCCACCCATGTTAATGTCATTTGATGCATTTTAGGAGGCAAATTGGTCGCTCAGTACCGCGAGAAACGCGCGGCAGGGCCCAAGTGCGGGGACTGCAAGCAGTCGCTCAAGGGCATCAAGCACCTCAAGCCCAAGGAGTACAAGAACGTGAGCAAGACGCACCGCACCGTCTCTCGTGCTTACGGCGGCTCGCGCTGCGCTCTGTGCGTGCGCCAGCGCATTGTGCGCGCGTTCCTGATCGAAGAGCAGAAGATTGTCAAGAAGGTGCTGCTGGAAAAGCTCAAGAAGAACAAGTCGGCGTAAAAGACGTCTAGATTCCGTCCGACTCGGCCTCGTGAACCGGACGCGGCTGTCAAGTCAGGTGTCCGCTTCGTGTCTCTCCCACGTGTCTAGCTTAATGCAAGGCTGCTCGCCGTATTCTGCCTCGACATGATCAACTCTGAGTCCATGTTGACTGCTCACTAATCAACTACGTACTCCTTCTCCCACTATTCTTCCGGGTACAGTGTGCTTCATCCAGCGTAAATCGATTACAGGTTACACAGGGGGTACCACAAATACCCCTCCTCCTACCCTCTCCGTACCCGTTCCCCCTCTCTTTCCTCGACCATCACTCTCTCACTCTCTCTCTTTTCATTCGTCCGTCACGTTTCCCCTCGCTCGTCTCTCATTCGTCCAAATCCGCCGTTGCACTTGATGTTTCCCTTTCCGCACTGCCGTCGCCTCCTCCAGATCATTTGATTGCCCTTGACGCCGGCCGACCATCACTCTGCGCGCGCGCTCTCTCTCTCTCTCTCTCCCATGCAGTTCCAAGACCGCGAGCACGTCGAGCACACGCTCCTGGTCTCGCTCGTCCAGCGTCTCGACGTCCCGGACGCCGCGACGCGCCACGCGCGGGTCGCCGACCTGTACGCAGCCGTGACGTCGCTCCATCGCCAGCTCTCGGCCGAGCGTTTCGCCAAAGCGCTCGGCCAAGTGACGCCCCAGCTGTACAAATTACTGCAGAAAGGCGCGTCCGAGAGCGCGCATTTGGGCGCGTTACTCGCGATCGAGCGCCTCCTCGACGTCTCGAACGAAGACCAATTCATCCGCTTTGTCAACTACTTGCGCTACTTTGTCCAGCAGCCACAGACCAGCAGCACTGCGCTCTTAGCTGCAGCGTCGGCCATGGGCCACTTGGCTGCGTCCCGTGTCAGCGGCACGCTCGTGGCCAGTTTCGTCGACTTTGAAGCCAAGCGCGCGTTTGAGTGGCTCCAGGAAGCAGCAGGTGGCGCACACGCGCAGCGCCACGAAGCGCTCGTGAGTCAACGCCGCCTTGCAGCCTGTTTTATCCTGCGCGAACTCGCGCAAGCGGCGCCCACGCTGTTTCACGTGAACTTGACGCTGTTTTTCCAGAGCATTTGGGGCGCCGTGCGCGACGCGCGCGTCGAGATCCGTGACGCCGCGACAAGTGCGTTAGCGGCGTGTTTGCAGCTGATTACGAGGCGGCAGACGCGCCATCGCGTGCAGTGGTACTGCAAAGTGTACGACCAAGTGGTCAAGGGCTTAGCAGTGCGGCCGCGGTCGAAAGCTAGTGCGAACGCGCTCGTAGCAAGTCCCGACCAGACGGTGCTGGCCACGTGGGAGTGTGTGCACGGCTCGTTGCTCGTGATTGGCGAGCTGCTGGCCAATACGGGACGGTTTATGGTCCCGCGGTTTCGAGAAGTGTGTGATACGGTCTTGCAGTATAAAGACGCGAAAGAGCGACTCGTGAATCGCGCCGTGTCAAGACTGTTGCCGCAGTTGGCCGAGTTTTGTCCTGGCGCGTTTGTGCAGTATTATCTCGATGTCTGCGTCGCGCATTTGACCAAGAAGATTCTCGAGTACTCGGCGCCAGCGGCTGAGCGGGGCGTGTCGTTTTTGGCCACGGGGCGATTGGCGTTGGCCGTGGGTGATGCGTTGCTCCCGCATCTCCCGCCTCTTTTGAAACTGGTGCGGGAGTCGCTGGCACCACATACTGGAAGCAAACGCAAGCGAGCACGGAACAAGCTGTTTTGTGTGCAGACGCTCACGTGTGTTGCCAACATGTCGCGAGCACTGGGCTCGCGGTTTGAGCCGTTTTTGTTTCAGTATGGAGTGCTGGAGACCATGATGATTGGTGGGCTGAGCGACGAACTGATTGACGCTTTGGCCGAGGTGGTCGCTAGTGTGCCGAGCGCGCTTCCTTACGTACAAGAACGCTTGCTGAACGAGATTTCTGTGATTTTGCGTGGCACACCGTTCTCGCTCGGGGGCAACGGTGCTGTTTATGTGTCGTGTAGTAGTGGTGTAACAAGTAGTTCTCCGGATGGAGGTGGGAGTGAGTTGACACTGGACGCTTCATATTACGACACTCCTAGCGAAGCTCTGCCTGTAAAACAGACGGCTGTACAAGCGCTGTTGTCTTCGATGAAGCGAGGCTTTTCGAGTGCCGAAGATGATCCAACGAGTGCAAATGGTTCATTGATGATAAAGGGCGAGACGGGTGACGAGATCGATACGATATTGTTGTCTTTACGAACGCTCAGCTGTTTTGATTTTAGTGGCAGCTTCTGCCTCCTGCCATTCGTGCGTGATTGCGTAGCTTTATATCTGAAAAACCCCGACGCGCGGATTCGAAAACAAGCGGTAATCACATGCAGTAAACTACTGCTTCCATCACCTGATTCCCCCGATACCGCATTGATGTCTTCGTGGAGACACGTCAAAAAGCGCGGGCTTAGTGGACGTGTTATTGATCATGTTCTCACGCAGTTACTCCAGGTTGGTATTTCGGATATGGATGTGGCTGTACGAAGGAGCGTTGTCGAGTCATTGGATGCCCGTTTTGATGAGTTACTGAGTCAAGAGACACATTTGAAATTGATGTTCCTACTGCTGAATGACGAGAACGCTAAGATTCGCGAACGCGCGATGCAGTTGCTGGAACGCTTAGCACCACGAAATCCGGCCTTTACGATGCCATCACTACGCCGCTTGGTGATCCAATTAGTCACGGAACTACAGCACACTTCCGATCTTCGAATGCGCGAAGACAGCACACGACTTCTGGGACATCTCGTTCGTAGCGCCCAGCATCTGGTAGACCCGTACGTCGTACGAATCCTAGAGGTGCTTCTGCCAATACTCGTTCGTGGTAATGCTTCGTTGACGGTAGCCGTGCTGATAACTTTGGGTGAACTAGCGCTGGTCTCACGCACTCAGATAGCCGCATACGAACGCTACCTCTTTCCGCTTATTATTCACACACTACAAGACCACTCGTCGACAGAGAAGCGGCAAGTGGCATTGCAGACATTGGGCCAGCTTGCGGGTAGTACAGGGTGTGTCATTCGCCCGTACTTGGCGTCACCGAAGTTGTTAGAAATCTTTCTAAGTCTTTTGCACCACAATGTGGGCAGTCCGTGGTCACTGAGACGCGAGGCGATGAGAACGATCGGTATTCTTGGTGCTCTGGACCCGTACAAATACAAGCTGTGCATTTCACGAGCATCGTTACGACAAGCTAACGAAGTTGCGTCTACGGCCGATACGTCAACGGCTGCAGAAAGAGATGAGAAGAAGGTTGACAGAGCCACACTTAGCGTCTCCAACTCGATAAGCGATACGCGAATGTCGCAGTATCCGACACTTAATATTGATCAAAAGGCGTTGGGTGTGACAATCGACCTCGCAAGCTTTGACCGTAAGGCAACAAGCGACGCACTGGACGAGAAGCAGCAAGCTGAGTTGCAATTGTTCACTGCCGCACCAATTGGTACCAGGAAAATTGATGCTGGCACTGCCACTGGAACGCTAGGCGTTGGTTTGCAATCTAGTTATCCCGCAAACGGCACCGCTGCGGCTTCCGACGGCGCCCCACTATCATCGCTATCGTCATCTTCTCGTCGGAAACGCGAAGTAGTTTCTATTGGTATGAGCCGAAGCGATGACACGTTTGATTTTGAGAGCTCGCTGGTGGATAACGAACTGGAGCTTGATCCGACCGAGTTATCCCCGGCATCAGATGCGTACTTTCCAACAGTGGCAATCCACGCGCTGTTGCACATTCTACGGGAGCCGTCGCTCAATGCTCATCACCACGGTGTCATTCAGGCTATAATGTTTATCTTCAAGAGCCTCAGCACGCAGTGTGTGTCCTTCCTCAAGTACATCCTACCCCCTTTTCTGCGAGTTCTGGCACGTGGAGAGCCGCGTCTGCGCGAGTCGCTTTTCTTGCAGCTGACCACGCTTATATCCATCGTCAACGCACACATGAAGCCATTTTTTCCACCGATAATGGCGCTCGCGCTGCGTTTCTGGGGATCGCATTTGCCACAGATTGTTCGTCTCGTGGAAGAGATTTCGCAGGCTGCGCCGCGTGAGTTCCACACGCAGTACTTTCCGAAGGTGCTGCCAAAGCTGCTCGAAGTTTTGCAACCACATTTTGGCTTGGGCAGTGGCGCCAGTGATGGAAATCTGTCTGGAGCAACTGCGGGAGGTAGTGGTGCAACCACTATCCCTGAAAGTTTTGGAGACGGTGCAGGCGGAGCCGGAGGGGGCGGTGATAATCATGCGCAAGGACGTGGTAACGTTTCGGGTGGAAATAGTGACCATGCGTCTAGTACTTATGATATCGTTCAAAACGGCGGTGCAGATGGAAGCGTTGTGGCAACGATCCAGGTGCAAGTGGTCCAGTCTCTGATTGTGTTTGGCGATGCCGTAAGTGATTATGTTTACTTGCTCGTCCCTGCGCTTGTGCATCTCATGGAGAGCTTGGACACTCCTCTTGAAGTGAAGATTACCACGATATATGCGCTAGCGCGAATAAGTGCGGTCGCCAGCTTTGAACAATATGCTGGGCCACGGTTGCTTCAGCCTCTCGCACGGGTAGCTTCGCAAATATCAGCCAAGGGCCCATTCTTCTTCAGCCGTTCGAGCAGCAGTGTCAGCAGCAGTGGTGTGAGTGGTGGAAGTACTGCGTCGACTTTGTCAGGCTCTTCATGTGGCGCGGTAGCAGCTCAAATTGCTACCACAAAGACAGAAGCTATACGCTTTTCTGAAGTCATGCTGTATGCACTAGGTGCTCTGGTGTTTCAGTTACAGGGAGAGATTTTGAGCTACGAGCCGTTGCTGCAGCAGATCATCACGTCCTTGCCGTTCTCCTACCACGGCAGTCTTACTACAGCTACTAATGCCCCAGAAAGCAGCAACTCTGCTTCACGTCCTCAAGCAATGGTGCTACGGATTGCTCAGGCGCTCGAGCACGTACGTTGCGGCAGACGTGTTCCACTCTCGTTTCTGGACGATCGTGTCTTCATGACGCCAACCCTACGCAAGTTTTCGACCGATGTGCAAGCTCAGACAGCAGCTTCCATGACCCCAGCGGCACCTTTGCCAACGAATGTACGATTGCATGTCAACCAGCAGAATTTGCAGCGAGCTTGGGAGGCGTCCCAGCGGAGTACGAAGGAGGACTGGCTTGAGTGGATGCGTCGCTTTTCTATCGAGTTACTTCGCGAGTCCCCTAGTGCTGCCTTGCGCTCATGTTGTGCGCTAGCTCAGGCGTATAACCCGTTGGCACTTGCGCTATTCAACCCGGCGTTTGTTTCGTGTTGGAATGAGCTATACGAACAGTACCAAGATTATCTTGTTCGTGCACTCGAGACTGCATTTCAGAGCGATACGATTCCCGCGGAGATATTGCAGACACTGCTTAACCTCGCGGAGTTTATGGAACATGATGTGGAGGCTCTGCCCATCGACATCCGTGAGTTGGGCGAGCTGGCGCAGAAGTGCCACGTGTACGCCAAGGCGTTGCACTACAAGGAGCTCGAATTTCACACATCGCCTAGCACGTGTATCGAGGCGCTTATTTCGATCAACAACCAGCTTGGCCAACCGGAAGCTGCTGTCGGAATTTTAAAGTACGCGCAGGCGCATCACAGTCGCGTTATTCAGGTCAAGGAGACGTGGTTCGAAAAGCTGCAAGATTGGCGCGCAGCCCTTGCCTTGTATAACCGACGCCTTCAGAACGCACAGGCGCAGGGCGAGAGCGAGCAAGGACTGGATATCGAAGTTTGCATAGGAAAAATGCGGTGTTTGGAGGCATTAGGGGAGTGGGAGGAGTTAAGTGCGCTAGCTGCTCAGGTGTGGAGTTTCTTGCGCTCGCCCGAACGGACCTCTACTAAAACGATAGCCGTGCCTTCCCGTGGTCGTCTACTGTCTGCTGGTCTGGCGCCTACGAGTTCATCTGGCATTGGTTCTGGCACTAGCGATCCCGCTCTTATGCGCAGAAGCAGCAGCAGCAGCCTCGGGTCGTCCACGAATTTGGCAGCGGTGGGGGGTCCTCCATCATCGTCTTCTTATCAATCAGGTGACGATCACTGCGATGAGGATACTGCGCTGAAACGGGTGGCGATGCTTGGCGCTCGGGCAAGTTGGTGCTTATCGCAATGGGATAACATGACGCAGTATGTGACCGAGTGTGCAGCACAAAATGACTCGAATAGTGCAGTCATTTTCAAAACAGCCAATGGCACCGTCCACGGCAATGGCTATGGACACACTCACGGATATGGGATTTTCGGTGCTGATGAGGATGTTACTGAACTTTCATTATACCAGTCGATTCTGGCGGTGCACCAAGGTAATTTTGCACGAGCTGAAGTACTGATTGACGCGACGCGGAAAACTCTTGACACCAAACTTGGCGCACTCGTTGGCAAATCATACAGTCGTGCATATCGCAGTATGGTGACTTTGCAGCAGCTCAGTGAGTTGGAGGAAATTGTAATGTACAAGAAGCTGCGAGCCCAGATTTCGAAGGGCGAAGAAGCTGCACGCTACAAAAGACATTTGATGTGTATGTGGCGCGATCGCCTTTCAGGCTGCAAACGTGTTGTGGAGGTGTGGCAGCAGTTGATTGCTGTCCGTGCTTTGATCGTAGCACCGCATGAAGATATCGATACGTATCTGCAATTTGCTAGTCTTTGCCGTCAGTCCGGAAATCTTTCGTTGTCTTTGAAAGTATTTACAAACGCACTGCATGTCTATGGTGGTGCTGGGTCCAGCAGTACCGGAATATCGGAGATGTTAAGGATGGCACCGCCAAGCTCAGGATCTGTTTCTTCTTTCGGCTTTGGTGAGAAAGACCGAAACCGGGTCGCATTCGCGTACCTAAAGCACTTGTGGGCTGCGGGGCAGAAGCAAGAAGCACTATCAGACTTGCACCATTTGGTCATCCGCATTTCGGCCACGGCGCGACAGCGTTCCCAGGCTACGAGTGGGTTAAGTGGTATGCCTGCTACTGCACCAGCCATGCTGCCGCTGAAAAATGAAGAAGAGGAGCTTCTTGTTAAGTGCCACTTAAAAATGGCCGAGTGGCAGCTTGCCATCCACGACCAGCAGATCGAGCATGTACCCGTGGAAAGTGTGTTGTCTTCATTGCGGTTGTGCACAGAGCTCGATCCGCGCAATTACAAAGCGTGGCATGCGTGGGCATTGATGAACTTCCAGGTGGTAGAGCACTCGACGCATAGCCAGCATATTTCAGCTAACGCGACGGCGTCGGCGGTCACGGCATCGGCATCGGTAGCACCGTACATTGCTCCAGCGATTGAAGGCTTTTTCCGGTCGGTTGCGCTAGGTCGTAGTCGTTGGGCTGCTAACGTGCAGCAAGATATTTTGCGTGTGCTCACGCTCTGGTTTGCGCACGGCCATCGCACTGATGTTCACGGTGCCTTGGAGAAAGGCTTCCGATCGGTAAGCATCGAAACGTGGCTGATTGTGATCCCGCAGCTGATCGCGCGTATCCACACCCCGTCCCCCCGTATCCAAAACCAGCTGTATCGTCTGCTAGTGGCAGTAGGCAAGCAGCATCCGCATGCGCTGATCTATCCCTTGTCTGTGGCGCTGAAGTCGTCGGTATGCGAGCGCCAGCAAGCTGCCGAAGCCATCATGGGCACGATGCGTACGAACTACGTAGAGCTCGTCGATGAAGCATTGCTTGTGAGTCGTGAACTTATTCGCGTCGCTATTTTGTGGCACGAAATGTGGCATGAGGGTCTGGAGGAGGCATCGCGATTATACTTCGGTGAGCACAATGTGGACGGCATGGCCGAAGTGCTGCGGCCACTACACGCCATGATGGAGCGGGGTCCGGAGACTCTCCGCGAGGTTAGTTTTCATGGAGCGTTTGGCCGAGATTTGCGCGAAGCCAACGAATGGCTGCAACGCTTCTTGAGCAACCGACGCAACGAATCGGACTTGAACCGCGCGTGGGATCTGTACTACCACGTCTTTCGTCGCATTAACAAGCAGCTGCCACAGATCACGACTTTGGAACTGCAGGTGGTTTCACCAAATTTGCTGTCTGCAAGGAATCTACAGCTAGCCGTACCAGGTACATACCGTGCTGGCCACTCGATCGTGAAGATCGGTAGCTTCTTGCCAACGGTGGCAGTGATCACGAGTAAACAGCGACCTCGCCGTATTACGATTGTTGGCTCCAATGGCTTGGAGTACATGTTCTTGCTGAAGGGCCACGAGGATTTACGCCAAGATGAACGCGTGACACAACTTTTCGGTTTGGTGAATGCGTTGCTGGTGAACGACCGAAACACGTCGAAGAAAGACCTGAAGATCCACCGTTACCCCGTCATTCCGTTATCTGACAATGCTGGTATTGTAGGCTGGGTGCCACACTGCGACACACTTCACCAATTGATCCGTGACTATCGTGAAGCCCGCAAAATCCTGCTGAACATTGAGCATCGATTGATGCTGCAAATGGCACCAGACTACGATGCTTTGACGCTGCTCGAAAAGGTGGAAGTGTTCCAGTATGCGCTGGAGAACACGGCCGGTCAGGACCTGTACAAAGTGCTGTGGCTAAAATCGGAGAACTCGGAAGTATGGCTGGATCGGCGCACTAATTACACGCGGTCTCTTGCCGTCATGTCGATGGTGGGTTACATTCTTGGACTCGGCGATCGCCACCCAAGCAATCTAATGTTGCATCGCTTTACGGGAACAATTGTCCACATTGACTTTGGCGATTGCTTCGAGGTCGCGATGGACCGTGAGAAGTATCCTGAAAAGATCCCGTTCCGTCTGACGCGAATGCTGACGAACGCAATGGAGGTGAGTGGAATCGAAGGCAACTTCCGTTTCTCTTGCGAAAGCGTGATGGCGGTACTGCGCGAGAACCGTCATAGTCTGATGGCTATGCTTGAAGCTTTTGTGCACGATCCACTAATCAACTGGCGTCTACTTTCGGCATCAAATATGCTGTCATCGAGCCACGTAAGCAGCTCTGTCGCGTCCAGCGTTGTGTCGTCATCGATCATGTCGAGCATGAGCAGCGAAAGCGACGGCGGCATGTACGAACCATTAGAAGCCTCTTCTAATGACACATCCGACGTTTCATCGCATGATGCAACAGAAATGTCGTCGTCCCATCTCAGTGAAGAAAAAGCTCGCCACCGACGAAGCGAAAGCATTTCGATCCCTGACCCGACACCCGCATCGATGGCCGCGCTGCTTGACGAGGGAAATGAGCCTCGATTAACTTCTTCCAGTCGGGTGCAATATACTCAAAAGGTGTCTGCGCGTGGGCCAAATGAAATGCAAGGCACAAACAAATTGAGTACAGAAGCGAAGGACGACACGGTCGCTGTAAAGGAAGAAGACGCAGACGATAGTGGTGTTGAACCGAGTGATGACACTAGTGATCCAGCTCCTCAGCAGCAGCCTCTTCCACGAGGCAAGCCTCCGGTACCCCACCGGGGCGGCGCCAATTCGATCGATCCGCGTCAGCTCTCACCACGGTCAGAAGCGAAAGAAGTGGAGGCTGTTGCGCCTCCGCTGCCATCATCGCTGTCGTCGCGACCAATGAGTTTGAGCAAGTCCATCCCGCTTCCAGTGCGCAAGCTCCCACCTCGTGTACCTCGTGTGCCAGCAACGAATCGTGTGCGCGAGGACGCTATCGACGAAAATGAGGAGTTCAATGTCGTCGAAAAGATCGACTACTCGAAAACGAATCTGAACGAAGAGATCTCATCTCTTGCAGCCAGCGTCTCCAGTGTCGGCCACTCCAGCCTAAGCCGAAGCTTCTCCGTCACGCAGGCTCAAATCCGAGCGCAATCCCGTGCAACGGAGCAGCAGGCACGACAGCAGCAGCAGTGGCAACAGCAAGAGAACCACGAAGCAGCCCGACTCGACACTGAACGCCAGTCTGTTGCGCCCAGTACCCCAGCAGGTCCGCCACCACGGATAGTCCCGGCCGCGTCAACTTCGTTCGTGTCAGTGACGGCAGCCGCACAAATCCCTCCGGCTTCAGATGCCGTGCCACCGTCGATGATGAACGAGTTGCACGCCAGCCGCAGCATCCGCGAGCGCGAGCTGCTGAGTGCTCTAGGACCTGAGGGCATTGCGGCACCTCGCGTCGCGTTGAACGAGAAAGCAGTCGCAGTCATCCGTCGCGTGCAGGCGAAACTTTCGGGCCGTGACTTTGAAGGCGACGGCGGCGAGCCACTGGACGTGAGTGCGCAGGTGCAGCGTCTCATCTCACAGGCCACGTCGCATGAAAATCTATGCCAATGCTACATCGGGTGGTGTCCCTTTTGGTAACCACGTCAAGCAACTAACGGTGTACACACGATATACTACTAACTGAACCGCCAGCCATGCAGTGAGGAAAGAAAGAAGCAATTGCCAACATTACTTGAAATACAGGGAGCGTCCAAAGTAGGCGATTCCTACTGGCACAATGGCTCGGTAACGACCATACTTCGATCGCACCGACGTCGGGGCTGGCTTGTCAAACACCACACTACCGTTCTGTTCGACCTAACACCGAGAGCGCAAACCATGCGCCAGCGCGCCATCTGCTGGGTCAGGACGTCCATCGGAGCCGTCACCAGCAAGGACAAGGCCGCAATAGATTCCAATGTACTATCGCACGATCCACCTGCCTCTTTCCTTCCGTCGCTGCCTCTCCAGCTCCAACTCCTTCTTCTTCATGCACATCCACTTCCTCCCGCCAGCAATTCTTCAGCCAAATGTAACGGGAGGAAGTGAGAGGAAACGAGATGCCAAGAAACACACCGTCTCTCGATCATCCAGCTGAATAAAAAACACATTCCACACACGCACGTCCACAAAGCGAGACCACACGCCACCGTCACCACATCATGTCCCGTCGCTCGTCCTCGACAGGGTTTACGCGTCCCGTCCTTGTTCCCGCATCGGCGCCGGCGGTGCCATCCTCGTCTGCGGCTGCACTGAGATTGCAGGGCCCATAAAAAGGGCGTGCTTCTCCACCTGCAAGCTATGATCCATGTCGCCATTGCGCAATTGCTCGGCGCGTCGCTTCTTTTTCCGCAATCCCGCGCGCATCGACAGCTTCCAGCGGGAACTGCTCTGGCTCGAACGAGCCCGTGGGCCGCGGGGACACGGCACGGCAACCGCTACGCCAGACGTCCGGGGCAGCGGGGCCGAGCGCGGGCGTCTTCCAATTGACGCGCGGCGATGCGCGGCAGCAAGCGCGACAATCGCTTCGGCCGGTTCCCGTACCACTGGAGCCGCTGCAATAGCAGCCGTCGTCATAGTATTCGTAGTAGTCGCAGTAGTACTCGTACGTGCAGTGAAAATTAGCGTGTCACACACGACACAGACTTTCTGCCGGGTCGTGCGGCCCGTCTGCGGGATCACGTGTCGCGTCTGACTTGTGCACTGCAAACAGCAGCTTTCGCGACACTGGCGACAGTGGTGACGTCGACGGTGCAACGCCGGGCCAAATTTCTTGCCACAGACGGCACAGTGTGCCCTTTTTGCCAACGGACGGGACATTTCAGTCCCGGCTACGTCACTAGCCGATGCGGTCGCGGAACAAGAGACGGGACGGTCGCGGCGATGGCCACGCAGTTTCGCTGCGTGGCGCGCCAGTCGCCCGCGCTGCTTTGAAGCTTTCTTGGCTTCTTTCATGGCTTTGGACGCAGCTTGCTGCTCTTGTTTCGCCTGCCGCTGCGCCTCCTTCTCCGACCGGGCGATCGACTGCTGCTGCTGTTTGCGCTGCGCCTTTTGCGCTTTTTCCGCCATGGCGTCAAACTTGCGCTGCGTCTTGGCCAGACGCTCGAGCTCTTTACGGGCGCGACGCTGCGCTTGCTCGGCTTCCGTGAGCGGTCGTTTGAAGAAGTTCATGACCGTGACGAGGAATGAGCGAGAAGAACGAGAGAGAGAGACAGCCACACAGACACACGGAGAGAGATGTGGGTGCGAGCGCGCCAAAGACAAAGTGAGGACGGGAAAGAGGAACGGGCGCCCGTGCCCAGCCAGGTCGTGACTGCTGACTGACTGACTGACTAATTGACTGGCGAGTGGGTGACAGAAGGCAGGCGCGCCCGCCCACGCGATAGCCCGTGCGACATGGCTACGCGCTCAGATGGGGGTGGACCATTCAGACAACATCTGTCAATTGGTATGGATGGATACGAGTGTGGAATCAGATATGGATACGCGGTCTACTGTTCGAGGCGCTGGCTTTCTCACGCTTCATTGGTTGATTCGTTTTTCGAGGGTCTGCTTGAACGAGTTACATTTACGACTGGATTTCTATCCTCCCGAACAGATGTGGTCCCTTGACCCCCACAACCATTGAAGTACACTATCGTTTCGACGGCATTTCTATCAAGCGCTTGACGTTCTTCTTAACGTCTGGAGGTATCAGGACGACGGTCGAAATCGAATGCTACGCTAGCGAATCTCAGGATGTATCGGCTGCATGGATGTCTGATGCAAGTTCTTGCGTAACGCTACATCAAGGCGTGGAACGCTTCAAGGCGGCTAGCGGCGCCTTGAAGCGTTCCACGCCTTGATGTTTCTTCTTGTTGCACAAGTTGCAGCTCTTCGTTCAGACTATGTCGGACAAAGTCAAGGTAAGTGCGAACCCGACTCGTTTACCACGGGAATGCTCATGAACCTGATTGAATGAGCTGGCCGCAATGAGCGCGACACCGAAAGCTCGTGTGACAACAACACATCAGTCCTCCCCGTCAAGTCTCACTTATCAATCCATCCATAAAATCATCCACACTTCTGAACTGCTCACGCGTTACATCACATACATCATCATGTATCTGTCTACTGAGCACTCATAGTCACCGAGCGCTTTCTCATCACCTTAGATCGGCATCGACTCGGCATGACCCAATGTTGAAAGCATCGATTCGTACGACGGAAAAAAACGGGAGCACCTCGTCCTTTGCACATGACCTCAACTCCATTCAGTCGTCGCCTGCATCATCCACTCTCTTTTTTTGCAGAAATAGACGAAGCTGCGCCGATCTTGTCCAGCGTGCCATCGAGTCAGGCATTGGTGAGAGTTGGCCACTGCACTGACCCTCTATTTACCATGCTCACAACGTCCTCATCGAAGAAGTTGCTGCTCATGACACTGTCGCTAAGAATGAGCATTTTCACGCGTTATAGCGTGTCAGAGCTCGCATGCGAATGAATATGCTGCAGCAACTTCTAGACACAAGGTCGGTAGCGAACGTGGCTGCAAGTCTGCTTGATATTGGGTACGAATTCGAAAGGCGAGCCGCTTCTCAAAGGAATGTTACAACCCATGTTGGTCCTCTTAACACAAGAGCAGGAGCAAGGCTCTACGCGACCAGTTATTGCTACCGCATCGAGTGACATCTTCAGCTGTGCCATGTACGTTTCGGTTCTTAACGAGGAATACGATCGTCTCGATGCAGGGGATAGCCGAGCATTTGAAAGACACATCGTGTGATTCCGTCGAGTGATGCAAAGCAAAGAGCGGGTTAGACCTGTGGGTTGCATGCTCTTCTTTAAGTGCAACAACTTGCAAACAAGGAACGGGTCATGTGCTGAGAAGCGACACGTAGGCGAGGTATCGTGTTGTCACTTCTGGCGCGAGGACACTCCGTCTGTGTCTGTACAACCATAGCGGACCATGGGTAAAACGACGGAATTAGAAAAAGCTAGACATGCAAAACGAATCCGGTGCTACATCCTTGGCCGCACGATGAATCCCCCCATTCGTATCTTGCCTCCGTTACGCACCTCTCTTGAATGATGATGATGATGGCGTCACCACTTTGGCTAGGAAGTAGCGACGTGACGCGAGTTTGATGGAGCTGCAATGGATCTCGATCAAGTCTGTAGTAAAGGAAAAATACACTGCTGCAGGGCTGTATCTGGCATCAAACAAGTCAATGTACTAGCGTCTGTCTACAGCCACTACGTTGTCATCACCACACTGCGATTTCGCAGAGTATGGGCTGGAATACGTCGAGTACCGTCGTCCACAATAGTGAGCGACGTGAAGAATGTGTCGACAAGTACGTCTCGAGTGAGCTTCGTTCAGAGGAGTGTGTTGTGTGTGTGTCTAGATAACACATCGAAGTAATGCCGAAGATCGATACTTGGTTGCGACGCCATTGTTTCGACGGCACCTTGAGAGACCAGACGCGACTTGATTCCGTGCCGGCTATCGCACACAGTCGAACAAAGTCCTGATGGATTTGACAGGTGCCCAGTCGTGTGACCTACCTGTCACGACAGTGGACTAGGAAGTGAGGAAATTTCGTGGTGTGTGCGAGAGCAGGGAACGTCCTTGCTCTGCTACATAGCAGCCTAGGCATTTGTTCGCGCATTAAAACGATCCCAGCACTACTTAGAAACTCCTGACCAGCTAGTTGTCGCGTACATTTACCATACATGTCACCCGATGATCATGTCCGTGGCGTTAATCTATCGGTTTTTACAACTAGAAATCAGGACTTGTCGCTCTTAGTCGATACTTTCTACACTTCGAGTCTCATTTTCAGCCTTCCATTCGATTCTCGCCATACAAAACGCAAGAGCTAACTTACACATGATCATCACTTCACAGTAATACCAACCAAATTGGTCAAAGTGCCGTACTCGCTCCTGGTCTAGCCTCCGCTCCCGCAGCCCTCTCATCGTCTCCAGAGCTTGAAAACTTCACGTCACCTGTCGATGAAGGCGAGTTAGATGGTAGCACGTTCCGCTTGATTCGACCACCTCGACTGAATCTTGAATTGCCACTGGATCCCCATCGACCATCGTGACTGCAGCCGGACGAATCCACTTCCGACTCAGGCTCGACTTTACTCTCTCGATCGGCAAACTGCAGACTCACACCTGTATATCGGACGTCTCCCACACCACTTGCAACTGGATTGCCACTTGCACGACTCTCGTTCTCTTGCTCATCAATACACTCCCGACAGCGGGCACACACAGTGAGCGGTGCAATGTACCGGTTGTAAATCGCCACGCGTTCCCGGGAACAACAGGGCGGCTCGTCACACACTCGATATGCACACAAGTCACAGCGTCGCCAACATTTCCGAAACGTTGGGAAAAAAGACCGGGTACAGGCGATACAGTGCCAATTGCGGTGCGTGCCACCACATCGTTCATCCTGTACCATGGCTCGAAAAGGGTGGCGCAAGGTCTGCCACGTGCCATCACGAGGTGTACATGGTTGGTCCTGATTCCGTCGACGGCGACGAAGCACCTTTTCTAACTGACACAAGCCCTTCGCAACAAACTTGAGGCGACTAAGAGCTACTTGAGCGTCGCATCCATCAGGCACTTTGCCTGGAAAAGCAGCATGGAACGTCAGTCGAAGCGAATCCGGATTCCCAAGACTTGGTTCGACGACTAACCAGCCTGTCATCAAATGTAGAGGGATCACCCGTTCAGGTGGTGCCTTGCCAGCGAAAACGTCGGCTGCTTCCAACGTACAGAAGGCTAGTTTAAACCCTGCTACGGTAGGCGTAAAGAGCTCGACGTAGCAGCACTGTTCGTTCTTGGCACTCCTCGCCCTTTCTCGGGTCGAGGGATTCGTACATTGGGGTTCCGATACCGTCCTCAAAGTCGACAGAAATGCCGGACGACTTCTGGAATTCCCTGGGTTGAACACCCTCGGGAGGCGCCGCTTCCGTGCAAAACTCACTGTCCGGACCGTTAGTTGTTGGCCAGGAGTCATGACACCCGTCAATTCGGAAGGAGGGGACGATGATAGGACGGGACTTTGGTCCGTGCAAGGCGAAGGTACCGCATACAATAGCGAGCTGTAGATAAAGTGCGTCCCAAACAGCGCCCGCAAGAGCGCGTTGCTCTCGCTCTCAGTAGGAGCTCGCAAGAGAGCCAGCACTTCCGACACGGGGGCTCGAAGCTCGCCGTCCACTGCAACTTGACACTGTCGTGATGGCGTCGTGTGGCGGACGCGGCAGTACATGTTCATGGTACTGGGGACCCCTCTTCGGACGCGTTTCCACCCTCGCTTGGACGAGAGTTTCTTCAGGTTGACTGGACCATGGGGCACCACGACACGCTGGACGCACTGGTAGAGGTCGTGGTCACTCGGTCGAACTTTTCGAGCTGAAAACAAGTGGTGGCGAGATGGTGACTCGAGTCGAGAAGTGGCAGCACGGACAGGAGCGGGTGCTGGACCATCCGACTTGTGACGCATAGGGCAGTCAGCAAATCGGAGAGTGGCTGATGGAGGAGGGGGAGATGGCCCCGAGACGCTCTTGAGGAGGAGGAGAAGAGACTCGAAGATGATCAAACACGCAATAGGGACGGACGTGGTTTTCAAGTCAAGAGGTTGGTAGGCAGCTGGAGACATGCGATGGTCAGGAGGAGGAGGAGGAGGAGGTGGGGTGCCTGTAATGTGCGTGCTTTTCCATGCAAACCAAGTGGGACGATGGTCGTGCCACATGTCAAGTGGCCGCCTTGTTTCTGAGCTCCCGAGTCGTCGCTATTGCACGGCAGACTGGTCCGAGTGAGTCGTAACTCGACGAAGCACTTGCTTGGACTGAGCGACGTGGACAGCTGGGTTTCCAGCCCATGGTCAGCACTTGAGTCGCACGGGATGGAGCAGTGAGTCCCTGGGTCGTCTTTTCGTTCTCAGCAGCGACGTGGATAGAGAAGGTGAGAATGAACTCGTGCCATCAAGGAGAGAGGAAGAACCTTGAGGAGCAAATGTTCCCGGAAGAGGCCGCAGGACGGCGTCTCGGGTCGTAGATAGTAGTCGCTCGACTTTCTTGAATCAGTGAAGCGGTTGTTGTGGGACGTTCAGTTAGATAGATCGAGGTGTCAGTCAGTCAGTCAGTCAGTCCATCTCGGTATCGACGGGAAGTGGCCACGCTTTGGGGCACGGTCTGACTGCTTCTTGCACTCGTGGTAGGACAGGGCAACACGAAAGTATCTGGAGCAACGTCCTTGTGTCGATTAGTGCTAGTTTAGTGTTGTTGGTTGGTGTTGCTAGGCAATCGCTTGACGGAGATCGTAGGCATCTCGTAGTTGGCTATCAAAGTCTTTTCGTGCAAGACTTTCTCGGCATCGGCCACACACGAGTAGCGGGGCTACATGTCGGTTGTAAATGGCCACATGTTGTTGCGAACAGCACGTGCGGCATACGTTGTAGGAGCAAAGTTCACAGCGATGTGAGCTTCGGATCACTAAGAGCTGATACAATCGACGCGTGCATACCGTGCAGCGTGAATTCCGCGGCCCCGAAGCTGCCACGTCGTTTGTGCTGCTACTTAATCGACGACGTTGTGGCGTCTTGTTCGACACGAGCTTCCGGAGCTTGCAGATCCCTTCTGCAAGCTTCCAGAGGCGTGTTGTCAGCACCTTTGGCGGACACGAGCCGTCACTTTCGGACCGGTGAAACCGGGCGCGAAACACGACGTTCACGCCAGAGCTGACGGGTTCAACTGAGAACCAAGTACTGAACGGGTGCAGCTCGTGCAGTGCCGGACGCACTGGCGTCGAGACTTTGTCTGCCATCATACCTAGCGAGTAGGTGGAGATGCTAAAGCCGCCACTTGCACTGGGCGAGAAAAGTTCCGCGTACAACAGCTGCTGATTCTTCTTGTCGAACATGGAGGTGTGGGCAAACGCACAGGCTTTGACCACCAGCTGGTGGTTACTGCGCTCGTCATCTGGTCGAGCGAGAGTCGCCGCTGTTGCTGTGGCGTGGTGAGCGTGGGACAGCCGGCGGAAGGTCGTTTTGTGCACGAGGGAGCCGTAGATGAAGTCGGAGCCGTACAGGGCATGCATGACCGAGTTGTAGTCGTTCTCGCTCGACGAACGTAATGGGAAGGCCAAGTCCTCAATCGAACATGCCATCGTACCCACTACGACGACTTCGCTGTCCAGTAGCGATGGGAAAGCTTGCGGACTATCCGTGACGCCAATCATTGGCGACTCGCGCGTAAAGAGCTCGAACCCTCTCTTCTGTCGTCGAGAGCGCCAGCCTTTGCTTACTAAGGTCGCTCGTGAATGCTCGTCGCGACTGCGGGACAAGTGGAGCCAACGCTGGACACGTCGAGCCCGACGGAACATTGTCCAGTCATCGACCCGCACTGCACCTAGTAGAGGAGGAGGTGGCGGTGGAGTTGATGATACGGTCACAGATGGTGGTGACACGGTGCTGGAGCTGAAGCGGTGGCGAGGACTCACTCGGTATTTGCACCGGTCAGCTGGTAAGTGAGCAGCTGTCAAGCGTGTGCGGAGGAGGTGAGGAGGCATGCGAGCAAGCGACGTACGCGGACGGACGTGAATCTGTCTCCTTTTCAAGTGGCAAATCGGAGACTGTGTGTGTTTTCGTAGTTTTTCTTGCTTCCGGTCCAAGAGGACACGAGTCGTGCCTCCTCGTCTTCATGTCAAAGTGGGCAGGTACGAGGAAGCGGACGCAACGCTTGGCAGAGGTTTGTCCGTCCCTATACATGGAGACGGGCCGAGGCCTCCTTCCCGTAAAACTTGCCATCGCTGCGAAAGAAGTAAGATCGTTTTGCAGAGATCAGCTAAGGAGGTCAATCGGTGCTGACACACACACACACGCACACTTAGTAAAAGCAAGTGGATGGCTTCCGATCAAGTCTTCTTGCATCGTCGATCGGGCTCTTGCGAATTCGTTGCAACGATGGAATTGTGCCGGGTTTTCGTGAGACTCTTCTGTTGCCAGTAATGGTTGCGTCTCAGTAAAGGTTGCGACTTCCTGAATCTGTCGAGTGCCCCGCAGTGACAGAGAACGTTCGTGAGGTGGGACTTCTAACGATCTACAGTAGTGCAAATCGCGTATCTGCAGAGGTCCCTCCTGCAATCGGGTCATGTGTGACTCTGGCGATACAACACCTGTCATTCGTAGCAACGCGAAGCTTTGAGTTAACGGGCACAATTGAACAGCTTGTGGGAGACCTGGCAAACAACTATCGCCTTTGTCGTCGAGCTACGACGGATACCGCAACCCGATTGGAGTCCAAACATCTAGGAAGCATGTTCGCTCGAGAAACAAACACAAGCAACTACGCGCGTCATTCCGTTTCTTGTCCCCGAAAAGTCTTCTGCACAGTAGTAAGGTATGGCCGGCAGGATGAGCTCAGAAGATATCAAGCGAAGCTTTGGAAACAGCTCAAGCACGCTGCTGAACTGCTAGATATTCGCATGAAGTTTCGACGAAAGATGAACGATATCTGTCCGTAAGAGGCGTACCACAGAGTCAAGATCGAGTAACCTCAAGCGCCGATCGAGAGATCAACTTTCTCTCTCTCTTTACGAAGGTCTCCGAAGAGGTAAGTCTCATGGATCCTCGCATCGTGAGGCCTTGTTTTTCTCGTGATACCATTTGTGCTTGCGATGAGGAAGACGTATTCAGTAATACTGAGATGTGATCATCTGCGCTAACTTTGTATTTGCATCAGCTAGCGGCAAGAGAAGCGCTGACGAACGTCGAAGGAGAGGCAACAAATGTAGGGGGCACACTCAGAGACTGCCGCCCACCTGATAACAGCGCTGGGCTGTTCTGGTCCGGCAGAAACTGCCGAAATTTGTGTTGAGATCGATCTCGTTGTCGTCAGCGACGCTGAGAAAGTATCCAATGGCGCCAGGTTTTTCCTCAAACACTTGACTTTGCCTAGACCCTGTGTGCCAGTATGTTAGTAAGCAGCGTGTATGGGTTTTGGATTCAATTCTTCGTCAAGCTTAACGTGAGCGCTAGCCATGAGTTGCGAACTATGCAATAATCACCACACAGGCTGCGAAGGTACACTCGGATGTACGTACTCGCATTGGTGTTGACAAGAGATCGTGCCCTTCGTTATGGCGTAGCCAGCGCAGCAATACCGGAGTTACAATAAAGGAGGCACCTTAGTTGTAAGCTCCAGTACAACACGATAACGACGTACATTTTGATTACCGATAGTGCAACATCTACCGCTTGTATCTAGTCTTTTCTGGACGTGCTTAGTGTCCCTAAATAGCGCGAGCAGAGTGTTCTTGTCGTGAGATCTACGCGTAGGGTTTGCGCATGTCACGGTCCGTGCAGCCAGTTTTGTTGTTGTGCATTGTTCACAAACTCAATATGCAAATGTCGACGTAGCGGTCGATGATAGTTGGAGGTGGCAGGAAGTTCATACCGTACGTCGCGCCGATAGCAGTATTGGTTAACTGTACCGTTTGCACGCGACGTCCAGGATGGAAGACAAGAATTCCAACGAATGAGTCGGCTCAATGTCTCTTTGGTACATGGTCGTGGCATGTGGAAGGGCTCATGTCCAAGAGAAAGCACCACGAGACATGGGTCTCAGTTTAGTGCAAACCCAGACAAGAATCTGCGAGGCAGCATTGGAATCGTTAGTGCCGAAAGCAGCATCAGCGAGTCTAGGTCGTATTTGATGACCATTATTGGGAAGTAGTGTCAGTCGTACCGGAGTGATGCAATGTCTAGCATAGAAGTTCGTACTGAAGAAAACAAAGCCCCCTGGCGTAAGGCTGTAGCTAAGTGTAAACATATCGGTGAAGTGGAGGGCATTACCAACCAACCGCTAAGGCAGCTGTCTCGGTCAAGAGACTATTCGACTGCGACTTTCGTTGGTGTGGCCTATGAGGGACTTTCGATGATACGGTTGCTGTCGATGCGATTGCTGAGATGTTTCAGAAAGTCTTTACGCGACGATCGACGTCTTTGTCCATGCATTGTGTCAGCACTACAATGCTAAGCTTTTCATCAAGGTGGTCCGTGTCGTGCTTGAACAGCAGCGCGTGGAGTGGACACAAGAGGACGAAATTGTACGCACGTTCGACAGGGCGGCCACCTCTGTTCCTGCAGCTTCACATAGACCAACCAGCAGTCAGCCCTATCGTCACACGACTGCGGATCAACTCCACGACAACAGCAGCAGTGCACTAAACAAATGGAGACCGCTGTGTAAAAACGTTAGCTCTTCGCAAGGTACGGGAAGGAATCGAGGTATTTATGAAGACACGCGAGAATACAATGGACGTCCCTCGAGCGATTCGAACAGAACCGTCGGCGTTGTTTCGCGTCGTCGGATTCGATCGTGCAACTCTTTGACGTGGTGAGGGTGGGCTTGTTGCAGCATAACACTACACGCTCGTTTGCCTTTGTTGTTTTACTACTAAGGAAGTATTGGTGCGGCCTCACTCGCACGAGTGTCATTGCCAAGAGGTGAAGGAGTTAGTCAATCGAGTCAGGATGCAGCGACAGTTGTAGTGGCATCTTGTCGTGACTGAGCCTTTCGCAATGATCATGATATCGTTACGACATCGAAGCCTTTAGCGCCTCCATTGAACTACATTTCAAGAATAATGAACTCCTAAATGCATGAACCGAATCACATCTTACGTGTCCGAAAGAGAAGTCACGTACAGGGTGTTTGAGGTATCGACATGCTGCGTAAACTACGCGCTTGCAGCCGCAGCGCCTTCATGAACATCCAGCTTCCTCAAGATGTTGGTTGCTCTTCCATCGTTTTGCACTCCAGCAATGTTCTTGAATTTGTGGCACAGACGAACGGCCACGTTGGACAGGGATGAAAGATGAGAAGTCCATAGCCTTCTACAGCGTCACGCGATCATTCCGTTGACAGCTCCGCTTGCTCAGCTTACACATCCAGCTGGATCTTCCAAACAGGATTATCGCATCTGCCATGCCCCTACGGGCGATGATAGACTGCTGAATAAACGCAAAGTACAACGTTGTATGGGAGGTAAAGGCTGTAAACTGATCAGCCGCCATAGGACGTTGTAGGTAGTAGCAATAGCTCTAGCGCCATTTATTGGTTTCGCTTCGTGTTGTAAATTGGCGTCAGTCCCCTTTGGAGCGATCAAGAGGATTGTGCTTTCCTCTCATCGATATGGAATTGTCGCTGCAAGCAACGAGCAAGTAAAGAATGCAGCAAGGTGTGCTGTTTTGCAAACGCCGTCATGCAGCATTAGCATCAGTACACCTGAGCTGTCCAGCTGCTTTGGCCGTTCAAGGAAGATGTGCATGTAAAAAGCGAAGAGGTGCTTCTAACCTATAGATCTCTCCCTTATGCCGATCTTATATGCTGATGAGAAGTCGCGTTTTGGAAGACGCATGTATGAATGTATACCGCCTGCAGTCATCATCGATGAGAAATGCAACAAGACCGAAACAAAAAAAACCTTCAGTGCTAACCAGGTTAAAGCTCTTCATAAACGTGATGGCGGGTGCGATGGCTGACAATGCCTCATGTTCGGGGAGATGGGCTTTGCTGTGACTGTGCAAGTACCGGCACATTTGGCACATAATGATGTATGCGGCGACACCTTCAGATGAGGAGATATGCTGTAAAAATCGTGTAAAACAACAAACCCTGACTGTTATCTGCAGCATCGAAATCAACTGTCTCTAGCTTTTCCTTCCATGACACAAGGCTAACAATGCTGTCGGAGGCAGCCGAGCAATAAACTGAGCCTAGAGTCTCACCGATCGGTCATGTATGGTCTGACGTATATATTGGGTTTACACGATATCGTTCTTTGCTGCCACTCCCTTTGACACCTTATTTGTAGGCAGCATTGAACACCGTTTGTCTAGTAAAAGACGTGGAGTTATTGTAGTTACTTCAGATCGCTTTTCTTCGCCGCCGTGATCATATTGTTCCGCGCGACTGCCTTGTCAAGCAGAGTTTGTACCGATTTGGCGACAAGATACAATTTCGAATACGAATTTGTGCTGGTATTTCTGATTCGACGGAGGACAGTCTCATATAAGTAGTCAGTGTAAATTCAGCGTTGAGACGATCGTATAACTAGTCCAGTGTCATTGACTCATTTAGTAATCAGATCCTATCTCAAAGCGTCTATGTTCAGCAGGCGCTTTTTGTCTCACACACTAAACTAGTTACACATCAATAGGGGCGTCATCGTGTCTGAGTTGAAAGCCAGTTCGACCATTTTGCCGTAATCGACTAATCGACTGGTTGTTTGTACTTTCGCAATGAGAAGTCGACCTTAACCTGACTCCATCGAGGCAGCTCTCTTAGTAAAAGCTGCTATAACACGCCCTCTTCTTGGCAACAGATTCGATCTCTATTGCTAATGTCGTCACACAAGCCTCCAGTTTGGAGATCCTCGGTGTCATGCGAGCCTAACAGCACGTCAGACATGATTTTCATTCCATATGGTTTTTCACAGTGCTGTCGTCCTTCCCCGTGCGATCCACTGTCCGCGTCACTTGTGAACCGGCGCCACTTCCTCCCCCTTGTGTTCCTCATGACCACCACCACCACCACCTTATCCATGGTACCCGCTCAGATTGCGCTTTTGCACGATCAGCGGTACTGTGACGGCCACTTTGTCAACCCTCGCAACCAGAAGCTCTTTTACTGCGCTGCTTTTCCTCCACCCACTGTCTCTGTCCGAAGTGTCGTGCTCTTTCTGCACGGTATTGGCGAGCACTCGTTGCGGTTTACGCACGTCTATCGCCACTTGTGTCTTAATGGCTACGGGGTGATTGCCTACGACATGCTGGGACATGGCCAGAGTGCGTGCGAAGAGCCTGGTCTTCGTGCCCATGGATCCGAGTTCCATTTCTTCGTGGACGACACGAACGACTTTATAACGACTGCAAAGTTGGACGTGTACAACAAGATGCTGCCAGAAAGGGCACGCGATCCGCCTCTTGTCATCATGGGCATCTCTTTTGGAGCTCTAGTTGCTTTGAATACAATACTATCAGGCGTCCATCCTTTCAATGGCTGCATTGTGGCCTCGCCCGCTATTGCGGTCGAGTATACACCTACTCTCCACATCGTGGAGTTGGTGTTGAAGCCGCTTGTGTGGCTATTGCCAACAACAAGATTGGTAGCGGGAGTGAACTTTAAAGGGCTTACCCGTGACCCAGACTTCCTTGCGAATTATATGGCGGACCCATTGAATGTCACGGATAACTTGACGACACTTATGGCGGTGCAAGTGGGTTCAGGTATGAAGCAGCTACAAAACAGTGAGCAAGTTGAGGACCAGACGAGCATGCTTAGCCGTGTCCCGCTTCTTGTACTACAAGGTACGGAAGATAAGGTCACAAGTGTACCGATCGTCAAGAACTTTGTAAGTCGAGCTGCCATCAAGGACAAGGAGCTGAAGTTGTTCCCGGGACTTTTCCATTGTCTCTGGAACGAACCAGAGAAGCAGCAAGTCATGGATTACGCCAGCAACTGGCTCAACAATCGGTTTGTCAAACCTGTCGTGGAATTCGGTGCAGGACAAACCTCTCTGGGGATCTCAAAAATCTAGAGAGGGACATGGTGGGTGGGCTTTGACGTACGATGACGTACGGCCAGACCAGGCTTTGGATCATGAAGCTCCACGTAAGATGACCGAGTGCTAAGTGCGCGAACAACTGGGATGCTGCGATTTTGCAGTATCGGATCCAAGCGCTTGTTGTAGCAGCCGATAATGCAGCTAGAATACCTCGCCGTACTAGTGCGTGTATGTTACATGTCCTGTGCTTTGCAATGCAATATCAGCACTTTTATCTGCATCGCTTCACGACAGGCAATGCGGTCTTATAGGCCACACTGGAACCGTCTAGAACACCTGTGATCGATCAGCGCCATCCTTACCAGACAGGCTACCTGTCGATCCTCTTCTTCGTGATAATCTCCTGACGTCGTCATCACTTGGAAGCAAAGTCGGGAGAATCAAGAAAAGGCGCTCGGCCTTGCAAGTGCCACGCGCGTTTAAAAGTCGAACGACTGTCGATCAAGTGCTTCCGTAGATGGCTTGATGCTGGAAAAAAAGATGGCAACTGCTCTCAGACCTACCACCTTGTTGACAATGCGGTACTCGTTGATTCTAAATGAGAACAAGATGCTTCTTGCAGCATCCACAAACTCCTTCGTCCCTCTGCTTACATGTCTAGGTGTCTTCCTAGGCGCCTGCTCGAGCGTAGACGGTGTGCGTCCATCTTTTTTCTGCCATCGCAGCGACGACACGACAAAGTGCACTTTAGTATCGAGACAAACCAGTCCGTCCACAACAAATGGGGATCGTGGCGCAAGACGTAACACGCCAGCAGTGCGTAGCTCGCAGATGGTAGCGCACGCACGTATTGGCTCTTCTAGTAGGCTCTCGATAGTACGTGAACGAGACACGTCGATACATGATGGGGATCAATCGGTATCAAGAGCTGTATCTAGCTTGTCACGCAGTAGCAATTCACAGCCACTACCACAGCGCTCCATCGCTATCAACAAGTTTGTTAATGTATTCGTTAGTGATCTACGCTGGGCGCGCTTTATATATTTTTAGTTACTTAAGCAGCCTCTTGTCAGGCAAGACCTGTACTCGTTCAATACTTTCGTCAAGCGACTTCTGTAAACACTAGCCTAACTAGGGGGGACAATCAATAAAGATGATCGATGGGTGCGAAGTCGGTCGTGGCGTACTCATAGGCGGCAATTGGGGGCTGCGTGTATGCACGTTTCGACTCGAGTGTGTGCGGTCTAGTGAAGTCGACGTAAGTTGGGACGGGCCAGAGAACGCGGTGCTGCAACTCCGCTCGAGGTCTTTCTGTTTCGAGTGTGAGGAAAACCCGTGGACAGTGAACCGACGACGGGTTTTTGTCTGGTACAAAATGCGTCGCTGGTCTTCCTCCGTAGCAGCTGCGTTGAGGTCCATGGACATTGTTGGTCCAGCTAAGCCCATGAGAGCACGAAGTCCAGGGCCATGTGAGTGCGACCGACGAGATCGTTGGGCGTCAGACTTGCCCCACTTGCCTTTCGGGTTGACAACTGTTGTCGACGATAGAATGGTCTCGTCATCTTCGATGGTGGTGGGAAAACTGCACTGGTGGTGGGGACGAAACCACTTGAGAGGCATGTTCGACCGTGGGCTGAGTACAGATGATGTTAAACTGCAGTGGAAGTATTGCTATCACAAATGGCGACTTGTGCGGTATTGCACGAATTTGGGAATGAAGAGCTTGTACGTGTCCGCAGTACTAACTTACTTGCCACTACAATGCGCTTGTGCCCATCCAACGCCATTTGCCGGACCGAGGCATCGTACTCTCCTTCAGGAGTAGTGTAGATCTTGGCGTGGACGACTGCTCTGGCCACAAAAAGGAAGGGCAGGCCTCTCGTGGCGTAGACCTGCCCAAAAGACGGCTGTTTCCGCCGCCCCTCCCTTCCCTCCTTTGGTGAATCAAGTGGCCACCAAAATCACGCTGGACGCGTCGACAATGAGAAAAAGAAAATCTCCTGCTCGAAACCGGTAGAAAACGCTCCGTCGAGTCAAATCGCCACAAAGAAGCGACTTGGATTTCGATGGAGTTCAGCCATGTGCACGTGTCTATCCTTTTTCATGCCAACTTGTGCGCATGTCTTGCGAGCAAGAGCAAGAAGTGGGGACAAACACATAGCCCCTCGAGAAGACGGTCGCCGAAGTCGAAAACGTCGCATGAGCGCTTCTGTACTATGTTTGCGGCTAGCGTTTTTGCGGCTTGTTCATATGGACGTCCTGCGCTTTGACATTGCGGTTCGAGTACGATAGGCTGAACGGACACTACTTGACGCTAGATCTGATCGCACACGCGGGTAGGCACGCAGTACCTTAAGAACAATAGATCCTGGTTGGGTGCCAGAGCAGGAGCCCAATCCATGCCCCTTTCGTCAGAGTGACCTGTACATCGTCCACGAAGGGTGGTAGCTATGCCGCAACCGGTGCGCGAGCCTGATTGATGCTGCACTGCACTATAGTTTAGACTACACACACAACGACTATCCAATCTGCAAAGTCTCACCGAAACATCTAGTTGATCATGATAGATCGCTGTCTCCCTGGTCTTTCTCCAGCTGAGCAAAAGGATGAGCTTCCTGAAGACGAGATGATAGTCAAGCCAAGCCAAGCCCGAGTAGAAGTGCATGCGCGGTTTGATGTGTCCACGATCGCTCCCACTTGTAATCGCCTGCATAACGCTGTCACTTAAAGTGCCACTGCACCGTAGCGGCACTTCTGAAAAACTGGTCAGAACCAGTGAATCCATCCTGCATTCAGCTGCATCACGTTGATAGTAGTGACTGCCCGATCCATACGATAGAGTAGGATCTCATGTAGTAGTTAGTACCTTGCTGTACTACCACTGCATGTAGAAGTCGCGCACGGAGACGGTACGCCCACATCTATGTCAGGAAGAAGGCCGACCGGGTATTGAAGGCGAAGGTTCAACAGGCATTCACAGGAAAAGTGATCCTTGGTGGTCGTATCGATGTCTTAGACAAGGACGAAGCTCTCAGCTCCCGTTCGGAAGCTAGATACACTACTGAGTGCATGCACACGTGATTCAGGAATGAGCAAGTCTAGTCTTCCTAATAGAAGGTGTCGTCGTGCGTAGCAAAGATACAACGTGGGTCGTGCACGAGGTCTGAGTGCAGCACTTGGCAAATACACTGGCTTTATCCGTCCAACAACCTCTGGGCGGATGCAAACAAGGAACGATATCGTCAGCGTCGGACAGCTTGACCGTGGGTCTAATGTCTTCGAATGGGCAGACGTGCTACCCGTCATCATGCCAAGTAGGTACTTGGACCGCGAGACGTGGCATCAAAGCGTCTCCGCTATCGAATTACGTGTCACGGGCATCCGTGAGTCTACACGAGTAACAAAGTAGCACACGTGGTAAACCAAACAAGCACCAGCGTCCTGTCGTGTCGTTCTCAATATTCGATGATGTTCATTTGCAGCTGAATCTCATTGTCTTGACACGAGGACGTCACTGCGTTCAAGTGACGTTCGTGTCGGGATATCTCTTCTCTTTTCTAGCATTGAGCGAGCACTAGGCGGGCGTAGATCCGGCGAGTGGAACCAACGATATCGCAAATCCTCGGTGTGGTCTTTTGCCTACAATCTTCAAAAAATATTCGTCCCGAGGAGCTAGCTGCTCGCCGGCGTCCCTTCCCTCAATGAGGCGTTCTGAATGCACCTCTGACGTCAAAAGACTTGAAGCCTGTCCTCGATACTACGACCGAGCAACTCGCACGCACGCACGCATGATGCAAGCATGCGATCGACAGTCATGGCATAAAGTATGCGGATACTACTACCCGTCTTTAAAGCCAAGTGATGTAGTGTCCCAAGAAAAGCTTTGGCAAGTAGCAAACCTGGAAACGTCAGAAGCTCGCTTCGAGGACTAAAAGTTGTCCGTCACGGTTGACACGTCGTTCCGATCCAATAGTGCCGTGTATTTGTGCATGTCAAGCATGTTTCTTTCCATCGCCGTTCCTCTCACGGCTCTCTAGTCCACTCGCTGTAATGGACAAGTCCTACCAAGAGCACCGAAGCCATAAAGCTCGATAAATGCGATCAATAGACAACCGGCTGCTGCCTTCAAGCTTGTTGGAGATTACACACAGTATTCTGAACTGCTTGCTGTGAACTCTCACCGTCTCCATTCGCGTCTCACACAACTTCACAATACCAACAACATATTAACTACAATACCAACAACAACAACAACAACAACCACCACCACAACGACGTTCGTTGCTCATGTCTTTCGTCTCTCACATTTCAAAAGTCCTCCATGTGGAAACGTCGCGATCTCAAGAAAACCTCCAGCTACCGGTCGGCCTCGACGAAAAAAAATTCCGAGTTGGTCGCCTCATCTTGGAACGACCGGGAACCACCTGCTCCTCCCTTGCCCTTGTCCGTCTCCCTCTGTGGTCTCGTGGCAAATGCTGAAGCTCTTCACGGTCGCCTCGACTTTGCCACTTTTGTCGACATCGCCAATTCACCTCAGCTACCATCCTCTGGTCGCGACAAGAAAACCCAATGGAAGCACCTGGAACGATCCACAGCTTTCACGCTGCTCAATCGAAAAGACCAAGTCCTGGCTCTTGCTCAAGTCGATGCAAGTGTCGAGGAGATCACTCGAATCTTGGGGGCAACAACCGATCACTCCCATGCTGCAAGCATGACGGGACTTTACGGAGACAACTTCATTGCTGGCTCCGTAGCTTACGTCCAACGACCTCGAGCTTTCCAAGAAGACCAAGAGTATCACCACTTGGCAGTCAAGACCACGAACTTTGTGCACTCGAGGATGCTCGGCAAGAACGAGCAGTGGTGCTTTGCTGAGATCATGCGTCGCAACGCGGATGGCAATAGCTTCACGTTAACCCAAGGTTCACTCTCGACGCAGCAAGCATATTCCATGCCTGCACGCTCGGCTCTAAAAGGCACTTCTCAACGTGTCGCTCAATTGCGAAACGTCAGTGCAGCTTACTTGGTCGAACGACAACCAGGGAGCCACAGTCTTCGGGTCGTGTATCACGCCGCGTTCAAAGTGGAACCGACAAAGCTAGAAGACGCTTTTCACGATGTGAACGAAACCGCAGTCGTCAGCCACAAAGCCGTGCAAGTCCGGTTGCTGCGCCTTGCTCAAGGGATCTCGCACCTCCCGCAACTTGTCCGTCGTCGTCGGTTCGGGACCCAAATCTATGCAGATCGCTCATCGTTTGATGTGCGTAATCCACGCTGCACGTGCTGCACGCAGAAGTTGATGTCCTTCTTTGTCCCGCGGACACAATGTTACTTGTGTGGCTACTACGTCTGCGTCACCTGTGCTTCTTCCGAAGAGATGGAGATCCACAATGGGCAACTCACGACGATCACCATTTGCTCTCGATGTCGAATGAGTGTTGAAGGGTGTGACTATGGAAACATGATGTCGGTCCATCCAGGTCCTGAGTGTGTCATCCCGGATCATCCATCGAATCTACCATCACCAACCGAGTATCTCTCGTCGCCAACTTCTTCCGTCTGCACGGCTGAGCTCTCACCAAGCTCCTCAGTGAGTTCGGACTCCTCTTCAAGTCAACTGCTAGCAGACTTGCTGGAACAAGTGTCCGATAATGAAGCCAAGACTGGACGTCGTCGTGCAGCACTGACAGTCCTTGCCCAACTCATGCTTGCTGATCAAGACAAGACGCAGATGCAAGTGGAAAAAAATGCTCAACTTCTGCGTGAAGCCAACTCTTCCCCTCAATACTTGGACCTTGCCAAGGTTGCATTAAACGTCTCCAGGCGTCCACAGGATCTAGCAGCCTGTGAGTTCGCGAGTGCTGCTGCCCGCCCGTACCCTATGATACCAGCCTTGGTGGAAAAGAATCCCGCACCAAGCACTAAAGTCGAGGCCCCCGTGTACCCCATTCCGTTAAATGAAGAGGACCGACTAAGTGCCATTGAGCGCTTGCAGCTCTACAACTTCATCGATGTCCCGGAGCTCAACATGATCTGCCACCTCGCTGCTGCCGAGATGAACTGTCCACACAGCGTCGTCACGCTCGTGGAGCGTGAGACAGTGAGATTGATTGCAACGAATGCACCCGAGGTTTGGGACCTGAGAAGCAGCAACCCGCGGGAACAGACGTTTTGCCAGCACTTTGTCATGCAAGACAAGCCGTTACTTGTCCGGCATGCGGAAGCTGACGTACGCTTCTACCACATTGCGCCAGTCAAACTCTTGAGTCTTCGATTCTACGCTGGGTTTCCAGTCTCCGTTACGATGAAAGGGAGTCGTGAAAAGGTCGTGGTTGGCGCCATGTGCTGTATGGACGGAAAACCGCATCAGATGACGAGATCGCAGTACTGGCGATTGATGAAACTCGCCGAAGCTGCGTCGGAGATCCTCGAGAAACTTGCCAACGAGCACATTGCTGCGTAAAGGAGGCGACAGACGAAGCAGGCAGAGGAGACACAAACAAGGTGCAGGCAGTAGGTGTATCCATTCCAAGGAGGTCAAGTTGAAGTGCACGGTTTATGGTGACTCATCAGTCACTCCCCACCAGTCAAATTACCATATGGAAGTAGTTTGAATGGTCAAACATTATATTCAACAGTTTACATCGACTTTGTAGCTCACACTTCTCGCTAGTGGCACGAAGAAGAGGAAGACAGTGTTTTCGTGCGACTTCTGAGGGCTTTTCGTATCGCTTCGCTATTGAATGTCCACTAACTGCTAAGAATTTATGCATCTGTAAAGACAATGGAGGAGATCGTCATAGGGTGAGAGAGGTGTGTCCTTTGCTCTACTTGTAGACAAGGTAGTTGTTTCGAGGGATCAAAGTCGATGCAATAACTTCTCGATCCTAGACACACCCTATTGTGACTAGCGGTCCTGTTGATGATGGAAGCTTAGTGGCTCCACAAGTGTCGTGTTGATGCGTTGGCGCTGTGTCAAGTAGGTCGACAGGTTCTAACCACCACAAACTGTCAGTGTTTATTGGTATGAAGCAATCTAAAGAACTGGTGGAGTTGCTTTGTCCAGCTTAAAGTAGATGGCTATCTGGGTACATGTCAAGGATAAGCACGGCTCACATGTTCATCTTGTGATCAAATATGCGGCTCTACTTTTCTATACGCTTCTTCGAACTCCTATCCGTTTTCTTTGAGCAATCTCAATCTACAGGCTTGAGCCATACCCCGCATCTGCTTGTAGTTTATGATCCTCAAACACGCTCAGACAACGGCGGTGCCAACGTTTATTAAAACGTTGTCAACAATCGCCATGCTGAAATGTGATATGAAGAAAATGGCATGATGAAGCATAATGGTGAACATGCTGTCGAGGGATTCCACGATCTCGATACGGAAGATGAGCTTACGATTAAACGCGAGCTAGAATGGAGGTGGTGCGTTTAGTGCATCGGTATGAGGGCGTAATAATTTGTGGTGTCGACCATGCCACCAGATTTTATTTATAAATAGTAATTTCAGCAGAAAACATTATTTCTTGCCACGGAATTGGTGCCCGTGGTCTACGCTCGATCTGCGTCTATTGCTGCGTAGCTGCAGGGGTATAAAGGCTCTCAACTCACGTCTAAGGTCGATGACGATGACGAAATTCGCGCGTGGACATTTCTGGTTGCGAAAGGGTCAGCAAGGTGAAGAGTATAGAGTCAGTCAACCCTTCCTGGCCACCACAACCATATCGAGTGACTACGTACCATGAGAAGAAGCGGCGGTCGACGCAATTCCTTATAGAGTCCGGGGACAAAGCCATGCAAGAACATTACGGAAAGGATCGAAAGCAGGCGAAACTGGAAGTGCTTACGATGATTACAAGACAGATCACAAGCCTATTCGAATTTCCATCATAAGGCGGCTTGCGGGTGCATCTCGATGCGATGTCGTAATGCCGGGAATAAATGTGGATGCTAGTTAAGTTCACTAGTACACTAAACGCCTTAAAGACAAATCGTGTACCAGGCCATTACTGTAACGGGGTGAGTCCGTTGCACGATACGCTCAGCGCCAGGCGATGTGGAACACCCATTTTTATGTACTTATCAGTCCATTTTACGAATCTGCGGGTACTATTTAGTCTGTGGTGTAATTTGTTGGTCAAGACACCATGTTTGTGTTGACTGTCGCATTTTGGAGAGCGCGGGGGGCCTCACGTGCAAATATCCCTTCTCGCCATACACTATTGTACATAACAAAGCAATATATTTCGCACGCACACATGTGTCACAATCACAGTTTAATCACACGTAATGTCTGGCCAAAACGACACATAGGAAGATCAAGTCGTTTTGACCTGACTTACACTTGTGTACCATAAGAACACAAGCTCAAAATCAAGACTGGATCAACGTCTCCAGGAGCTTTTGCGTTCTTCTAGTCACCACTAGCAATAACGATGCCAAGAGCGCGTGCGTGTTCACAGCTCAAAGATAGACCAACTCCGCGCACATTATGCTACTGCATGACCTCACCCAGCGAAAACTAAGCGACTGAACGTACGTCGAGCGAGGGCGGCGTGTTAAGCGATTGAGCGAAATTACGATCAACAATGCACCATACAGCAGCATCAACCCTGCTTCGTAGCGGAATCATGAAGGGCGACACGCAGCAATGGACAACCGCCTGTCTGACTGGTTTCTTTCACTTCAAGGAGCAAGTGCATCAGCAATACGCTGATATGGGCGAAGAAAAATGACTTGCTTGGTACAGAGCCCTCCAGTTACACCGGGTCGCTCTCGTAAGTGTGTGGAGCAGGGACCGCTCGTTATCAGATGCGATCCTAATTCTCTACCGGCTATCGAACGATCGATGATTGGATAAAGTACTTTGTTTCTGTGCTTGATTTCTTTCTCATCTTGTGTACCAGTCAACAAGGCTGGCTGCACTCTTCTCGGTGGATTCGTGTCGAGGGAAACTTGACCGCGTTTGGGATAGGGTTGGAGTGATCGTGCATTAATCTTTACACGGTCATGGGTACACTGGCAAGGTGTTTGTTATAAGCCACCCAGATTTCAACGAGATCGCTTAATAAAATTTGTAGATGCTCGTTTCACTTGGCCTTATGACCACTTGAGCCGTTTTGCGATCTTCTACCTTTTCCTATACGTTGTGGCTGTGTCTGATTGCAGTTGGGTACTGTCTTGATGATCCTTATTTGCAGCCAATTGAATCGGTATATCACTTGATATCATAATGTGAAACTTTCTTGACGTCGAGAGGCCAATTATATAGCCCGAAAGAGAAGTTGACACGTGTACTTGAATGCCATTGAATTATATTCAATGTGAATCAGCCAAAAGCTAAAATTTACGACTACGCCTGTCTATATGCCAGCATTGTAACGGGGCACCCTGAAGCTTGTACTGGTGACAGTACAAGCTACTTATTCTGATGACAGAATAAGGCGGTGCCTCGTAACTTCACGTACACTCGTACGTGCAGAGGAAGACGGTAAGAAGAAGCGAGTACTTGGTTAAAGTAAAAAGTAGAACTGTATTTATAATAGTTAATGTCTGCAATAAATCACTATTTATCTTCATCTAACTATGTCTAAATACAAATGTGTAAATCAGTTATCTGCTCACCACTCATTGCGTGCGTCTGTCGTGGCGCGTCTTCGTTGGTTGATATAATGGCCTATATCAACCAATCAGGAACTACTCGTAAGTGCTACAGAATATTTGTCCTTATGACAATATTCTGAGAATATAACTCTTATAGTTATATTCTATTAACAATTTCTTATAAATTGTTATGTAACGATTCACCCCGTTACATCACCCCCCTTAACCATCAGTCACTTTAGTGACTGATTGACTAAATGGATACTCGTCCCAAATCATTTGGGACAGGGTTTGCACTTGTTGGTCCGCGTCCACTTTCCAACATCTCATCGCATGGTAAACAAGCCCATGCGATGCGCGAGCAAGGCCGCCGAGAGCGCGTCTGCACGTCTCTGTGCGGACGCCGAAGCAGAAACTACAGCAACTGATGTCCCATCGGTTGCTGAAGCGAACTCAGCCTGTATCACCTGGTGATGCAGGCGCTGGTCATGAAGACACTCGTGTCTTCACAGAGTACGAGCTCGGTGTCTCGTACTCTCCTGATACGGATGACGGATCCGTATCGACGGCAATTGAATCCAAGCCGCCTGCCAAGCGTGGCATGGACGATGCTTTGCGTCGCAGCATCTTTGGTTCATCTGATGAGTCAGATGAACCATCGCCGAAGCGAAGGCGCTCGAGGTCGCGAGACTCGGGCGCTAATAGTGGTGTCGTTTCTCCAATGGACACCACTTCACAGCGAGGTGCCAGTACTTCTGTCGGCACGTCGCAGGAAGAGCGGGACCGCAATGTGTTGCGTCTCGCTCCAGAAAAGAAGGCATGGATGCCTCCTAAATCTGTCATGGATCACTTGTCGGCGACGACGAGTGATCGTTATCGAACACGATTGTTCGATTCGTCAAGGATCCATCACCTTGACCCCAGCGCGAAAAACTATCGCGCTGAACATGAATTCTTCATCGATGCTTTCTTTAGACATCGATGGTACAGTGGGAATCACAAACGTGATGGTCCCTCACTACTTCAGGCGTGGAACGCCTACATACATAACCTCGAGGATGTAGGTCGTGACGCTTGGAACGACAAACTTATCAAAGATCGTGATAAGTTTGAAAAGCGAACCCGGACAGGTGCACGCTATAAGCTGCATCGTCTGTCAAGGGAGAAAGGATTACCCTGCCTCTCTTGGGGAGACTCGTGCCCGTGTTGTGTGAACAACTCTGCACGAGCACCTAAGGAGGCTTACCTCCTTACCAGCCCGTGGTGGCGCGTACGTACCTCTAGTGAGATGTACGAAGGGATTGACAACCTGAAATCCCTTTACGACCGTGCCGGGAAGACTTTCTCCGGCGGTCCTTCTGCGGTACAGGATGTGCCGCGTCGTACTGCTCAACCAGACCCAGTACGTCGATCATCAGTTGGGAGCGGGGCTCCCAAGAATCCCAGGACGGGGGATAGCTGCGCCACCGGACGAGATAACTCGTCCGACGTCCGTTCACGTCGCGGTGGTTCAACAGCTGCTCAACTAGATAGCGCTGGCCACCGCGAGAGTCCTCTAACGGAGGTGGAGGAGGAGGAGGAAAGACGCTCTCCACACGATCATGTGGATCGGTGTGTTCCCGAGAGCTTCTTTGATCGCGTAACGCAAGGGTTACGCGACGATCTCGAGCATGAGCGGAATAGGCGTCTCCAAATGGCGGACACTGCCTCGAAGCATCGAGCTGAGTTTGCCTTTGCTCAGCTTGAGAACGAGAGATCTCTGACATCTCTTCGTGACGAGCTAAGGGTAGCTCGTGGGATTGCTGATCGGTCTCGGGATGAGATAGCTGCTCTTCAGACCCTTGTTGATGCCCACCATCGGAAGCACAAGGCTCTCTGCGAGATGCTTGAGCGCAAGGGCGTTCTTCATCGGAAGAAGCAGCGTACTGATGGTACGGATTAAGCCGACCAACGTAAAACGTGGGATGCGTTCGCACCTTACGTGGTAACTCGATCGTGTATGCATTGCCTAGGCGGTGCAATACACGAAATGGGCCAATGTACTTGGGTAGTAGTTTACTGCTACCCAAGTTAGTCACTACATGCTTTGGTAGATTAACCGTAGACAGTAGGACTAAGTCACCTTTATTAAATAAAAGAGTGTTTGCCCTTCCATCCTTGTCAGCGTTTTGCTTTTGCGTATCCACCGCTTCGGCGATGGAGTCTTGCACAAAACGGACTACCGTTTCACGAGCCAGTATGAACTCATCTGATGACTCGTTAGCTTCAGTGTGCTGTGAGCGCACTGCAGCAACATCAACCTTTTCTTCAGTGAGGGCTTCCGCACTCTCACTGGGATCATTGTCTTCAGTGAGGGCTTCCGCACTCTCACTGGCATCATCTTCTTCGATATCGATGTTATCGATATCGGCGTCAAACGCAATGACTTCTTCGTCAGAGCGTGATGAGCGTGAACCAATTCGGTTTCTGCTCGCGCTAGTCCCTCCCCCCCTTAAACCAGAGTTACACTCTAGTAAGGTGGGTACACGCGGATGGCGCAAGCCATTCACGTAAAACGGTGTATGTGTCGTGGACGCATGCACCGAGTTGTTGATGGCAAACTCTACCATTGGCAAAAACTCACTCCAACTCTTAAAGGAGTGTACGTATCCTCGAAGTATCTCTTCAAGGACACGATTGGCACGTTCCGTCTGACCATCTGACTCTGGATGATCAGATGTTGACATCTTCAAGCGCGTTCCGAGTGATTTGAACACGGAACGCCAGAAATCAGCAGTGAATCGTGGATCTCTGTCTGATACGAGTTCACGGGGCAACCCATGAAGTCGGAAGATGGTGTCAATAAAGACACAAGCACAGCCACTTGCCGTGATTGTCTCTGGTACAGCCACAAGGTGTACCATTTTGCTGAATCTGTCAACAAATACGAGAATACCCGTATTCCCGCGTGCGTCTTTGGGTAACCCGAAGACGAAATCCATTGAGATGGATTCCCAGCACTCAGCCGGAACCGGTAGAGGCTGTAAAGGTGCACGCAGTGAAGGACTTGACTTCACTCGTTGGCAGACTTCGCATGCGCGAACATACTTTCGCACAAACTGATACTGGCGGGGCCAGTAAAAGTCTCGACTTACCGTGAGATATGTTTTCTCTCGGCCACGATGTCCTCCTATAGGAGCATCGTGATACTCGAACATGATCCGCAAACGCAGATCAGTATCATCTGGAATGACAACACGTGGTGTGTCACCAGAAACGGCTGTATAGTACAGTAAACCGTTACGAGTAGTGTATCGATCTGATGCAGATCGATACGCAGACGACAATCGTTTCAACGATTCTCGAGATGGTTGGGAGAGATGTGACAACAACTTCACTATCTCACCATCTTGGGCGTATGCCCGCCTCACATCATCATACAACGTTGTAGATGGAACTGAGGACGTCATAACCGCAACAGTGACTGTCTCACTGTTGGGTTTCGCGACTGGTTCAAAGTCGGGACGACGTGAGAGTGCATCAGCAACGACATTAAGTCGTCCTGGTTTGTACTCGACCGTAAAGTTGTATTCTGCAAAGAATGACAACCACCGCGCCATTCGTTGTGAAAGGTGCGGGCTGTTCACTGCCGTGCGTAATGACGCATGGTCAGTGTAAACAACGAAGGGTCTATCTCCTAATAGATAGACTCTGAACTTCGCGAGTGCATACTTCATGGCAAGGAGTTCCTTGTCATGCACTGGATAGTTCCGCTCAGCTGGTTGCAGCTGAAGCGACTGATAGCAGACGACGCGTTCAACGCCTTCAAGATCGTACTGCATTAGTGCACAGCCGATTGCGAAATCGCTGGCATCACAGACCACATGAAATGGCCTGTCCTTATCGGCTATTGCTAGGACTGGGGATTGTATCAAGCTCTGCTTGATACCATCAAAGGAGCGCTGACATTCAGCGTTCCATAACCACCTCTCGTTCTTTTTCAACAAACGAGAGAGGTGCACAGTCATCTCGGCGTAATTGCGTGAATACTTATGCAAATACGCCGCTAGCTCAAGGAATTTTCGAAGACCTTTGACATCAACCGGCACGGGCCAGTCGGTGATCGCCTTGATCTTTTCGGGATCAGGACGTACACCGTTCTTACCAACGATGCACCCAAGAAGTGGTATTTCGCTTGCTGCAAATATACACTTCTTGAGGTTTGCATACAATTGATGCTTTCGCATGATTGTAAGAACTTGTCGGACGTGGTACCTGTGAACCTCAACGTCCGACTTTCCATCCATAGCTCGACTATGGATGAATACGTCATCGAAATAACTCGGCGCGAATTCTCGTACTGGCCTCAACAGATGTGATACACACCTGTTGAACGTGGCAGGGGCATTACTGAGCCCTTGTGGCATTACTAGCCATTCCCAGAGCATGCCGCTAGGCGTGCTAACTGCGGTATAGGGTATATCCCGTTCCCGCATTAGGATTTGATAGAAGCCATCCATCAAATCCATGGACGAAAAGATGGTACTCTTTGACATACCATCAATGATTACGTCCTTCCTCGGTATCGGCGTCTGAGCCGGTACCGTTGCAGCGTTCAATTTGTTAAACGCGTGCACTATCCGCCACCCTCCTGTTGCTTTTCGCACACAGAAGGTCGGAGAGCTATGTGGGGAAGTTGATTCCCTCACATGGCCCGCAGCTAAACGATCGGCAAAGAACTTGTCGATCGCAAGTACTTGTTCACGAGGCAGTGGCCACTGCTTCATGACACAGTACTTCGAGCCTGGTTTAAGCTCGACCTCGTGTCGAATACCTTTATCCTTCGGTAATTCGCACGGAACAGTTTCAGGGAATACATCCTTGAATTCAACCAAATCTTCATAGAGAGGATTTTCCTTGAGCGATTCCCATGATTGGGAGTCATATCGCTCAATTCGTGTCTTTTCATCTAGGACACTCTCGTCCATAGATGAACTACTGAGAACTCTCGTTCTCAGTAAACACTGTTGCTGACCTTATGTCGGTTACATACTCGTCGTCAGCGACGAGTATGCAGATCTGCTTGACTTTGCCACTACGCAGATCACGCAAGAATCTTTTATGTTCGAGCGTTGGCAACTGAGTGATCTCCGAAGTTAACTTCGGAGGCGCAATCAGATCAAGTGTATAAGCGCCTACACATGATCCGTTATTGACTATGACATTCAATGTCTCTGTCATTTCCTGGGGACTTATTCCCTCAGGCTTCGAAGGACTTATTCCTTCGTCTTCCCGGGGACTTATTCCCGCGGGTTTCGGGGAACTTATTTCCGCCGTATTTGTAATCTTGGGACTTATTCCCTTTACTTCCTCTAGCTGGGGTTGCGCAACCACAGCGAGATCCTCTACGAAAGACTCTCCAGTCGATCTAGGATTATCGTTTCGCTTAACCTGAGCGATCGATTGTTTCTCTTCTAGATGTTCCCCTCTAGGGATACATCTTTGTCCCAGTCCACCCGACTTATTCGAGTGGTGGACCTTCGGCGCAGCCTGTGTTTCCTCACAGCCGCCGGAACTTTGCTCCGAAGTGTAACCGTTTGGTACACTAAGGTTTTGTGCAGTCGTACTAACGACCGTACCACAAGTGAGGCCATCGCACTCACTCGTAGTACATCCACACGCTTGTGGACGCTCCAAAACGTTCATCAGATGGCCATCTGATGAACAAGCGGCAGGCATCGTTACTGTTCGATGTTGCCAATTTACCCGTGGTTCGTACCTTCTGAGCCACGGTATTCCAAGGATGACATCAAATTTGTCATCCAAATCCAATACGATAAAGTCATCGTCATATTGGGTATCTTCTAGCGTATAGTGGATCTTCACTATACGCTTCATGACGGTTACGGATGCGCCTGTCGCAAGACGTACCGTCATCCTCGTAGGAGTTGTGTCACATTCACTGAACTTAAAGTGACCATCTTCTAGCGATTGGCGTCGCACAAAATTGTTGGACGCCCCACAATCGACTAGAGCTCGAAGGGACAACTTATTCGTCACTTCAAGTTTCAAGGTAATGAGTGAGATCTCATTACCTAGAGCAGCAACGCACAGCGTTTGTGTATTGGGAGCAACCTTCATCAAGAGGCCTACAAATTCTCTTGACGTTGCTGGACCAGTAGGGTGCTCCGCACCTAATGATCCTGTCCGTTTTTGACAATCCATCCCGTTGTTGCGTCTTTGCACCAACAGCGGACCCGCGTCCCTGTCCCTTTCTCATGGGTGGACGGTCACTACGCCCAGTGTTGCGAGACACTGGACGAGGGGCACTACACTCGTAAGCGTAGTGTCCTGTCTTCTGACATCTGTTGCATTTCTGCAACTTCCTGTAGTCTGTAGAGCGAGCCTTCTCGCTCTCTACATAACAGAGTTCCATCGGCTCTGGACCTCCGTTGTCATATCGTCTCGGTTGACGATACGATGTCGAGCTGGCGCGAGCCTGTCTCAGACTGAAGTCTTCCTGCTCCGCAAAGGAAATGGCTTGTTCTAGTAAATCTAGTTCAAGTCGGAACGGGTGAGTATTGACGGGACCATCCGCAAGACCCTGCATGAACACCGAAACCAACGTGTGTTCATCCACCGGATTGGAACTTATACAACTCGTGAGATGTCGTATATGCTGCGCGTAAGCGTGCACATCACGCTTACCTTGCTTGAGCTTCAAGAGTTCGGTTCGAGCTCTGAACTCAGCTCTAGGCGGTTCAAACGTTTGTCTGAGCCGCGACTTGAAGACTTCCAACGACCCAAACGCATATGGGTCGTGCAACTTGAGCCCCAGTGCCCAAGTCTTGGCACGTCCTGCCAGATTTGACTGGGCAAATTCAACTTGCATCTCCCCGTCGTCGATGCGACGCGCCCTTATGGCGTCATCCAATTCGACGAACCATCTCAATAGGGAGTCCTCTTCGACTCCCCTATACTTGGAGATGTCAATCTTCAAGGTCTCGGGTCGACGCGAGTGCATCGACCCGCCACCAGCAGCCTGCTGCTGTCTCAACAGTCCAAACTGTTGAGCACTCTGTTCTCTCAACAACTCTGCTTGTTGAGAACCTTGTTGGTGAAGCAAGGCTACTTTCTCGCGTTCTGCGTCAAGTTCATTTTGAATGAACTTGGCGATAGTAGCATGTTGGGCATCTCTATTGAGAGCCTCTAGCATGACGCTAACAGCATGGATGCCCATGGTCGAACCCATTCGTTCAACCGCATCCCATTCGACATCGCTCAAATGGGAGTAGCCGTCACGCGTAGCGTGAAAGCTTTGGTCATCTTCATCATCCAACATATTCATGTTGGATGTAAACGCGGTCCTTGGACGGACTACAAAGTGCTACCAGGTGTAACGGGGCACCCTGAAGCTTGTACTGGTGACAGTACAAGCTACTTATTCTGATAACAGAATAAGGCGGTGCCTCGTAACTTCACGTACACTCGTACGTGCAGAGGAAGACGGTAAGAAGAAGCGAGTACTCGGTTAGAGTAAAAAGTAGAACTGTATTTATAATAGTTAATGTCTGCAATAAATCACTATTTATCTTCATCTAACTATGTCTAAATACAAATGTGTAAATCAGTTATCTGCTCACCACTCATTGCGTGCGTCTGTCGTGGCGCGTCTTCGTTGGTTGATATAATGGCCTATATCAACCAATTAGGAACTACTTGGAAGTGCTACAGAATATTGTCCTTATGACAATATTCTGAGAATATAACTCTTATAGTTATATTCTATTAACAATTTCTTATAAATTGTTATGTAACGATTCACCCCGTTACAATATTGTCCTTATGACAATATTCTGAGAATATGACTCTTATAGTTATATTCTATTAACAATTTCTTATAAATTGTTATGTAACGATTCACCCCGTTACACTCGCCATCATTGTCTCGCAGCAGGTTAGCCTTTATAAGGAAGTCAGTCAAACGCACGCACGCCGGAAAATGTCATCAAATAAATCATGTCGTCACCTGTACTTGTCGGCACAAATTTGCCATAACGTACTCATCCGCCCAAAATAATTTTCGACGATGACCATGTCGCTTGATTATTGTCATTCTTACGCTCTTCGTCTGCAGAAAGACGGCGTCTTGGGGGAGCTCTTATTGGATGTATAGCATGTAGCTTCAGCAAGTCCTTGATACCCTTTATCCACTAAGAGCACCCATTTTGCGAGAATGGAGCATTCATTGGGCCGAAATCTTCGAGCACCGGATCTTGACCAGTCTTAGTACACGTGCTTTGATAATCTCGAGGTTGTGTCGGAAGGCTTAGATGTCTACGATGCTTTATTACGCAAAATTCGTGCAGTTAATGGCCAGGATGCGAGGATTCACCGGCACATCCACCTTCAGTCCATGTTGATGTTGCTTGCCGATGTAAAACGGGTTCTTTTCGTCACTGTTACCAATAGGGCGGTTGCGCTGCTAAAATGTGACACTCTTGGCGTAAATCGCGCACGGAAAATTGTGAACAGTACGCCCGTACGTCACCAGCAAGCGCACGTTCTCTTCATATAATCTTTTTTCGACTTCTTCATCATATAGATTGAAAAAAACGAACGACGCGTTAGAACTTCGTGATTCTTTGTAAACATAGGCGTGCCCACGTTGAACACACGCGCTACTAAATTCCACATGCCGCCATTCTTCTACAGGAGTGGTATCATGAACAACACGTCCTTTGCGGCGAATTGCGAGCGATTGCCACGTCTCGCGTTCCAATTGAGCGTCATGTACTCTACCATACTTGACTAGAGCATGTCAAACTCCCGCATCAAGAAGTTCGTCATGGTATGGACCGCTTCTGCACCGCTACGATTCAGAAAGCGGTCGTAGACCGGCGAAGGAGAGCTGTCCTTGTCATCTTCCACAGCGGCAATAGCGGAAACTGATGCAACTAATCTTGTCGGACGCTCGCTGGTCAATCAGCTCGATTGCTTAAAGAACTTGATCTGGATCCGTCGCGAGGGTGTATGAACGAGACATGACTGAAGTGATTGATGCAAACGAGTGATAAAAAATTAATTGACATAGTATACTACCGTTCCAGTTACAAGCATGGTATTTATGAAGCAATTAAACAAATATCGACCAAAGTGTAATTGATGGAGAGAACTAGCTGAAATTTACGGATTAAGCTCTTGATCTGTCAACCACCAGTTACTAATTCAATAACTGCTTTACATCGATGATTTGGTTGAACACAGCGCAACACGTGTGATGGCTAGCTTCTGGTTAAAAGGTCTACTAGTGGGCGTGTGAGCATTCCGCTGAACGAAGCTCTCTTGTGCAGGAAGCTTACGCCTGTACTATCCAAGTTGAGCTGCAAGAAAAAAAGGCAACTGGATTCACAAGAAGTCAATATAATTGAATAGTCTGAACCCTACAATGACTATGATGCTGTACAAAATTTGCATACATATTGTGTGCCCACCACTCGTTGTGTGTCATATCTCGATAGGTGGTATACGGCAGCTGATATCGTAGTCAATAGTCAGTAACCAATGAGCGGGGGTCATCACGGGCGACCTCATTTTTATTTGATAAAGTAAAATTACTGAAACTCACTACTACGGTAATATTACCAAATAGAACCTGCTAAGGTCATCTTCACATTGATATAAAGATAATTTGTCGATGTCATCCCACGAGCCAACTCCTGCTTGAGCGATACCTTTTTTGATGCCGATGTCCCTGAAAGCGGTGTTAAAGCAACATGGTAGATAGTTTTCATCAATAAGGGGGGTCTGAGATCAGCAAGTTGAAAGAAATAGCGTTTTTTGGCATGTAAGGCGAGGTGGCAGCCGTCGCTACCCGGGAGTGCAATGACTAAACTGCTACTACCTCCGAAAGGGCATGCGATAAATGGCCGCGCATCTGTGACCGTTAGCTACCAGATACGTCGCGCGACGTGTGATCCATAACAAACAAAAGCAAACAAAAATTATGTGAGGATGTATCATCTTGGGTTACATGCCAAACGTGGGATTCTTAAGATCGAACATTTCGAAGGGCCTCGCATGCCAGCTGATATGTTATGCAAAGCTCCGTCTGCACCGAAATTCTAGGTATTACAAACCGTCGCTGCTATTCCATAAAGTAGGTGCGCACTGCGCAGTCCATGCCAGAACATCCATTTGATTACTGCTTGAACGCGAAACACACGACAGAAAAGTGACAATCATCGACAGACGGACGGTGTGCGTGTGGACGTCCTTTTTACTTGTCGATAAGCTTGACCAGGCCATTTCTAAGGCTTAAACGACGAGTCGTCACATTTCTATCACTCTTCCCCCATTGTACAATTTGCCACCTCGATCCAAAGTCGAATTCAGCCTCGAGGTTCTCAAAATTAACATGTCGGCCAGTCCGAGTTGCGAGCGTGTGCTCCCTGACCAGCAGTCAATGCCACCACAAGCTGTCGAAGGTTTCGCCCCGCCAACTTCTTTCAAGTGCACAGCTGATCCATCCCCGAGCTCCTCCAACACTTCGAGCTCCTCTTCAAGTCAACTACTAGCAGACCTGCTGGAACAAGGTCCAGATGATGAGGCAAAGACTGGACAGCACCATGCCGCACTCGCGGTCCTCGCCCAACTCCTCCTTGTGGACCATGACGGAACGCAGATGCAAGTGAATGACAACGCCCACCTCCTGCGTGAAGCCACTGCTTCATGCCACTATTTGGACATTGTTAAGGTCGCACTGGACGTCTCCAAACGTCCATCGGATCTTGCAGCCTGTGAATTCGCAGGTGCCGCCTCCTGTCCGTCTTCAATGACCCCTGCCTCGGTCAAAGAGGATTCAGCATCAAAAGCGAACGCCGGCCAGCTCACTTTCCCCATCCCGTCAAACGAGAACGAGCGAGTAAGCACCATTGAGCACCTTCGACTCCACGATATAGTCGACGTTCCGGAGCTCAACGTGATCTGCGCACTCGCTTCTGCTGAGCTGAATTGTCCACACAGTGTCCTGACGCTCGTGGAACGTGACATCGTGACGTTGCTGGCAACAAACGCGCCCGAGACCTGGAAAGTCGGGAGCGGCAATGCGCGTGAGCAGACGTTTTGTCAGCACTTTGTCATGCAGGACCAACCATTCCTCGTAGACCACGCGGAAGCCGACGAACGTTTCCGCCACATTGCTCCAGTGAAACTGATGAGTCTGCAGTTCTACACTGGCTTTCCAGTCTCTGTCACGTTGAACGGACGTGACGGTGATACAAAGGTCGTGGTCGGTGCGCTGTGCTGTATGGACGAGACGTCACATGAGGTGACGAGGTCGCAGTACTGGCGACTCATGAAACTTGCTGACGCAGCGTCCAAGATCTTTGAGAAATACGCGAACGAGCACATTGCTATGTAACTGAGACATCAGACGCAGGCAGGAGCAAATAGAAGATGCGAATGCACCAACAGGAAAGACAAAAGCAGGTGAGGAGGAAGGACAAGCTTTTTACACAGTGTTGTAGACAGTTGTAGACCATAAGAGGTGCATCATTCCAATGTGGTCAACTTGAAGTGAACGACTTTTGTGCTCTCACGTTGAACGACTTTTGTGCTCTCACGTAGTCTCCACCAGTCAAATTACCATCAGGACGGTACTTCATTGGTCAAAACCGTTTTATCCAATCGGCTGTCTCCATTTCGAGCTCGCGCAGTTCTCGCCATTAGCACCAAGCGAAAAGAGAGAGAGAGAGAGACCGCGCGCCTTCTGTGGACGTCTCTGTTGCCTTCTGCCTGCCGCCCTTTGTCCCTTCTCAAGCACTTGCAGCCACCGCGTCTACGCGAGCACGTGATCATCTAGTTTTCCCGCTTGCGCCTTTGTTTACTCGATACGAACAAGCTAACCAACCCCGGTCGTCCTTGGAAGAAGAAAACCTATCCGATCGAATGACCGAAGCGCACGTCGAGACGCGCGCGGCGCCAAAATCTGCTCCAAGTACGACTCCTCAAGGCACTTCAACGACTGGTTCTAAGCTGCGTTCGACTGCAAAGCCGTTCGTGCTCAATACAAACGCGCCAGCCTGGACTCCAACTGCTGTGCCTTCATCTTCGTCGTCGTCCAAGAGTCAACTCAGTTTGGCAGCCAAGCCCTTTATTCCTTCCTGTACGTTGGTTGGGTTGTTTAAAAGAGAGAGAGAGCTGTAGTAATGGTGGCGGTGTTGTGCATTGATTTGTTATTTGTTGATTGATGTATTTTTTGACTGGTGATGACTGTGTTTCTGTAGTTACTGCGCCGACATTTGTGCCTGGATCATCGTGTACGCCGGAGGTGGAGACAAAAGACACGGTAGTGTCGGTGGACTCTGGTGTGACTAGTACGATACCGAGCGATGAGAACGAGGAGGAGCAGGTGAAGCCAAGTACATTAGAGCCAGTGTCGACGCCCGCGACTTCGGCTGCGTCGTCAAACACATCTGAGTCAGAGATTGAAGAGCACGTGGTGGAGAAGGAACGTGATGCGGAGGAAGAGAGTCTGATGGAAGCGAACGAGTGCGTAGAGAAACAGAAACATGATGTGGATGCTGAAGAAGAAGTTGAGGTTGTGGCGAAGGAAGCAGAGGCCGAGAAGACTGAAGTTGTAACAGGACAGGCCGAGAAGGTCGAAGTTGTGACGGAACAGGCTTTGATTGGTGAGCGTATTATTTACACAATTGAGCAGCTGCTAGAGATGGAGCCGGAAGTGGAAATGTGCCGAATGCCCGAGCGAGTAAAGGGCATGGTGATTGCAGCTGAAACGACAACAAAGGCTCTTTCAGCACCGGTACCAGATGAGACGGGCCGAGGCATGTATAGCAACGATTCGTCTCGTTCTCTGAGTCGTCACAACAGCAGCAGTAGCTTTAACGAAGGACGTGGGCGTCGGGAGCGTGGAAGTGGTCGCGGAGGCCGTGGTGGCCGTGGTGGTCGTAATGTCCACGACACAGCACCTGCTCTTGAGGACTGTGCTCCGCTTGATATCAATGATGAGACGCGTTGGAAGCCCACGCACGCGAAATCGCGTCTGGATGATCCTGTGGAGAATGTGGATGCGTCATTGAAGGAGGCCAAGGCCATTTTGAATAAGCTGTCGATTGAAAAGTTTGACAAGTTATCTGATCAGCTTATCGAGGTTGCTGTGCGTGGTGTGAACGTATTGAAGGGTGTGATTGAGATGGTCATTGCAAAGGCTCAGATGGAGTGGCACTTTTCGACAATGTACGCCGAGTTGTGCGCTAAGATCGCGCAGACTGCCATGCCAGCGATTGCCCTTGAGGACGATGAAGTTGTAGCGGACACGCATAAGCTTTTTCGCAAGTTGCTTTTGCAGCGCTGTCAGAAAGAGTTCGAGGCTAAGCCGGACGTCGAGGGACTGAAAGACTTGCGTGAGGAGGAGCGTCTTGAAAAGGAGCTGTTGATGAAGCGTGCTTCGTTAGGTCACATACGCTTTGTCGGTGAGCTGTTTAAACAGCGCATGCTGAGTTCGCGCATCATGCACGAGTGTGTCCTCATTCTGTTCGGTGACGTGTTGGCTCCTGATGAGGAGTCCCTTGAGTGCTTATGCAATCTGCTGAGTACGATCGGTCAATCTCTAGAAAGCAAGGCTTCCGAGAAGGCTGAGCTAAATCACATTAACGGGTACTATGCTACCATCAAGAAGATGAGTGCAGATCCAAATCTCCTCTGCACTCGTGTGCGGTTCATGCTTCAAGACCTGCTAGAGCTGCGTTCGAACCGGTGGGTTGCGCGTCGCAAAGAGACGAAGGCAATGACCATCGCTGAGGTGCACGCTGAAGTCGCTCGTGAGGCAAAGGAGAAGGAACGCAACGGCGGCAAAGCTAATGGCCAAGCTCGTCTGCAGCGCAGCTACTCGATGAACTCCGCAGGACCAACCGGCTCGAATGATCGGCGACGCGGTAGCAGCAGCGGAGCCTCAGCAGCCTGGAAAAATCGAGCTGTATCCTCCTCTTCGTCATCGACTAGCACGATTACTGCGCCTACTGTCGATGCAGACGGCTGGGAGACTGTAACGGGTGGTGCGCGCAAAAAAGGTGTCAAGCACCGCTGCAACTCGGACCGGTTCGTCGCTCCGTCGTCTGGCGTGCCTCGTCATCCAAGCAGTGCTCGCTTGACCGATAACGCATTTGCTTCGTTGAGCGTAAAGGAGTCTGGGCGTAAAGAGCGTAGTCGCAGCAACAGCTCCTCATCGACAACAATGCGCTCTTCGCGTAGTCGTGAGGACGTTGGTCGGCCACCAACATCATCTCCGGAAAAGTTGAGCAAGAGCCGACCTGCTAAGTCTGAAGAGGCACCCGAAGAAGAGGCCGCTCCTGTCTTGACGGCCGAGGCATTCGGAAAGAAAGTGAAGGCCATTCTGGATGAGTATGTGGAGCTGGAGGATATGGATGAGGCGTACGCGAGCTTTACTGAGCTAAATTCTTCAAACCATTATGGTCTGATCCCCAACAAGGTTTTTAGTATCGGTTTGGATAAGGGCAACAAGGAGCGGGAGGCTATCGCGAGCTTCTTGGCTGGTTTGTACGATCGAAAGATCGTGACCGGCGCAGCCCTGCAAAGTGCGCTGCGAGATCTGCTGGAATTCGCGGAGGACGTCGAGATTGACATTCCAAAGACGCTGCCATATTTGAGCGTCATGGTAGCTCCCTCTGTGGTTGCGGGCAGCATCACGGTCCCTCAGCTCGTGTCGATGTCGGAGCACCTGTGCTACAATGGCAAGGCTGCGAAGCTTGTTGGATCGACCCTCGCGGTCGTGCTGTCGTGTGAAGACGAAGCCAAGGTGCAGGAGCTACTCGCTACGGAAAGCGTCGACTTCATGGCGTTGCTGGCCGAGACGAATCGCAACGAAGAGGCCGTCCGGGCGTTCTACAAGGATTATTCGCTTGAGTTTCTCATGTAGCACCTCGGACGAGCGTCTGCTTTACCCTATAAGAGTTGACTGATGCAGGAATAGGGTCGACGTTGTAGCTGAGAGCTGGAAAGCAAACATTTAGCCCGTTAATGCAAATGAACATAATATGTAGAAGCAAACCACGCACGAGCTCCATTCATTGTGAGATGCTTAGAATACAGCGATGAGCACGAAGCAAGCATACACCAGCATGGTCGGGTACATGACGAGATACTTCTGCTCCGTCATGTACAACGCCTTCTCAAAAAAACGTGACGCCGTGTGTGTACTCCAGAGAGTGCACACACTGGCCAGCACGAAGCCTGCGATTCCCAGATCCTTCACCGAGACCACAATATTGATCGCTGCAAGACCGATGATCGGTAGCAAGCAGTACCCCAGCACTGAGCACACTCGGTAAATGTCGATCGTCCGTTCCGGAGACAGCAGATTCATCAGCATGTACATGAACAGACATGAGAGGACCCCAAACCCGTAAATGTACCCGAAGTGAACCTTTGCAGCCTGATAAAAATAGAGCATACCACAGCACACACAAACAACACTCATCAGAATATAACAAACAGCAACAAAGATGGGGTTTTGTATCGAGCTGTTGCGTACCAACAGCAGACACGTGCCAAACAGGAAACAAAAGACCAGTGGCCCCGCCAAATCAGCATCGTCTAATATGTGCTCGTTGATCTGCTTCGTCGGGAGCAGCACGGACACAGTTTTGGCCCAAATGTGCTCAAAATTGATCCCCAACTCTGTCGTAAATAAGAACATAATCTAAATTTAGCCCTGCCGTCACAAAACTCCAAATTGGTACGTAAAATAAGAAACATATGTCACTGAAACCTTCCAAAAGCGGTAATTCATGCGCAAATTCATTTTCGTCGTCCCCGTCGTCATAAAATCCAGACGACGAGCCGACAGTGCCGCCAAGTCCACTGGAGCCTAGGATCGGTGCAGTAAAGTCCGAACCAGCCCCACCATTGTTAGGGAGCTGTGTTTGCGCGTTTACGGGTGGGTACGTCCCATCCTGTGTCGTAAACCACGGGCTCATGGCGTTCGGGTCCATGTTCATGTTCATGATGGCCTTCCTGAGTGGCACCAGGTAGAAAAAGTGATATTTGTGAAAATATCGATAGAAATGGTTGCGAGCAATAGAAATGAGTTGTGCAACATAGGTCACGTGCGGGCACTAAAAGAATTGTTTTTAGAGATCGGAGAGGAATGGAAAGTCAATCAGACGTTTCTAAAGGCGAATGCTAAAACGGCTAAGCTCAATTTTATTTGGCTGGGTCATTCTGATTCCTTTTTAGAAGAAGCTCAGAAATACGCCCAATTTCGTCAGGAGTAGATCCCAAATACTCGATTTACTGTCACTGTTTTCTCACTTGCCCGTGCAAAGCTCAAAATGAAGGTTTCAGTGCAAATCGAAGCTAAAACCCTACTACATTCCTCACTTCCTGGCAGAATTCCAATCCGATGAACGGCACCTTAACTGCATTTTTAGTACGTGCAAAATAATCCATTCTGGGAAACCCGTAAGTGCGGCCTTGTCACCGCAGCTGTCTGCGATACACTTGTACGTGCCGCATCCTCCTCGTCGTGTCCAAATGGCGATGGCACAAACACCTTCGTCTTGAGTACAAAGGTATTCTTCATGAGCTGGGCCGTGCCCTGTATTCCCACGTTGCCGGTTGGAAGCGCGCTGATTCGTACTGGCAGAAGACCATCTGTCCAATTACAAGCAAGATGGTGATTCCTTCATTACGGGTTAGATGACATGGAGGTCATGAAAGGCGAGCTTGATCTTTCACCGGATAACATCCTCGAGCTATTCTAACATCGAGGCTAATTGTGGTCGTGACACCTATACCAAAGATGTTTTGATCAGCAAGTACAGCTCTAGAAATGGAGTTCTGAGTCAAGCCGGTGTGTACGCACATTTATCTCATTTAATAGTCAGATATGTGGCTATTTCCATGGGTGTAGCTACTGTGTGCTTACGACGTCAGAAGAACCGAACGGCCAAGTGCTGGAGCGCTGAGTGCGATACATGTACATATGTCATAGATTGGTGCGCACCATCCGCTTCCGATATACTAGCGAAATCGTAAAATGTGCATGGATCTGATAAGTAGTTGGATTCAAAGTAGTAGTGATCTATCATTTATTAAACGAAAACGGTTGCAGGGTGAAGAATTCGCAAAAAAGACTCGGTCATTAACGAACTTACAATAATCGAGACCGCTTACTTGACGCGCCGTAGAATTTAGCGCACGAGAGTGACGGCTCCGTAGATGATTATGGATTTGAGAGAGGTACAAACGAATAATTTTGGTGCCGCAAACAGCGACCCTCAGCCCCTGATTACATCTTATTTGTGTGACACAATGTGATCGATGTGAACAGCGTGGGGATGAGCCAGACTTCGGCGCTGCTTCAATGCGTGCGCCTCGTGCTACTTTGCACAGGCATGTGAGTCAACAATAATGGTGAGTTGAGTATTTGGGATCTACTCCTGACGAAATTGGGCGTATTTCAGAGCTACCCAGCCGAATAAAAATGAACCCAGCCGTTTAGCATTTGCCTTTTTGAAAAAGCAATCCAAGACGCCAGGATTTTCCGAGCCAGATACGTAAGATGCCATTGTCTAATAATATGTGGTTGTGCGTGACTAACCAGATGATGTGGTACTTTTGAGGCCTTTTTGTGTCGAGCAGCTCCATGCATTTCCCGAGACGTACACCTGGTACCGTCGTATGTATTGTCTTGTTTTCTGCTCCTTATGCACGTAAATGCCGTCCACTAAGTTTCGCCTTGAACATTTCCTTTCAACATGATACTTTCTGCTTGTAAACTACTCGATTTTGCTGTCTTCTCGCTTCGTTTTGCTGATGGAACACGGTATCCACCATGCGTAATTACATTGGACAACATGCGCGCCCACGTCATCTCCAAACTCTCATTGAATTTGGAGATGACGTGGGTGCGCATGGAATCGCCAAATGATGTTTGTAGTATCATTACACGTTATTACGAGGTGTGACCGGTGTCGTCCGTGTAGCGGACCGAAGCGACGACGTGTCGTTCTGTTTGTAGAAACGCGAGTGCACATTGTGTTTGCAAGTCGTTCGGGCATTGACAGTCGTGTACGAGTTGTTTCGATCTTGGTGCTCGAACCCAGTAAAAATGAACTATCGGACTATGTCCAAGAGCTGCGAACGCTCATGGCTGCAATGCAGTCTGACCCTCTGCCTGAAGCAGTCCATGTGACTATCTTCATGGAAGGTCTACGTACTGGCATTACCAGAACCGAGGTTTTTCGGGTTCACCCCTCTACGTTTGAAGAGGCTGTGATAATTGCTCTTAATGCTGAGCATAACTTCAAGTCGGCCAGACTTGGTTGGAATGGATACGATCCTCGCTCTGTGAGAGCAAACTATTCGGGTACCCCTGCCTATAATAGGCCGGAACCGATGGATCTCAGCTATGCTGAAGATGGAGGTGAAGCTGAGCTTCAAGCTGCTGAGCAGCAACACGTTGTACGACGATGCTTTACGTGCGGAAGCACTAAACACTTGCGGCCTGGTTGCCCTTTGCGTAAACAACGCCAGGCTACGAGCCAACACTCGACCCCGAGTCAGAAGTCTGGCATGGCACGGGGAAATGCCGACACCCAGTAGGCGCGGGGCACCCTACTGGGGAAGAACTATGTTCTGTTACACCTTTAGAAGGTAAAGGAATGCAGGGCTTAGCCCCAAAGAGTACCATACCTACGGGTATGGTGCGTGGACACAAGTCTGGCTTGTTGGTCGCCGAGGCGAAAATTAAGGGCTTCGAGAAGCCTTGGTCGATATTGATCGATTCTGGAGCGTCTTGCAATTATGCTCGACGCCTTTCCCTTGAAGGAAGTCAGCGTTATGCTGAGGCGCTTACAGCGCATGAGGGTGATTCTATCACGGTTCGTTTAGCGACTGGAAGTCGCGTAACTGTGCCTAAAGTTCCATTGAACTTAGGTATAAAGTTTTTAGACTTTGACAGTATTGAGCGCTGTCTTGTCCTAGATTTGGACTCGAGATATGATCTCATCCTAGGTATGGCTTGGCTTGAGCGCCATGAGCCATGGATTGATTGGAGGTCCAAGACCTTAGGCGCTACGCGCAATGTTCCTGGCGAAGCTTTGGAGAGTCATGAACCCACCTTCGCTAGGCAACGAAAACGCTACTGGCGCGAGCCTTTGACAGAAGATGTCAATGTGCTGGATATTGGAATGTCTGAGTTATCTAACTCCAATGTTACAAACATAAGTTTCGAGCTTAGCTCGTCTAGTGAAACGGCACGTACTCCGTTGAGTGTTACTCGTTGTGATAACGATTCACTGCATGCTGAAAGCATGGTTGGCCAAGGGCCGAGTGATCAAGGATGTGATTACTTTGATGTGTGTATGGTGGCACGTGAAACTACACCGAGTGCGGTCGGCCGTGAGAGCACCGCACTGAATGTCGGTAATGACATTTTTGGCGATACGCCATTTAGTGTGGGCGGCCGTGAAGGCACCACGCTTAACGTCGGTAATGGCGTTGTTGGCGATTCGCCATATAGTGTGGGCGGCCGTGAGGGCACCACACCTAATGTCAATAATGATATTGTTGGCGATACGCCGTATAGTGTGGACGGCCGTGAGGGCACCACGCTTAACGCCGGTAATGGCGTTGTTGGCGATACGCCGTATAGTGTGGGCGGCCGTGAGGGCACCACACCTAATGTCAGTAATGATACTGTTGGCGATACGCCGTATAGTATGGACGGCCGTGAGGGCACCACACCTAATGTCGGTCAAGACAAAAGCTCTCGTATAGAGCGTACTATGGTTGGTAGTAACCATGGGGACAATATTGTCCCGACCCCTAAGGGGTGTATAAGGTCTCGAAAAGACGATCGAGACGCCGGGTAGCTACTTTTAAGCGCCAGGCGTCCTCACAGTCGCATAGTGATAATAGTAATACACTATATACACTTGTTAATGGAGTGACTGGTCGGGTTGATGGCAGTGTTTGCCTTGAAACCCTTCCATCCGTGGACGCTCTTTGTGAGCTAGACGAAATGTCTGATGACGAGTTTAGACAGGCCTTAAAGGCAGGAGAGTTATCCGAGTTAGCGGTCATTAGACCTGATACTGAGTTGAATTCTTCCTCGTTAATGGATGAGTCTGTCCTGGAGGATACAAAGGCGGCACTTAGTGCACGAAGTGGATCTTCTATCCTTAAAGATCCTTTGGATCCGTTCTATCCTTTAGTTAAGGAATTTCAAGATGTGGTGTGTCACAACCCACCTTCTGCCTTACCTCCCGATAGAGGTGTACGTCATGAGATTGACTTGGTTCCTGGAACTAAATACTGTGTAACACGGCAGTGGCTTTTGCCTAAAGAACAGTGTGACGTCATTGACGAATTCTTTTGTGCTAAGCACGCGGCTGGAATGGTTCGTGAGAGTAAATCTCCCCATTCAACACCGACATTTTGTGTCAAAAATCCAAATGGCAAGTGGCGTATTGTGCATGCTTATAATAAGCTTAATGCAGCCACTATACCGGCGCAGACGCCTATTCCTAGAAAGGATGTTCTTCAGAACAATATGGCAGGATGTACATTGTACAGTGCACTCGACTTAGTCGACGGTTATTACCAACTGCTCATGCGAGCAAGTGATATTCCGCTAACAGCGGTGAGTACTCCGAGCGGTATGCTCTGGGAGTGGCTCGTTATGCCACAAGGCTATCTAACGCCCCGGCTACATTTAACCGGTTGGTAACGCAACTATTCAGACCTCATCGAGGCTATGCACAAACGTACTTTGATGACATTTTTGTCCATAGTCGTGCAATGAATGGGCGATCAGATGTGGATAACCACATCGATCATTTACGAGCGGTGCTCGAGTGTATGCGAACGAATAAGTTGTATGCGAACGCATCGAAGTGCATCTTTGGTGCAGAAGAGATTCCCTTTCTAGGGTGCTTCATTGGGAAGCGAGGCCTTCGAGCGGATCCCGCTAAGGCAAAAGCCATAGTCGATTGGCCAGTCCCCAAGAACCAAAAGGACTTGCGTAAGTGGCTTGGCCTTGCCAATTACTTACATAAGTACAGTGCGAATTACGCAGATATGGCTCGGCCATTGTCCAATCTCCTTAAAAAGGATGTGGATTGGTGTTGGAGTAACACCGAACATGATGCGTTTGAAGCCGTTAAGGAAAGTCTCCTTCATGCACCAATATTGGCTTTGCCCGATCCTGATCGGCCTTTCAGTGTCGTCTGTGACGCATCTGACTTTGCCATAGGCAGTGCTCTGTTACAAACAGATGTCGATGAACGCGAACGCGTTATCGCATTCGAGTCTCGACAGCTGAAAGCTGCCGAAAAGAACTATCCAGTTCATGACAAAGAGCTACTTGCTATGAAGTACGCTCTAGTCAAATTCAGAGTACATCTGCTTGGCTCAAAGCCGTTTGTGGTCTATACAGATCATGCGTCATTACGCACTGCGACACAGTCGCCTCATCTCTCACAGAGACTGGCTCGTTGGCATTCCTTCTTTGCCGAATATAACTTCGAGGTGAAGTAAAAGCCAGGTAAGAAAAACGCTTTAATTGATGCGCTATCGCGTCGACCTGACTATGAGCTTGCTCATGTTACGACTCTGTCGTCGTCGGTCACTGACTTAATCCGTGCGGCATATGCCAAGGATGAACAGTGTGTAGCTTTGCTACGGGCTCTTGGGAGCGATGAGTTTAAAGACTCGGACATAGAATTGTCGGCACGTTTACGTGCGAGGCTACATCGATATTCCATCGATAATGGCCTGTTGTGCTATCGCACGGATATTGAGGACAACCCTCGTATCGTTGTACCTCATGATGAGGAATTAAAGTATCGGATCCTCTATGAGGCACATGATACTGCTTTAAGTGGTCATCTCGGTCGTGAGAAGACTTATAGCTCGGTGAGCCAAAGTTATTGGTGGCCCAAACTTTATAAGTGGGTGCGCACCTATGTGCGTACGTGCGAAACGTGTCAACGGGTAAAACCCTCGGCACATGCGGCGGCGCCGCTGGCTAGTTTGCCAGTACCCACTGGTTGTTGGGAGTCCATGAGCATGGATTTTGTGTTTGGCCTACCGAAAGATTCGGAAGGCAACACTGGTATTGTGGTCTTTGTTGACCGATTGAGCAAGATGGCTCGCTTAGCGGCTGTGCCGGATAGCATCGATGCTGAAGGTATAGCAAAGCTGTTTATCGACCGTGTGTTTCGCCAACATGGCTTGCCTGTGTCAATTATCTCTGATAGAGACCCCCGCTTCACTGGGAAATTTTGGAAGTCTATCTTCAAGGTGCTTGGCACTCGGTTGGACATGCCCACAGCGAATCATCCGCAGACCGACGGTCAAACTGAGCGTGTAAACCGCGTCATCAACGACATTTTGCGCAGTATTTGCGCTGATACGCCTAGGTGTTGGAGCTCAATGCTCCCTGTTGTTGAGTTTGCGTTGAATAACGCTGTTCATGCCTCAACAGGCTTTACTCCGTTCTATATAAACGGTCTCACCCACCCTCGCGTTCTGTTAACGCTATCACTACGTGAACCAGGGATTGGTGGGGGAGAGGTTGCCGATCGGCTTGCTGATATCAGCCCTGCTACTGTCCAAAACAGGTAAGCGAGTTTCTCGCAACGCGATTAAATGTCTTAAGACATGTGCGTGACGCAATGGCTGATAGCCAAGATACCCAAAAACAACAAGCTGATGCCAAAGGCAGAAATTGTATTGAACGTTATGAGGTCGGAGACCAAGTACTACTCAATGCTAAAAATCTACCTACAAATGTAGTGTCTGCTGTCTTTAAGACGAAGTTGCGTCCACGCCTTATTGGACCGTTTACGGTCACGGCCAAGAAGGGACTTGCGTATACGCTAAACCTTCCGCGCAAATTGCGCACACATCCAGTGTTCTACGTAGACTTACTTAAGCCGTACCGGGATCCTTCCCATGTGAACTTGGAGGCGCTTGCGCCGACGACAAGGGCACTGCCCCGGATTGCTGTAGACGAATCAGCAAGTCCAACTGAGCCTCGCTCCGAGTTTGAGCTTGCTCCATCGCCTGAAGGCGGCTTTGCATCGCATCCAGCATGCACTGGGACTTACCCAAGGCCTCTTGAAGACCCTTCACTTCGAGAACCAATTTCTCGTGGGCCTCCACCGGTACACCGGCCGCCACCGACTTTGCTCGATGAGCATGGGTGTCGTCAATTTCAGGTCGAGAGACTACTGAAACGACGTCGTCGGGTCAGGGCCAATACCAGTATCTGGTAAAGTGGCGTGGGTACCCTGAGTCTGAAAACTCATTGGGAATTTGAGGTACCCCTTCGGCAAGACTGCCCATATGCTTTGGAGGCTTTTGAGCATCGTGGCCATGGTCGTCTCGAGGCCGAGGCCGTTCCCCACCACTAGTGGTGCGGGTTGGCGGGTTGTTGGCCACAGACTGACCAGCACTCGCGGCTACCTTAGTAGCCGAAGCATAGCGCGTGCGCTTGCGCAATTGGCCTCTGGCCTTAAGCTTGGAATAATCATACCGAAGCTTGCGTTCAAGACGCACGTCAGCCACACTGGCACTAGCCCTTAGAGCAAAAATGTTGCTGAGGCGACGCACATAGTGCACCCAGTGAACAAAGGCATCGTCTTCTTCGCTCACTGTTTCGCCTGCGAACAAGAGAATGGGTATACCCTTGATCGGTGGAACCGGTGTACCACGCGCTTGCATGTCAAGGCGTGCCTTGTATTGACTTTGAGTCGTTAGGTGCGGCATCGGGTACCTCTTGCGAAGTGCCTGGCAGCTCACAACCTCCTCAGGAGTCTTAGGCCCATGGCCAATGACCCACGTTGCCAATGTTTGGCCGGCCGATTGACGTAGACGTTCCTCCACACTGGGTGGGGTGAACACATAGTCACGCTGGCGTTCAAGGGTTGTAGCCATTTGTACATGACGCTGAGCGTTTTCTTCTCTTTGAACAAGCAGTTGTTGTTGCTCATTGAGCGGGTTCGTAATGATAGTCTCATCAGACCCAGACGCTGCATACTGCGCTGGTGGCGCGCTCGCACCTCCACGTTCAGCGAACGGATTTGGGGTGTTCGAAAGTTGTGCCTCAGGCATCAGTGAGCCGGACATTGTCCCTTTATCACCGCGGACACTGGTATCGCTACCATAGTCCACCTCCTCCTCTATCCCGAGGTAGTCACACAGAGCCTTTGACTCGTTTGGTGATGAGGACATCACCATACGCCAACAGTATCATTACTGACATTAGGTGTGGTGCCCTCACGGCCGTCCACACTATACGGCGTATCGCCAACAATATCATTATTGACATTAGGTGTGGTGCCCTCACGGCCGCCCACACTATATGGCGAATCGCCAACAACGCCATTACCGACGTTAAGCGTGGTGCCTTCACGGCCGCCCACACTAAATGGCGTATCGCCAAAAATGTCATTACCGACATTCAGTGCGGTGCTCTCACGGCCGACCGCACTCGGTGTAGTTTCACGTGCCACCATACACACATCAAAGTAATCACATCCTTGATCACTCGGCCCTTGGCCAACCATGCTTTCAGCATGCAGTGACTCGTTATCACAACGAGTAACACTCAACGGAGTACGTGCCGTTTCACTAGACGAGCTAAGCTCGAAACTTATGTTTGTAACATTGGAGTTAGATAACTCAGACATTCCAATATCCAGCACATTGACATCTTCTGTCAAAGGCTCGCGCCAGTAGCGTTTTTGTTGCCTAGCGAAGGTGGGTTCATGACTCTCCAAAGCTTCGCCAGGAACATTGCGCGTAGCGCCTAAGGTCTTGGACCTCCAATCAATCCATGGCTCATGGCGCTCAAGCCAAGCCATACCTAGGATGAGATCATATCTCGAGTCCAAATCTAGGACAAGACAGCGCTCAATACTGTCAAAGTCTAAAATCCTTCACTTACTCTGGACCCAAAGATGCGGTCAGCTTATCAAGCGCGACCTTTTAGGCCTCAGATAGGGGAGTGGAGTTTTCCATCCTCACAGAGGATCAGTCTTAAAGACTCAGGCGTAGATTGACCAACAAGTGCTACCAAGTGTAGCGGAGCTACACAGCTCCTTAAGTCAGAGGAAGACTTAACGCTCTACGAGCAACTTAGTTCTAAAGAACTAACGACTTTACGAGTCAACAAGCTTTACAGCTTCAGATCCCTGTTCCAGGGGACCTAACGATTCAGTGAATCGACAGCACTCAGTGCTCAAGAGTAGCTACCTCAAGGAGGTGTCGCTAGCTCTTAGTGATCAGTGATCAACGATCAAGACGGCTCGCAAGCCACGTGTCCTTCAGATCAAAATGGGAACTGATTTTATTTTGTTAAAGCCTATAGAATATCTTAATCCTACTCAAAGATCTTTCGTACCTAATGGCTGACACTCGTCAGCCCCTACAAACCAATAAGATATTCGATATCACCTTCACAAAGGGGTAACCTCAGGTGTGTAACACCCCTGGTACAAAGTACCATAACTTCGTGCAACCCCGTTACAAGCTCCATGCATTTCCCGAGACGTACACCTGGCACCGTCGTATGTATTGTCTTGTTTTCTGCTCCTTATGCACGTAAATGCCGTCCACTAAGTTTCGCCTTGAACATTTCCTTTCAACATGATACTTTCTGCTTGTAAACTACTCGATTTTGCTGTCTTCTCGCTTCGTTTTGCTGATGGAACACGGTATCCACCATGCGTAATTACATTGGACAACATGCGCGCCCACGTCATCTCCAAACTCTCATTGAATTTGGAGATGACGTGGGTGCGCATGGAATCGCCAAATGATGTTTGTAGTATCATTACACGTTATTACGAGGTGTGACCGGTGTCGTCCGTGTAGCGGACCGAAGCGACGACGTGTCGTTCTGTTTGTAGAAACGCGAGTGCACATTGTGTTTGCAAGTCGTTCGGGCATTGACAGTCGTGTACGAGTTGTTTCGATCTTGGTGCTCGAACCCAGTGCTTGTTGTCGACATTAGCCTTAACGGACCATCATCAACCTCTCTCCGGGCCTCTGACGTCGTAACATTATCGTTTGTCCTGATAGCAAGGGCACATGTGCGGTAATTCAGTAGAGATCGAAAGCTAGGGAGTACAGGATGCACCTTGAGCCCCGGGCTGTGGTGGTACTGCCTAGTTGGAGATGATGTAGAATCGACGGTGGCGTGTGTTGCTTCTTGCCAATACCGACACTGATCTTCGTGTTCAGCCATTGCAAGTTGCATTGTGTTTTCATGCTGTCCAAAGTGTTGAGCAATCCTCGACGTCGGGTAACGGCACTCTGAGTACGAATGGCTACAAAGAGCAGTCGTATTGATCGTGTTGTCTTGCCATATCGTCGACAGAGAGCTCCGGCAGGGAGACTTGTCCACCTGGTATTCTGGATCCTTGGCAGGAAAGATCGGCACTTCACACGCTCTCTCAGCTTGCAGTGACGCTTTGACCTTATACTCCGTACACATGCCGCCACGGACAGCACGCTTGTAACAGCGGCCTTGCAAACACACAGAGGATCCACCGTGGCGTTGACAACAGTCGTTGGCCATCGCGCGTTTATTACACTTCTCGTAGACACATTTACGGTAGCCGCCGTGGCCAGCGCATAGTCCATCATACTGCACAACCTTTTTGCACTGGTCGATACGGCATCGCTTGCCACCATCTAATCAAGACACGGGTCAAATGTTTGTCAATCTACAATATCACTTATGTGACTGCATCCTGCTGGTAACTTACCATGAGCTATACATGCTCCACCGCTCTGTGCGCGTTTAGAGCACCCGTGATAGCCGCACTTCTTGCCACCTCCATGCACCCAACAGAAACCTCCCGATTGAGCATTTTTTGCACAAGTTGCTGCCTGGCGTCGCTTGCCTCCGCCGTGGGCCACACAAAGCCCTCGACTAACCACACTGGTAGTACACCCAACTACTGTACACTTTGCACCACCTCCATGTGCGATGCAGTACCCGCCTCGCTTGGCCGTTTTCGGGCATTTCTTGATATGGCCATCGACGTGAGCTGGGCTTCGTAGTCACGAGATTAGCAGACACTGTGTTGAAGCAGCTTTTGCGATCGAAACTGCATTTCGATCTGCAGTCAATTGCGTCGGCACAGAGGAGGTGATCGGGGTATGACATGACGGCAAAGGAGCTACACCTATTTGCTGCTCGGGGGATAGCTCAGCTTTATGAGGTCACTAGCAATCGTCGAGGCGGTTGCAAAAGCACGAATGTTGATCCTAAAGGTCGTATAGAACCCATTGCAAATGAGACAATGGGCGTTTGAGTGACAAGTTCGACGCGTGGTGGGAGGAGCCGAAACCGTGCGGTCGTTGATAGGTTCCGGAACTTACGCATGTCAAGACGGCAGAAAACCGATTGCTTGGCGAATATGTGGAAGTTCATGGATGATGGATGCACTAATCAAAGTTTGCATCTTCGAATATGCACCATTCCATTGCTTGACAACTGATGCATCCTGTGGACGTACTCACGCATGGCTACCTGCTCGTTCGCCATCGCTACCAATGCACCGTATTTTTGTCGAAAGCAGATGGTCTGACACAAGCGGAACATAGCGTGCTAATGGTGCCCCGTGGGATCGTGTTACCTGACACCTTCGATTGTCCGCAAGGGCCATGTAGCAAATATCTCCAGTTCACTTGCTTTCTACGATATTCGGGCTACTTGCGACGCTTACAACTCGAACAACAGAACACCACACTGAAGTATAATACAGCGCGCTACCATCGGTAGTATGCAACGAAACGGCAGCACGTAATAGTACTTGTACAAGAAGATACAGGCGCCCAAAAGGAGGTGCAAGTTATAAATTAGAAGGTGGCACGAAAAGAACCAAACACGACAAAAGTGATAGTGTGAGTGCTGCACGCCATGTTCCTCTGGTATTCCAGCACGCGCGGCATCAAAATTTCATCTGTCGCATAACGCCGTCCAAATCAAATGTGGCAGGTACCTGTTGACTTATGTGGATCAAGGAAATGGTCAAGCGTAAACGGCGCTGCCAAATTCGTCGATTCAAGCTGTTATTCCTCGAGTAATGCAATTGAAACTTTATCTCGTCGGTAACCCTCAAAGCTCCTTCACTCGGATTGTTCATGTCTCCAACTGCACGTGAGAATGCTGACTGCCATCTATTGCCTGCGGGACACTACAACAAGCGCGACTGTCGCGATGGCAACCGCAGCAGCAGTGTACCCCATGACCTCGTCTGACACACCGAACCACTGCGCCAATGCACTTGGTGTCGTCGGCGACGCAAACTTGACCTTTCTGCATTTCGCTTTTGCGATGCTGTTCTCAATGTCCCGCTGGATCATCTTCGCTGCGATCGGGTGGTACAGGCTCTTGCAATCCGCAAAGACAGCCTCTGCTTGGGCAGCCCCCAGAGCGGTACACAGGTCTCGGAAGAGTGGTCGCACGAACTTCATACGACCCTGCTCTTTTAGCATTTCTACAGTCTTGTCAAGCGAGCGCAAGTCACCGGACCGAAGCAATAGTGTGTACCAACGGAATCGCAGCTCCGAGTTGTGCGTAGTCGTCAAGTGGTGATGCGTGAAGGAGTCAATTGCATCCAGGTGTGCACACGTGAAAGTCGCACATTGCTGCTTCAACAACAGCGTGTCCAGTAGCAGGATCCACAGACTAGTCGGCCACTTCTTCAGTACGTCTTGGCTAGCACCTGTCCACGTATCAGGATCGCCACTTGCAGTCATTTGTTCGCCCAGATTCGTCGCCTGGCTAGTAAGAGTCGTGTCAAACTTGTTCGCAACAGGCGGCATGCCTGGCGAGTGGTACCAGGCCTCCCAGTCCACTTTGCTCAATGCCTCCGGCTGCTCAGCAAAGTACTGTTCAAAAAACGCACGGAATTCGGCTGACGTGACTGTCTTGAACTTGAACGCCTGAATGTATGCTTGTGCGAATTTGTCAAACACGTCGTGACCGCCAACGACCGTCGAGAGGTAGTGCAAGAAATTGAAACCCTTCTCATACGGAATCGACGAGAAGACGTCATCCGGATCAATCCCGTCTGTGTTTGGTACCAGCGCCGTGTACGGGTGCTCAGGTCCGAATTCCTCCACTGCCTCAACAAGGTCACGTAGTCCCATGGCAGCTTTAAGGTCATATGCCTTCGGATCCTGCGCAATGCGCGTCTGGATCTTGCGTTCCAGCCACATGGTCCACCCTTCATTCAGCCAAAAGTCATTCCACGAGTGGTTCGTCACGAGATTCCCCGTCCACGAGTGCGAGATCTCGTGCGCCACAACATCAGCAAGCGAGCGGTCTCCTGCTAACAACGTTGGCGTCACAAAGGTCAAGCACGGGTTCTCCATGCCGCCATAAGGGAACGACGGCGGGAGGCACACGAGATCGTATCGTTTCCACACATACTCTTGTCCCGTGATTTCCTCAGCATGCGCTAAAAAAGCTTCCGTCTGTGCAAACTCATGTGCAGCTTTGGTGACCACCGCGGCTTCAGCCCACACACGACTGCGTGGGCCCAAGTCCACACTCTCGAGTTTGCCCGCAACAATCGCGAGTAAATAACTCGGAATGGGTACACTTTGCTCAAACGACACTTGGTACGTCTGCTGATCCCGATCCAGGTGCTGCCGTCCCTTTGGATCGGCAATAGCACTCATGAGACAGGTGCACCATTCCGGGACCGTGACCGTCGCCGAGTACGTGAATTTACACGACGGAGTGTCTGGACACGGCAAAAGGGAGCGGGCGTGGATGGCCTGGCATTGGGTGAAAAGATACGGGTGCGTCTTGCCTGCTGTGAGCTCTTTACTGAGCCATTGGAGACCACTGGAGGCTGGGGATGTCGTGTAGTCCACACGAATTTTCGTCGTCTGACGCGGCACCGTCACGACCAGCGCTTGGCCAAAAACCGCGTGCGCTGGCTCTTGGAGCGAAAACGCCGTCTCTTGACCGTCAGCAAAAGCCGTGGAGATGCTCAAGTCGTGCGTGTCCAGGACCACGTCAATGGAAGAGGAGGTCGTGGACGTGTGACGGAACGTGTACTCGGCATACCCTCGGAGCTGACGGGCGTTAAAGTCCAGGGAGATGACCCAATGGAGGTGCGTGAACGTCACTTCGTTCAGGTTTGAGTACGAATGCGAACTAAGGGGACGACGTGCTGAAGGGATGGTCATGATTGTGGCAGGAGGGAGGAAATTCGCGAATGGGGAGGTCCTGGGAGTTGGCTAATCGGATGTGGCGCGGTTGTTGTTGTTTTTTCGATGTGGATTCGATTTATTTCTCAGCAGAGGGAAATTAGAAGAATATTGTACGAGCAAAGCGAAGTACACAATATGCATACGCAATTCAAGCTGAGAAAACAGGAACATAAAACCATATAGTCATAAAGTGTTCGATTCTACAAGATGGGGGAATAATATAATATTATATCTCAACATGGAGAATATGCGAAAATCTGTCACAAGAATGGGGAATACAGTCTTCCCTCTGCTAAGTTATCCCCGGCTACGGAATAACCTCCGGTAAGTTATAGGATTTGGTCTCCACCGACCTCGATCTATGGTGTCTACGGAATAAGTTATACGGAATAGCCTGAGGGCCAAATACAACTTATCAGAGGGAATATTTTTATCCGCCGTGAGCAGAAATATTGTACGCAGAACCTTTTTTATGTTATTCACTGCAAGAAAGGAGTGGAAAGAGGACAGGGAACTACTTCAGCCAGGAATCAAGTGTGGCCTGAGTGGTGCTCGCACTACGGAGATCAGCTTGGACTTGGCGAAGGGTCCGGTGAGCTGTACGATGGGACTCCTGAGAAAGGTCGAGAAGGGCGATGAATAGACTAAGGCTGGCAAGCTTTTCAGCCTTCGAATGCTTTTCCACCTCCTCCTCCGCCTCAGCAGCACCTTCCTCCTCCCCATACGGATCCTCAACAAGCTTGATGATTTCGGCATCGGTCAGCTCCGCATGCGCCGTCTCCTCCTCCTCAGCCGGATTGAGAAGAGAAGCGATCGACATAAGATTGCGGAGCGGGAGCCTTTCCAGCGCCGAAACAAGATCCTGTTCCACGCGCTGCTCCTCTACTGCAGCAGCTGCTGCCTCCTGCTGGGCCTGCTGGCCAACAGTGCCGGCTTCGTTTTCACCCCCGCCAGTCGGCAGAGCCGGACCGTCCATGAGTCCCGTATGACGGAAGCAGTTGGCGATTGTGGCACTGGAAATCTTGCTCCACGCAGCCAGCGACCAACGCATGGCCGTGAGCTGATCAACCTTGTAAAGGTTGGTTTCTCCGCGCTCGTCACGGTCCAAGGCATTCTGCAGATGCAGCCGGCGGTAGTGCCTCTTGAATGCGGCAATAATCCCAGCATCCATGGGTTGGACCTTTGAAGTCGTATTAGGAGGAAGAACCTGGACCGTGATGTTGGTGAGTTCCAGGTCAGCAACAATGTGTGAAGGAGCGTTTTCCATGAGAAGCAGGATTTTTCTATCCTTTTGCTGTGGTCAACGCGTTAGTCAAACCTCCTTTACTGTACCACAACGATGATGTTCAAGGCATGCCCCAAATTACCTTCATACTTTTGTCGACGTCTCCCAGCCATTCCTGGAAGAGTATGCCAGTCATCCAGGCTTTCTTGTTGTTGCGGTAGAGAAAGCCCAGTCGCTCAGCTGTCTTGCGCTCAAAACACCGCGGCTTTTTGGCGTGTCCAATAAAGAACGGCGGGAGTTTGTCGGATCCATCAGCGTTTGCCGTGAGAGCAACTGTGATGCGCGTCTAGAATAGTTGTTAGTGTCAGAGAAACGCAGGAAACCAAGAGGAGAGCAATAATGTACCTTGTCTTTTTAAACCCTTCGACCTCTTGCTGGGCGATCGTTTTGTCGGGCGTCATACTGTAGAACAAACCTGAACAGAAAGTGAGCCTTTGAGATGCTTCTGTACTGTACAATGAGTACAGTACTGTACTGTCTTCTCAGACCTACCAGTTTCGTCCATGTTGTACACGTCACGTGGCGCATAACCAGCAACCACGGCCTTGAGGTGTGGAAGAGCCTCCTCTAGAGCGCCCATATCTGCTGAGCCACTCTCGCCATGAATGCGGACAGCTCGCAGTTTGTGGCGTTGCTGGAATTTGTGGAGCCACCCATGCGAAAAGCTGATGTTTTTCTCCGAGACGCCCATTGATCCCGCAAAGGTCTGAGCCTTGGCACGTATGAGATCTCCAGTGAGAGCGAACCCACGGTGCTGGCACTGCAAGACCCAGAAGGCGACGGCCTCCTCCACAGCTGGGTGCTGGACAGTCCGAGGACGCTTAGCGCTGAGGTCAGTGGTGTCCATTGCCTCAAGCTCCTTCCTTTTTTTGATGATTTTGCTGATCGCTGCCTGGGAAAGTGCCTTCTGGAGGTTAAAGGCGTCCTTTGTCCAAGCCGCCAGGGCAGTCTGGGTGATGCGCGGGTTAGCATCCTGGTGCTTGCAGATGCGCAGCTTCTGCTCGTTGGTAAGACGTATCTGCGACATCTGTTGTGAGTGAGCAAGGTACAGTTGGTGGAACTTCTTAATTAGAGATAGCAAAATTACCAGAGACTGGTGGGGCAACCAAAATCACAAAATCTTCATAGGGCACGTGACACGTGACAGACAGGTTTTGGAAGCCTGGAGGTTTGTTACGGTTTAGATTCTTTAATTAATTAAATTAATAATTTTTCCGCAGCATACCTCTGCTATAGGATAACCTCTGCTATGTTATAGGATTTGCCTTCCACCAAGTCTATAACTTAGCAGAGGGAAGACTGTATAGGTATGCTCGAAACAAAAAAGGATTCCAAAAAAGATATCACAAAATCGAGAATATCTAGAGTACCAAAGGTACGGAATTGTTCCCTGTTCCGCAGCGTCACATCCCGGGCATCCCGCTCATCCCGCATTCTATAATTCTCCAGCAATACATAACGTCAAGATTCTGTTATTTTTCATCCTTGTAATTCTTTTGGGCATATAAAAAGCATATATGGAGGTGTCATCCTCTATATCTGCGTATGCATTGTCAGGTACATTATTTATTTTAAACAATATTCACCTTTTTGCCAAGGTATGCATCCATGAATTAGGAGATGCATGTAAGGATGATTCGATTGCCCCCGACAACGATCTGACAGGCATCCTTAATCTACTGGGCGCTCGGCATTAATGTTAGTGACGGTAACATCTTTTTGAAGTCTTTCCATGAGTAAGTTTCCGGAATCAATCTGTGACACCTTTCACTGAACATATCGTGTAACAGGGTGCCTTCGCTACATGATAAACTGCATAGGTAATTGTAACGGGGTAGCCCGTTGCATGAAATTGACACTAAACGGTGTCAATAGAGATATTGTCTAGCATGACAATATTCTACCAATGTTATCCAAGATAGATAGTATTGAAATAATATTATCCTCCTGTGATAATATTCATGCGCTGCTCCAAGATTGGTTGACATGAGACTTATCAACCATAGACTGCCACCAATCGCTACTAGACGCGCGCAATGATTGGTGAGCAGGTTGTCGTCATACGATGACGCAGTTTAATTTAGTTAGATAAAGATTAAAGTTATATTGATAGCTTTACTATATCAAATACAGTTCTCTTTTACCTTTACTTGAACTAGTCGTTCGAGTAGATTAGCTTCCTCTGCACGTACTAGTGTACGTGAAATTTCGTGGCACCCAGGCAAAGGGTGCCCCGTTACACCTGGTAGCACTTTGTATTCCGTCCAACGACTACTTAGTGTCCGTCCAACATGAACGTGTTGGACGTAGACGACGACAGCTTTCACGTCACACGTGAAGGCTACTCCCATCTGAGTGACCTTGAATGGGAGGTAGTCGGCCACTTGAGTGTGCTCATGGGCGAACCCGCCATCAGGTATGTTAGAGTCTCTAAGCAGAGACCAGCAACATGCTGCTATCAACAAGTTCCTACAAGAGGAACTTGCCGTCGAAAGACAGAAGATAGCCTTGCTACAGCATCAAGGCTCTCATCAGTCGATGGGTGGGCCGACGCACATGCGTCGACCCGAAACCGTGAAGATTGATATCTCAAGGTACAAGGGAACCGATGACGATTCCCTTTTGAGATGGTTCGTCGATTTAGACAATGCCATCAGGGCCCGTCACATCGAGGGTGACGAGATGCAAGTCACCTTTGCCCTGTCAAATTTGACGGGACGAGCAAAGACTTGGGCCTTAGGGCTCAAGCTTCACGACCCAACCGTGTTTGAGTCGTTGGAGATCTTGAAGTCTCGGCTCAAAGAGATGTTTGAGCCGCCGAGAGCCGAGTTCAGAGCACGCTCTGCACTCTTGAGGCTATAGTAAGGTAAGCGTGACGTGCACGCTTATGCACAGCACCTACGCTACCTTGCGAGTAGCGTTATGGAAAACCCTGTTGATGATCAGACAGTCACCAACGTATTCATCTACGGCCTTGTAGATGGACCGGTGACAACCTACATGTTCCGAGAGGACTTCCATAAGCTGGAAAGGGCGATAGTGTATGCGGAACAAGAAGACATCAGCCTGAGATAGTCTCAAGATAACTCGTCAAACTATCGTCCGACGGGACGAAAGGAAACAGGAGGTCCCGAACCAATGGACCTCTGTTATATCGAGAGCGAGAACTCTCGCTCTCTGAGTCACAAGCGAACGGCAAGATGCCATCGCTGTCAGAAGATTGGACACTAAGCTCATGAGTGTAGTGTACCAAGCACCGCAACACGTCCAAAGACAGGACGTGATGACCATTGTTGGCCAACGAAAGTTCCGAGGCGTGGGTCCGACCATGTCGCTAAGCCGCGACAGCAAGTCGGACCGTCAAAAAACGGATAGGTTCAGTAGGGGCGGAGCACCCTGCTGATCCAGCAACGTCAAGAGAATTCGCAGGACTCTTGACAAAGATTGCTTCCAACACACAGTCTCTGTGTGTTACTGTCCTTAGTGATGAGGAGTCTCTCATCACTTTGAAGATCGAAGTGACAAGTGGAATGTCACTTCGCGCCCTAGTTGACTGTGGTGCGTCGAACAGTTTTATTCGACGCCAGTCGCTAAGGGATAGTAGGCTCAACTATGTTGAGCGAGAGTTCCCTCCAACGAGGAGGACGGTGTGCCTTGCTACAGGCGCATCCGTAACAGTGAACAAACGTGT